CGCACCCTTTTTTTTTTTTTTTTTTTTTTTTTTTTTTAGCGATGGACCACTGATTCGTTCGAGTCCGGTCAAACTTCAGACTCCAGAAAAGACAACTCGGTGACAATGATCAACACCCAATGAACCCAGAAATTGCCTCGAGCCCTGTGACCTAGTCTAGTATATCAACACAAGTTCGGCCTTCCCAATGTTCCACCATCATCTCTATTTTTCAATGCCTGTTGTTTAATTTTTGCTTGCCAATCCTACACTTCCGACCCAAGGTCTCCTCAGAACTCGCTTCCATTTACCATAACCGATGGTTGCCCAGGACGCCCTAAATCATTGCTTTTCTTACGAAACCCTTAGTACTCCAGTACATTTTGGGGTAAAATCTACTCCAAAGAAGCCCTGAGAACAGCAATCTGCTCCAAAACGCTAGACTTGCTGGTACCGCCCTTGGCTGCCCTCATCTCGACACTCTTCTCGTAGTTGAAAGTCTCAGCAATATCTTCCTCGAATCGCTCGTCAACGGTCTTCAATTGCTCATAGCTGAGCTCATTCATCGGGATGCCAGTCTTCTCGGAAAGGGCGACGCAACGTCCAGAGATGTGGTGGGTCTCGCGGAACGGCACACCCTTACGGACAAGGTAGTCGGCAACGTCAGTGGCGAGCATGAAGGGGTCGAGAGCGGCCTGCATCTTCTCGGGCTGCGTATCAAGGGTTGCAAGGACGCCCTCGGCGATCTGGATGCTGTCGCTGACAGTCTTGACGTGGTCGAGCATAGGCTCCCAGCTCTCCTGGAGATCCTTGTTGTAGGTGCTAGGGAGTCCCTTCTGCGTCATCATGAAGCCGGCCATCTGACCAAAGGCACGGCCAGCCTTGCCGCGAAGAAGCTCCAAGCTGTCGGGGTTCTTCTTCTGGGGCATCAATGAGCTACCAGTGGAGTAAGCATCAGCAAGGCGAACGAAGCCGAATTCGCCAGTGGAGTAAATAATCAAATCCTCAGCCCAGCGAGAGATGTGCTGCATAAGAATAGAACCCCACTGCAGAGTCTCGGTGACGAAGTCACGGTCGGCGACACCGGCCATGGAGTTCCAGAGCAGGCCCTCGAAGCCAAGCTCCTTGGACATGGCCTCACGGTCGATGTTGAAGGGGTTTCCGGCCAGGGCACCACAGCCAAGTGGGTTTCGGTTGACACGCTTGATGACCTCACGAAGACGCTCCAGGTCGTTGGCGAAAGCCACGGCGTATGAGAGCATCCAGTGGCTCCAGCGAACGGGCTGAGCACGCTGCAAGTGAGTATATCCTGGCATGATGTAGTCGATCTCCTTCTCGGCGCGGGCGGCAGTGACCTTTAGGAAGCTGATGAGGTGGCCCTCGAGCTTGCGCAGCTCGTCACGGAGCCACATTCGCATGTCGCATACAACTTGCTCGTTTCGGCTTCGACCGGTATGGAGCTTTCCTGCAATATCCTTGCCAATGATCTCGCCGAGCCGACGCTCGTTGGCAGTATGAATGTCTTTGCACCAGTCAGTATCTTGGTTCGGAGGTCTCGAGCATCAGTGTCCAGAGCCATCCATACCCTCATCGCCTTGAACAATTTTGAATGTTCCGTTTTCCCACTCCTTCTCAACCTCCAAAAGACCCCTCTCAATCTCCTCGAACTCGTGTTGAGTCAGAATGTTGTTGGTGTAGTTTGCGCGAGCGAAGGCAATGCTGCCGAAGATATCCTGCTTGTGGAGGAGCTTGTCGAAGTGAATGCTCTCGTTATATTGCTCCATGAGGGGGTCGAGGCCGCCTGTATACAGTACGTCAATATGTGAGAAACGTCGCATAAAAACGGAAGCGACGGCGCAAGTGAATGAACGTACCAGTAAAGCGACCTCCCCATAGTTTGTTCTCTGCCGGCTTTGAGCTAGAGGCCATCGTGACGGTTCTATGAAGCAATTGGTTTTTCAAAGGATTCCAATAAGTTGATATCGATTGTAGCAAGGCAATCGGGACCAATTGAGAAGAAATAGTCAAAAAAGAATGACTCAATTGAATGTTCAAAGCAGATTGCAGAAGGTTATCGTGTTGAGACAGGAGGGGAATCAGAGGCTTGCAAGGTTCTTGAGTCATCTGTACCCGCAAAATTTTAATCCTCGGAGCTCAGGTCGGAGTCGAGGGGGAAAAAAAAAAAAAGAAAACAGCTGCAACATCAGTCTTGTCTTATCTGTCGCCTTATCGCGAGCTAAGGGAGCTTGGACCATCCTTGAGGATTGGAGTGTGCCCCTGGCGGCCCCTGAAAGCTGCGACGTCACGGTGGAGGATGCGCCCAAATGCAATAGCACTGATTTGGCGCATCTTGACCCCGCGGTTTCCACCAGCCCATTCCGACAGCGCATTAGGTAATGCACCGCTGGATATCCCACAACGCCGTCCTTTCCTCGGACTTCGGGTAACTATACAGACTCTCCTCCCTCGACCTCAAGTCTCGCCAACGCCAGTCCCACTCTTGGGATCGGCTTTGACTACACGAACATACGAATAACCGCATTTCCCTTCGCCGAGAATACCCTGCCATCCCCGGCGACATCATGTCATTCTCCAACATCTACACCCACCGCAAGGTCGCGGAAACTGCAGCCAAGGGCTGCGATGTCTGCTATCGTGCTACAAGCAGTGTCCTTGTCGCTCCTGAGAACAAGGTAAGGAACATGGGTCCTTCCTGGCCAACCGTGACTAACTCAAGCTCCAGGACTTCTTCTACGTCTGCCCCAGCCATTTGAAGGACAAGAACTTCTGTTCCCCCATCATCGACAAAGAGGCCATCGAAGCGAAGAAGAAAAAGGCTCTCGATGATGAAGTTGAGCGTGTGAAGAAGGAATACGAGGAGAAACAGAAAAAGAAGAAAAAGGAAGAGGAAGAGAAGGACAAGGAAAAAGATAAAGACAAGGACAAGGGGAAGGGGAAGGACGAGGAAAAAACGGATGGCGACAAAAAAGAAGACGAAGCTAAGGCAAGCTCTTCAACATCCCGCCTGGTTCTTGCTTGGCCCAAAACACGACTGGTCTCCTAGGATATCGGCTAACAAGCTTCAAGGGTGGTGCCAACACGCCAACTCCGGCCCCGGAAGACGAGCCTCGCGTGTTCGCTTTACACAAGTAGGGAGTGTCTTGGCATGTCGTATGTTCAAAAATTGCCTTCAACTAATACGCCGCAGGAACTTCTTTGGGATGCGACTTGAAAAGAAGCGACAAATGGAGCTCGCAAAGAGAAATCGGGAGCGCCTTCAGCAACCGAATCTATTTCCATCGGTTCCGAAAGGCATGCCGGGTGGTTGAGAGGTATCCAGCACCGAATCCCGAAATCTGGGACCGCAATACAGGTCGGCCCTCACCCAGATCAAGAATCGCCGATGCCGCACCCAGGTCACGACCGTCAGCCCACTCAGAGCACCTGATTCTCTGCACCACCACCCGGACCAACCTCTCCTCATATATACCCGCCTGTATGTACCATCATTCGAGAGGTTTCTTCTGGCCAGGACAGGGATTCGGAAGCAACTTGTGTCCAAATCAGGCTTGCTGCATTAGCTGTTTCTATCTGAAGTCGGCGCCCGCTGTCATCCGTTCTCGTGCGGACAACGCTTCGATGTTGCATTCTGCTGGGAACCAAACCATCATTGTCCCCAGATCGTCATGTCATTGGTTCATTTACGTCTAAGGCTGTGATTTGGTTTACCCATATGTAGAGTAAGACGACTGCACTGGCCTTAGAGTGGGCTGTCGGGTTGATGGGGAAGCACAAGCTGCCGTGGAGGACAGTTCCGTCAGAATCTCTGTCGACGATCATGGGCGTGTGACTATGAGACCTGGCAACATCTCACTGGCCAAGCCAAGAATTTTCAACAGATCCTGGGCTTCGATCTGGTGCGGATGATCATAGCGGGTTTTTGCCGAAGAACCATGGAGTTCTGAAAGAGAGAACCCACGATTGTACTGTTTACCCCGCTAAGCTCGATCCTTAAAGCATCCCAGCCTGGTTTAGTTGGGTAAACTTGTCTGGGCTCTTGCTGTCGGGTCGACGAAGGAAGCCGGCGATAGGACCACGCGGACGTCTAAAGGCCGAAGATGCCGTCCCACGACGATGGAACCCTTTACGTTGCCAACAGCACAATTGATCATATTCCTCCGCTGATTTCCTCTTGGCCATCTCAATGTAGTGCATACTGCGAATCGTAAGCCGCCATGATTCGCTCAAGGGCTGAGGAGAGGGGACAGACGCAAACTGTGCCCGGCAGCGTAAGCATTACGCATGTCAGCACTAGGCCTGACAAGGGATTCGAGTGGTGTGAAGAACACAGCTGGAGTTCCATGGAGCAGAAGCGAGGATGGCACAGGCCGCTCTAACCTGCCAACCTGCAGAAGATTTTGTTGATGGTGACATCTTCCCGAGACACTACTGGGAGTGGGAGCTGCCAAGGCCGTTCTGCGTGTTCACAAGGCCAGAGACCCATGCGGTCCGCGGCATGCGTCGCCGTCCCAGAGAAGATTAGGGCTGACACTGGCTACTGGATCCGCATGCTACCCGATGTCAATCGGATGGCGATCAATCGACACGCCTTGGTGAGCACTGCTGCGAGGAGTTCTTGTTTAAGCAGTTTCTCCCGAACGCGTGGTGCATATCGCAACTAGCGCATTAATACCTCCGCTAATTCCCTCTCCAGCCTAATTCATGATTCGAGAAGCCGTAGCTTAGCTCATATTCAGAAGACGAGTTATCAATTTGAGCGTATTGAAGGGTGTGATAATGGTTCCCCGGAGCAAGTCCTGATAATCAACATGGACATGGCTTTCACTACAACCACCAAGATTGTATCGTAGCCCACAACTTGCATGTGAGCATCTAGTTGTCTCTCCGTAAATCGTCGGGCTACAGAGAACAGGATGCTGCAAGTTCATATCAACGGTAAATATCATGAGAACGTAAGCATATCCATGACCAAGGCAACTTGCTTATTCGGACAGTACGAAACGGGAGGACCCAAAGCCGCTCAAACCAACGTTCAAGGCTTCTGACTCGGGCGGCCGCCAAAGACATGCATAAGCATGCTGAAATCGGCAAGGGGCAAGGTGTGTGGGCAAATAATCAAAATGCCGCTGACTACGAGGGAGTTGGGATCCCCTTATGTCACAGCGGGGACGCAGGTTACCTGCTTCGAGCCCCCAGGCCTGAACCCAGCCACAGGGCAGCAAACAGGCCAGGCTACGTATACGTAGCTACAGTGACAGGGCTAGTTCTATGCCTGGGTTAAGGCTTATATGGTGCTAATTCTTTTAAGCCATATTCAAGGCATCCCAGATAGGCATTTCCAATGGCGCTGGTGTCAGCATGTCAGAAATACGCCATGCCACACCCGGAGCTCGAGGCTTCGGTCTCTCATGACTCGAGACTGCTACTCAATCAGGTAACAATCTGAATGTGCCTTGGAAGAGTGTCAGCAACGCTTGTCGATGGGACTTTGGGAAACATGCCTGCCCGGCTCTGTCATTAATCAGAAACAATCAGCCGAACTCAACCACCGAAGCCGCAGGCGGCACTTGGTGCTTACGCACAGAGTAGTCAGGCCAACAAGATAGTAACAGCCTTACAGCTTTTCGGTGGTCTACAAACGCTCTTTATTTGACAAAAAGCCTTGCGTGGCTGTCGTCACCTTTTGCTTCTGTTATCGAAAAAGCCTAGGCCATGGCTGGGTGGGCTTGAGCATTGCCTCGAATCCTGGCACTGGGCCTACTGACACCTTAAGGCCTGCCAAGTTTCACAAGACTCTAGCAAGTCGATCACCGGTGGCTTCTCAGCATGGAGGTGGGCTGCTCTCACGCTAAAGCAGACGACGATCACACCGACAAGAGGAGAAGTCTTGCGCGCTGCATGGGGCAACTAGAGTTGGTGTGAGACCTGCACACCTTCCCTCTATGCCATCCCGTCTACTTCCCGTACCCAGCTGAAATAAAAGTTGTGTAATACCTCCCACATAGCATCAATGAAAGATGTATTCAGAGGAGGGGTGAGCCAAATACACTCCTTCACGGCACAGGTGTGTGTGTTTACAGCTGGGAAGCTCGCCCCTCGGCGTCGACGTAGAGTGCTTGCCGCGTGGCGTGGAGGGGTCTAGCTTACACGCAGTAATTATCACAATGGCGACTGGGGGCGAACCATGGGGAAGGGGTACGAGGGGTGTGAGAGGTAGAGAGCAGGTTAGCGGTCTTTCTGAGGTAGAAATGTATGCTGATCATTTGCCTGCCGGAACTGCAAAGTCCAGGCTCACTCGTTTTAGCTGTGAGCGAAATCTTGGATGCTGCAGGGGCTTGCTAATGGTGCATTCTCTGGAGTCGTTAAATGTTGGAAATGGGCTTATTCATCCGAAGTATTCATCCGAGCTCGTCATTGTCATTAGTCTTTCAGAGCCGAATTTCTGCACAGAGTGAGCCATGAGGATGTCATCAATATTAGATCTTCCACTGTGATTGAGCACCGACGTGGACTCGCATGTTCCAAAGAACGGCCCCACAAACCATTTCACCTCTTTTTTCATCAATATCAACAAATTTTTTGGCTGAAGCTGCCCGCTTAGTGGAAATCTCTGCTTACAAGCCATCGTGGCTAATTGGATGCCTCGGACTTGGCAGCTCGGGATTTATTCAAGTACCTCACATCCTTAAGCCAAGGTAACTAGATACTACATGTGGGCGTTGGAGATTCTTACGCTGCCGTTGACACCGGGGATCAAAGGCCGGCATTGGTGTGGTTTAGGGCTGTGATGGCCGCGGCGGGTGACTAGGTTCCGATGTAGTTTCGTCGACTCTTGTTTCCACATCGGTCAGCTTGTCAGCACGATGGCCGGGGCTAGGGGAGGTTCCGTTACTTACCCCTCCCGATCTCTCGTCACATCTTCTGCAAGCCAAGACGGCAGTGGACTGTGATGGCTTTTTCGCCCATGACTGTGCTGACATAGGTAAGAATTGGCGTTTCATGGTAAGAATGGAATCATTACCCGGCATGGCAAATGGAAGCACCCGTGAAAGGAGCCGAGGCGTCATGAAACACTGGAGATAGTGTCTTTATGGGGTGCATAGCCTACCATGTACCTCACAGTAGCGAACCAAGATTGCGCAGTTGATGGAGGGAGATCTTATGTGAGAACTCTATCCATCGCCCGGCTTATCAGTCAGCCACAAACATGTGCTGCCTCGCAAAGCGCTTCAGTAACCAGATTTGGGGGCAATTAATTACGAGACCCGTGCCGCCTGTATTCGGGCGTTTTTGTAGAGGCACAGGCGTTATGGCTGCTGACAGCTGATTTGTGATCAACGTAGACTGATTCAATTGATGTGATCGTGACGCCACGGTGATGGGGCTTCAGGTTGGATGCTCAGGGGGGTTGATAGCCCCCACGGACTGAAAAGCAATTCGAAAATAATACACCCCTCCCCCTTTTCCCAGTCGTTATGATCAACTTGAGATATCCCCATAAGCTCCATCAATTGTAACCCTAGCCCTTTACAAGCCGCGCGCTTCGTCGAGGTGACCTGCGAAGATGACATATGTAAGGATATTACTTTGACCGCGGTAGTGCGAGATCCAATCAGATGAAAACCAGCTTATGATTGGCTGAGTAATTTAGGATGCGAAAGATAATAGGGTATTCTAAAGTACCCAGCAAACAATTTGAAGTTCATGGCAAGGCACTCGGGCACATTACTTGAGTTAAATATGCTGAGAAATCATTTCGAGCTTGACGAGCGACTTGACCTTGATGCCCTCGGAAGATGGTATGAAAGCGAGACAGGCAGTTGATAAATTAAGTTTGGGTTACCAATGTCAAAGGTGTAGAAATTTGCAATAAAATTCGATACTCCGTCTCTGAAGAAGATATGTAGTATAGTTATCTGAGTATGAGATCGACATCAGGGAAATAGAATGGCCTCTACGAATTGCTGCATGCTTGGACCACCCATGGCATGAATAAGTTTGACCGAAACCATTGCCAGTCTTGGGTAGATAGAAAGGCAAGAGACAAGGGAGAAAGAACATGTTCCTAGTCACAAAATGAGATACGCTTTATCATCTTGAGGGCTCACAATCATGTATTTATACATTCAAAACTACCAAGTAGCGTGTTCTTAAACTTTGCCGCCCCTATCCCTGAGCGCTAAAGGAATCGAATGTATTCCAAGATCCTCATAAACAGTTTGGATGGAGAATCAGTGTGAAATTAACAAACTATGAGTTTCAGCCATTGCCTTTATAGCCAAGAAAACATATATGAAAATCGGATGCCTACATATTTGTTCGTGCATGGAGACAAATATACAAGAACACGATCTGCCTCCTTATTCAATTCTCAAAGTAGCCTGGTCCTTGAAGCCCCTGCTACTAGAGCCAACGGAAGACGTGTACTCTCCGGTCTCAAATTTCCACTCTTGCCCAATAAAGTCCCAACGCTCAGGTCTATCCGCCACAGTGGGAAAGTTACATCAGCCTACTTCTTGGGACGGATCAAGACCTTCTGAAAACCACGCAGCTGCGTAATCGATTCCTCGGCTACTTCAAGGAATGAGAGATATATCTGAGCTACCTCGGCGCCAGCAACAGAGCCGGTGTTTGGGATGCTGGTAGAGATCGTAGCAACAACGTTCCAGAGATCCTCTCGGCCACCGATTGCCTTATACCCTGTCGAATATCCTCTAGTATGCTTGGGGATGCGTCGATATTGACGTCGGAAGGTATTTGAAAGTGGTGTCACTCGGCACCTACCAATGGCCCAATGTGACCCAAAGCTGGTCAGATTGTGCCTATTCTTTTGCGCTCTGCTTTCTTCTCTTGAACAGGAAGCTTATTCCTGCGCAAGCAATCTTAAAGTAAGAATGAAAGCTGGAGTGTCTTTGCCCACCCTAATGTAATTGTTGCACTCAAGCTCATGGACCGCACTGAGATTTTTGCTAGTTCTACCAAGCCGAAAAGCCAAGGAAGAAACTGAGCACACACTTTGCGATGATTTACTCTTATCGTGCTGCATGTAATTAACATTATATAAGATCTCTTTTAAGGCCATCTCGGTAGTTCAAGTTTGGTTGAGGTGTCTGGGTTGCGTCCGAGTGCCCGGCCGGATTCTCAGACGCCGGTTGTTGGGGCAAACCAATACGGAAGTGCATGGCTTCACTCCTCTCCGTCTTCCGGCCTACGTTTCTCCCACCGGAACTCTAGTGGCTCAATGGCTCTCCCTTTAACTCGTCGACGATGCCTAGTATTTTCGCGGTCTACAGGGTTCTGAATAAGTCATTGCTGGGGCCCGGGAAGCAACCTACCGTTATCCAATCAACGCGGTCAATACACAACACAAAATTTCGAACTGGATCTAAATTACAAAGATCTAATTGTTGGAAAATCAAACCGACGCCTGATATGCTTTGCGAGTGTTTCAAACAAAACTTTTTTAAAAAAAAATGTCTATAGTCGCACGTCATCAAATGCTCCCAGCCCACTCGGTCTTACCGGAGTCTCTAGCTTGTGCAAAAGCAGTGTTCAGTTCTTCTCGTTGGTCATCAGTCAGCCTTGACCTGTGAAGGCCCAAGTCTCGGTCCCGCAATTTCGCCCCATTTCGCGCCAGTAGCACCGACATTTTCATCCTGTCAGCGCCTAGTAATGTCGTAACTAAGCATATGTCCAACGGTGAAAGACCGTCAACGTTTCGCGTATTGGGATCCGCACCGAACTTCAGCAGAAATGACAATGTGTTTGTGTCCTTCGCCCCTCCCTCGACCCTGAACCTAGAGTCGACGTGATGGTGTAATGGCGTGTTGCCGGCAGCATCCATAATATTGGGATCGACATTTGTCTTGTAAAGTAGAAACTGCACCAGCTCAATATTATCGTACGCAGCTGCTTGATGGAGAGCATGCAGCCTCGCAGCTTCATGTGTCAACAATGAGGAGCCTGCCTTGACGAGAAGCTTGGCCATATCCACTGTCTTGCCGTGCGCTCGCATTCTGCCTGTCCCCAGCAGGAAGTATAAGGCGTTGGCCCCGTGAGAGCTTACAGGGTTGTATCCTATCGTCGTTTGCAACGACAGGCAGGGAAAACTGGCGTTATATTCGTCGCAATAGTCCTCCACATACCGCAGCGAGCCAAAGTTCCCTGCGTCCAAGCCCGGCTGGACTACTACTCTCTTATTGAGACTCACACCAGCTTTGTGATGCAACAGAATTTGAAGGACATCTTCGCGTCCACACAACGCCGCCCAGTGCAGGGGGCCCATATCGAGTTTCCGTGGCTCCCTCCACCAAACTTGGTACTCACAATGCTCGCAATGCCGGAAGCACTCGTTCGTCCACTGGAGCGGCATCGTGTAATCGTCTGCATCTGCATTCGCGCCATTTTCCAATGCAAGTTTCAGAGCCCGGAGGTTACCCCTTTTTGCCGAGATCAGCAGTGCTGAAGAATGGTTCTGCTCTGCGTCCCTCCGATAGAGCACGGGCGTGATGAGTTCGTAGAGTGCACGACACGAGGCCGCCAGGTTCGCGACGTCTCTCCAAACATCGAAGCGAGGCAGCATGCAGAAGGGGCACATCTTGTCGTTCTCGTAGGGCAGACACGATGATTCCCAATACTTCTCATAGCCCATAGAAACCTCCTTGGCGTACAAGTCAAAGAGCGCGTCGACGATGCAAAGGATGATCTCAGATGGGAGACGTCTCACAATGCCGGGCGCATTGGGCTTGGCCAGCGCGTGGTGGTAGCGGCGCTTTTCCTGAGCATCGCCATAGAGTGGTACATGGCTCCATACACATGGACATCCAAAGAGTGCCGGTACCTTCTCGTTGGCCGTGGCGGGAAAGTCTGGAATCAGGATCAGCTAGGTTCCGACGTTGCCGGTGGCGAGTGAGGATTGCGCAGCCGCATAGCCAACTTACGTGAGTGGGCCATCATGACCTCAGAGACTGGAATCCAAGCCTTAATCGAGTAAAATCAAAGGCGTTCTATAACAATGCTGTCTATTATATCGCAACTTATTGACAAAGGTCGTGGTAACGAGTGTGGGAAGGAAAAGATCAACGCCTAGAGGAATGAGACTGGAAATATTTCCAGCGCATCGAACGGAATGCCGTGAAATGCCATCACCATCGCCGAGAGTCATTGCCCGGAAATTTTTTCGTCTCAGTTGCCGACCCCTATTATGAAATTTCCAGGGTACGCCTGCATGTCATTGCAGACGCGTTGGGCCATTCGAGAAACCGTGTCATTTGGCTGTTAGAGTTCAAGGGACGTTCCTTGTTCAATACGTGGTGCGATTCTGCTTACTCATGAACTTTCAAACCATTGCATGAACAGTTCGGAGTCAATTCGGAGACTGCAATTTGTTATTGCAATATCAAACCGGGTGATTAATTCTATGGCGTCACTGCAAGAACTTTTGGCCACTTCTCGTAAGAAATGGCTAAGTCTTTTGGGTGTGTTCTCTCGAAATAAGGATGATTAGTAGTATACGTTGTTGTTTGCGTGAATGGTAATTACACAGATTACTTTGATTGGCTTGAAGAAAATGTTGCGTCAATTCCAGGTGACAATGGTCCTGACATAATGACAAGCAAAGACGTGTAAGACTAAGCCGGCCTCTAGAATCTAGATTGAATATTGCAGAAACCGCGCCAGCTCGGCTGTCCAGTTGCGCTTGGGATCATCGAGAGCCAAGCCGAGCGCATGCGGTCCGTCCGGAAGAATCAGCACTTGCGTGGGCCGCTTGTAGGATGCCATGGCCTCGACAAAGAGGAGCGTGTTCTGCACAGGAACGGTGGCATCGTTGAGCGTGTGGAACAGAAAAGTTGGCGGCGTAGTCGCAGAGACCAGGTTCTGTGCCGACAGCTGGTGTTGCAACTCTGCGCTCGCATCAGCACCAATGAGGTTGTCGCGCGAGCCTATGTGCGTGTAGTTCCCTTCGAGAGTGATGACGGGGTACGCGAGGATGCCAAAGTCGAGACGGGCCGCCGGGTTTGTGAGCGTCACGGCGGAGAGGTGGCCGCCTGCCGAGAAGCCCCAGATACCAAGCTTGGTGGTTCGGTTCTGTCCTCTGATGTACTCCAGGGCCTCCAGTGCCTCGTTCTGAGGGGTTGGGTAGAGGGGCGCGCTTGCATTCGAGACTGTGGTGTAGTCGAGGACCCAAGCATCGATCCCTATTTTGTTCAGGAACTCGGCGGGAGTGTATCCCTCATTTGAAATGGAAACGTAGGCATATGCGCCACCGGGACACACGAGAACTCCGGTACCCGTTGAGTTGGTCGCTGGGAAATATGTGATTTGCGCAGTGTTGAGCCTACAGAAAGTGTGAGAATGCCGTAGCAACTATGCCCTCGGATATTCTCACCTCTTCACAACTCTGTGGGGATCGAGAGATCCTTCGCTGTTAGACTCGGGTGACATAGCGACTGTACTACAGAGAAGAAAGCCCACTGCCAATTTTAAAACAGACTTCATCCGTTTGCTTGAAGCCTGATCCCAGTTGCTCCAAGGATAGCAGAGCCTGTAATGATTGAGCGGCCAGATTACGGTTGACTGTGATATTCGCTCCGAGCCAAGAACGGTTGGGTCAGTTGATATTTTTGGTATCGTATATCTCAGGGTAGTTAACCGTACGGTTGGAAAGGTAACGAAGGATCAAGTTGGATTGTATTCGTTCTGCGTGAAGTGAAAGTAGCAGGCCGGGGCGGGTTTGCCGGCTTATATGTGCCAGAGCGGTGGATCCGTTGGTTACACTGACTCGGCGGTCGAACTGGACGTCCTTACCGACAGACATATACCTGTAACTCACCACAGGTGCCCTGCGCAGTGTAGTGCTGCTGTTCATTTCTCCCAGCCTATGGACAGGTACTCCGTTGGTCCGGATCCTAGGATTTTGATTGAAAGATAATACACCTCGTCATATCAAAAACCGAAAGACTGTCACCTCGACGTCGACCTCGGCGAAAACCGCCAATGGGAGCGCAAGACTAGTCGCGCGCTAGAAAATTCCCCTCAAAATGGAAATCTTTCGCGGTTAGTCCATGTTCAGGCTGTGGGTTAAATGTCGGGGTTCGCTGAAAGTAATAGCGATTCGACTTCTCATTCCCTCGTGAGTCTAGTGCAATGTGCCTTCACGACTAAGCAATGAAGTACGTATCCGCTATAGTTCTCATTGCAGTCGAGGGTGTTTATACGCGACTGCAACCTTTTTCATTTCAAGTTCAAAACAAGCACGAGTACCTATCACGTTTCTAATTGCCGTGATATATCTACATGGCTTGCAACTCGGAACTAGCAAGGCCGGGAACACCCCATCATCTGTGTCTATCTGAGTTCGCTCTTGAAGTTGCAATTGCGAGGGTCTGATCCATCCAGCATAGGGAGGACATTACGGGGTTGTACTGATTTGGTATGTGGTCAAATAGTTGTAATATTCGCACTCTATCGTTAGCCTTCTTGAGGCATCAAGCATGATTCTTGTGTTTGGGACAATTGCTACATCCATGTTAAACATACAATTGATTTGATTGATTTTCGTGGAGACCGAGGGGCACAACGCAGCTTGAAAAATCATAACGAACCTCAAGATGTTTATAGAATCCTTCGACACTTGGTCACATGTCTCCTCAATCGCTTGTGTGAAGGAGCTCTGTGAGAAGGACGAAGAACAAAGGGCAACTAAACACCCGTGGTTGCATATGGCTACATGTACTGATGAGTATGGCTTACTGGGAGTGGGACACAATGCTGAAACCAGTGTGCAAGTTCCTGATTATGCGCTTATGAGAGGCTTCGACCTCACCACCAGTAGTAAGAATGGCTGCGTTCGCAACAATCTCAACCACCTTGAGGATGTACTCTCGTGTGCCAGCGTTTTCCTTCTTAACCCAACCCAACTCAGCACGAAGGCACTCATTTTCTGCACGCCAGGAGTTAGTACAAAGTCATCCAGTAGAGTCGTTCCCGATGTGTCTTTTACAGAAAAGGTATTTGACCACTGTCTTGTTGTTGACGGTGCCAGAGGTCATGTCACCAAAGACAATGATGGGGGGCAGCAACCTTGCCAAGACTGAAGTTCTCCACAGTAGCATTGAACAATCTATTCCCGTCTACAATATCATAGCCAAGCCATTGGGGGTAAGAAGCTTACATTGGAGGTCACGGATATGTAAGCCAAGCAGCAAAGCGCCGTATCGAGAGAGCCAATTACAGCCACCAAGTTTCAAATACACTTCCCACATATTCGTGTAGATCGACAAGACTCCCCGTCCACCCTTATTGTAATTCTCCAGAAGTCTCGCGAGACAGTCAAAGCCCGATATCTCCTTTCAGCAGAGAACTATCGTCAAAACAATAACGAGACTAAGCTTCTCAGCTATAGCATTAAATTGCCCCCAGCTTCCGGTACTTGGTTCAGCCTGTAGCCCTAAAGCATCGCGCGAGACTCACATCTATGATCCTGCAGGCACCCCATCTTCAACCTCTGATGTACTCGAAAACACCTTGAACTCAATTTTCGATGCCCTCCGCCTCCCGCAAGTGGCCCCTTTGACGCTAAGCCTAGCCCTTCCATGAGTACCGATTCACCGGCGTCGCTCTCACGGGGTACGCAGTTGAGATCCGCCAACTTCATGCAGTTCGAAGCAAGGCTGAGTGGAAGGAAGGGCGGGTTTGGGGATCTCTCCAGTTCGGGCTCGGTGTCGGCCATCCTCCCTTAGCCACCGGCCTCCGAAGCGCCCTTAAAGGAGCAGAAGGCTATGCTTTTGATGCGAAGTCCCCTCCGCTCTCCGACGATGACACAATAACAAGATATTATTCTGTGCCACTCCGGACGCAAGACGGCCGGTGAATTTCGACTTTTGATGACAACAGCGCCACCCATTGCCTTTGGTATGGCTCAGCTGGATGAAAGTTCGGACCATGGTCAGCGGACTTTGGGAAATAATGGCTCGGGTTAGGGTCGCGGGCCGATGACGAGGAGTCGGGGAGTTCGCACCATCTGCTACGTTGAGGACAGCCAGCTTCGCTAGTATCTACATTAGGCCGAGTTATAGGCTAGTAGATGGCATCTACGGGCCGACGAGCCAAGTAAAAACACCAAAGTACGGCGCGCCATCGACAACACTCTTCAGAGCCCAAGCCTCCGATAACGATGTGGACGTACCTCGACGGACCACGAGGACTTCTGTCAAGTCTCCAACGCTCTACAATGTTCCGAAGAAGCCTTCTCTGGCACTTCCTCAGCAACATGGAGTCATTAGGGGTCGGCTCGGATGAGGAGGAAGATGCAGAAATATCTTTCGGGCACCAGAGTCTGACATGATGCCGGGCCAGATCGACGTCCCCGGATTGGACAACTTACGGCTCATCCCAGTATTTGACAGCTGAGCCAACAACTTCCACACCCCAAGAAGAGAAAACCTGACAGCATCTCGCTACGTCAACTCACCCTACCCTCCCTTCCCACCTCTCGACCTTCATCGAGCACTAGTCTCCGATGCGTGTAGCTAGCCTCTGCGCCGTAAAAAGCACGATCAGCCACATGAAGCCGAGATCATCGATGAATCACGACCAACTACACAGCCCGCAGGGCCTCGTCACGCAACGTCCAGGTGGGCGGGCTGACTGAGCACCACCCGCGACAGAGGAGGGCGGATCATCGATGAAATCCAGGATACGTGACTCCGTCACTTAGGAACCGTTGTCATCGTCAGCATTCCGCGACGCTTACATCAGTTCCGGGGGCGGAGGGGGTTGCGACATCAGACAACCTCATCAAGCCTCTTTGTCAGATCGAAATCGGGGAAAAAGAAAGCCTCTCCACCATGCCCACTCGCGATCGCAAAGCCTGACTTACGCCGCCTCCTTTTCGTCTCCGTGTTCACTGTTACTTCGCCAGCCCCGTCGGCCACGCGGGGGCTCTTCACAGTCAGCAAATCCTCGGAACCCACGGAATTCCGCCGTTTCCTCACCTCCCCGTTTCCTTCGCGGCCCGACAACCCTCGTGTAAGCCAAAGCACGACGCCAGTGACCTCAATACAACCTACGCCGGACTTGGGACGTCGTAGAGTTACTTCCCTCCAACGCGCCAGGCAACCTGTCAAATCCTTCCCAAATTCCAACATCAAACGAAAAAAAAAAGAAAATAAACAGAAAGTATGCCGGAGTTCCACCACCCATCTCGACCTTCTAGACCAAAGACCTTCCCCCTCTTCACCCCGCAACAAGAGTGAGCCTAGAATCAGCACTAAAACACCCATTCGACGGGTCTAGAAGGACTATAACCGGATCCTCACCTTGTTTATCCCCCATCACCCGTTAGGGCTGGAATGCCCGGCGCCACCAATTTCAACTTGGCACAGTCTCTCTCTCTCTTCTCCTCTCTTTCTAGTACACACCCAGAGTTTGCATGATGACGACGTCCGCTACGGCCATAACATCCAGAACTAAACAACAAAGCCGTTCGCATCTGACATTATTGATTGAACATGCCCTCCCCCTCGTACAAAACGGGGTGAAGTAGGGATATGGACCCGGTGTACGGATACCTACAGAGGCCCATACCTTACGAATAAACGCCCACCATGTGAACGCATCAAACATCATTCGCACACCCTCCCCCCTCTTCACAGCCCAGCCGAGATGTCCCAGGTGCTAGTCAGGGTCCCATTGCCCCATCGGAGATTATCTACGCAGAGCAGGCTGGGCACCAGGGCAGGAACAGGGCCAGGGCACCGGGGCGAGAAGGAAAGGAAAAGAGAGAGCGCATGGGGCTCGCTAGCGTTAGAGGGGGGGTGAAGATGGGCATGGCATGGCATGGCAAGGCGGCGCGCGGACGGTAAGGATTTCTTCATGGTTCGGGGGGTTTACTTTTGAGCAAGTTCATGACGAAAGGGCCCTACCAGCCTACCAGGGAGGACAAATGGCAATGCAGAACAGAGTTCAAGCCGTCCGTCCCATCGCCTACGCGCTCGAAACTTAAGCCGCTGTTGTAATGCGCAGGGGTGGGTGGGTAGGGGGGGTTTTCCCGGGAAGAGGCGTGCTTTGAGGTGTATCCTCTTCTCTCGCCGCAGTGTCGGACAAAGCCCAGGGCGAAAGAGAAATTGCCAAGACATATCGGTATTTCACCTCCAACAACAGCAACACCCCTAACTTACCCCGGGGGCCATTTGTGTTTCCGTATCCGTATGCCTTCTCTAATATCGAGAGAAAGTTTAAAGAAAGTTTACATAGCATCGAAGCTAGGCACGCGTGGTAAGGTAGCACGGTAGTTGGTAGCACACTTTAGCTTGTTAGATTGATTTGCATCGATGACCTAGGATGAACCAGGCCAAGAAGGGGGGACACACAATCTCGACATCGCAACTCGAGCACTAGCAAACGGCACTACTGCTTCACACTACACTACATCCGAAACGCCCTCCGTTCCTGGTCCCGTCGTTAGAAGATCCCCATTTTCCCAGCATCGACTAGCTATCTAGCCCTCACGCATCCAGTTAAGTGGGAAAACCCTCTCCGTTCCCTTGGATGCTTGCCTCCTTGCAAGTTGCGATATACACCGGCAGGTACAATGTATGGCAGGTTACACTGGTACTAACGGGTGTCGTAGGAGGAAACGTAAGTGAACATTCGCATCCTAGTTCCTAGTGACCCTCGATATTTAACACAAATAATTAGCGTCATCGATTCCTATCGGCAAATGACTATGAGAAGAGAGAAAGAAGAAGAATTGCCCCTCCCACTCGCGCGCACCGAGCCAGAGTGGAATCACGAATGACAAGTGCCAATGACAAGTGTCAGCAATTTACAAAGTAGTGTACATGTACATTACAAAGTTGCCCAAGACGACGACACTGGAACACGAGGTTGTACGAATCAATCGCTCTCTCGCCCGTACACGATCCACGGCGCACGACCCCGTGGCAAAGATGAGCTGGTTCTCGCCCGCTTTAGCAATATGTAAGTGGGACTTGCCTGTTGTCTTCGGGATATCCGTACCATCAACGCGGCCGAGCTACCAAGAGAGAGAGGGCCAGTAAAGTTGGGACGATGCCCCCCCCTCCCATGCCATCTTACGAACCGTTGACAAAGCATTGTGGTTTAGAGAGCAAAAGGTATGTATCTGTAAAGCATGCTTGGAATAGCAATAAACCACCCAGCGGCAAAGGGTATCCAACAAAATTGCAACTCTGCCCTCGCAACCCCACCAAGAAAAGATGCACTCACCTTACTCATTAATCCAAATCTACCCGCCCCCCCTCCTCTCTGACAGGCTTGGCCTATCCGGACCCTACCCCTACCCCTACCCCGGGTGCCCCTTCTCGGCTGAGCCTGCTCTCCCTTAGTCTCTCTCTTCGACCTTCCCCGAAAGTTCGGTTAATGCCGAACAGGATCTTGAATATCACCACATTCTAGCATTTTGCTCCTTTCTGCGGCCCCTGGAGGGAATTGCCCAAATGCAGTCAGAGTAGGTGCAGTAGAGCCCCGGTATTGGTCGGTCCCCTTTAAGCAGAGATTTGCATTGAGTCCCGAGCCGATCGTAATGACGACACACTCTGGGAATCCACCCTCTCACATGGAAAATGGGACGAAGAGCAAGATTACAAAGGGGGCAAGAAGGGGGAAGGGGACACAGGGGAGGAAGGATAGAGGGAAGAGATGCCCGGTTGTCGAATCACAGCGTGTACATTATACGGAAGACGTTCCGGACTTGAAACCTCGTCAGTTGAGCGAGGCTGGAGCGCTTGGCGGTGTCCTCATTGTCGAACCCGGGCTTTTCCCATGTTATTCTATCCAGCATGACAAGATTAAGAATCAGTTTGAGGGTGACTTCTCCGCCTTTGTCCGGGCTTTGGAAACCATGGACGGAACGGTGTCCATCACAGGGCCGAGAGGAAAGGGAACCGGGGGACTTGAATGGATGAGGACATGTCCAAACCCTGAGATGAAGAACTACGAAGATGAAGAAGAAATTAAACCATGGTGTTACTAGGACAAGTGTTTTGTGGCGGCGATGTATGTCACAAACCTGCACACCCCAGCGTCAACGGAACTCGTGTCCGGCACGCAGCCATGTAATAGACCGCAAGCAAAAGATTACACGTCATCCAAGAAGGCCGAAGACAGCAGAGGAGTGTACCTCGGTTCAGTGTTGGATGCAATGTCCGTTGGGTAGATATATATCTGACTTTCTGTACTCCGTAAGCTCTCGGTCATTAAAGTACTCATTAGCCACTGCAGGAATTCGCGATAGAGGTTCTAGATTCAATCTCTCGATAACCTTTAGTCATGAAAGCAACACGTCAGCAACTTCGCCAGAGATCTGGAAAAAAAAAAAAGAAGGATCTACATATTGGGCCTTATCGGCGAGCCCGGAACTAGAGATGAAGATCGGCTCGAAATGCAGCAAAAACCCTTCCAAGTCATTCATCGGGTGCGCAGCGACCATGCGGGCCATCGCCGAAAGAGCACAGTCCGTGTTGTTGTGGTGAAGGTTCAATGCCGATGGTCGATGAGACGGATAGTAGGTACCAACCATGCGATGATGTACGATCTGAAATCTCCCCCCTTGGCTCCGCAGGGCTGGGGGCTAGCGCCCTTTCTATCCGTACTCCTTATTACAACGGATAGTTTCTCTTCCACATCCTCGGCGGATGACAGTCCTGCGTTGAAACTCTCTCACACCGCACTTTGACAGACTCGCTCTTTGCCCTATTATACGCCGTCGCAGGCGGCATCCCCCCCAGGGAACATCCCACTTGAGAAACCATGGTAGCTGTAATGGTCAGCAGTAACCTACTTGCCCGCCCCCATGAATGGCGTTGGAGTCAAAAATTCAAGAAAAAACTAGCTCGCGAATTCCTGCCACTTGACTAACTTTGTCTTCGTATACCTCTATCGTCCACATACTGAGGTCGGCTACCTACGTATCTACTAGTTCTCGATCCCCGTCGTCCCCGTGCTCCGGTGCTCCGGAGATGCAAATTCGCGGAGAAGCGGACGCTGAAGAATGTGGAGACTCTAGCTCGATCATGAAAAAAAAAAAAAAAAAAAAGGGACCGAGCTTGCTTGCTTCTCAAATCTTGGAAGAGGATTGAAAGGTGGACTAGCCAGGACGGTACTACTGCAAAGTCAGCCTGTTGCACCGCTGATCGCTGTGTGTAACAAGAGCAAACCGGACAGAGGATGAAACACCCTTTACGGACAAGCTTCCCTCTCCATCATCAGCATCAGCATCAGCATCATCGTCAGCGTACTATGTAATCGCCAGTGTCGCCCTACGAATACGCAGTGCAGGGTGCTGGGCCCGCGCTGCGCAACGGGACACCCTTACCTTGTCCTTACTCATACGCTAGGTGGCCCGTACTCGTTGCCCACCCTTGGCCTGGCACCCGTGTATTCGTATGCCTGGGCCGGGTTTTCCCCCTTTGTAATCACTCATCACCGTCTCTACGGATACTCCAATCCTTCAGTCCGTCTCCCCTTGCCCATGTCCCAGACGAACCCTGCGGCCTTACCCTGCGTTGCCCTGCCCGTAAGTAACCCCGTTGAACTTGGCCCCCAAACTCTGCAAAGTCCACAGGGCGCAAACTCAAAAGGAGTGCGAGACCCCTTGGGTGATCCATCCGTATCTCCGACGCGGGAACGGGTTTCTTGATGGAGCAGCCAAAGGCACCGGCCGAGACAAGGCGCAGGGCCAAGGTGACGGCGAAGAAAAAGAAATGGCATGGCAGTACCCAGCAGCAGCCCTCCCTACTCTATCCGTAAGGATTCCGTAAGGATACTCCATGGGCCAAGGGCCAGAAAGTCAAGATTTCGCCGATTGATTGCCTCTAGGGCTCCACTGGCACCCTGGCCCTCAGCTCCCCATCTCTCCATCTCTCCTCCAGAAGCCTTAGTCTACCTGACATACACACTTCCGCAGGGTTCTGCTGATTGGCGGCGCAGGTCGCTCACATGCCTGACAAGACGGCCCTGACCTTGGATTAACATTGTATCCTTTGTAGTGAGCAGGAGAAAAAACCAGATTTGACCGCGGACGATGCAGTACGCATAGTGGATAGTTCGCAATGTGGTTATGTCCGTGGTGTCCATGAAGCTTCGATGTTGCACCAGACAATGTAATGATGGGAAGAACCCCGCGCGTAATGCTGCTGCTGCTGTTCTGACAGAGAATGCTTGCTGGTGCTGGATGGTGAGCGGCGATTGTTTGGCCCCGAACACTCTCCGTCTGGAATGGACCACTTCCTCTGCCGCCGGGGGCGAGGCCCCGTGAGCCAGCTGAACCACGGATATTGCGTTGCCTTTGCATTCTTGTCTCCATTAGTGGCCACCCGTGCCACCCCCTAGAGTCCGAGACTAGTTCGCCTTATATGACCTTCTCGTGTTGTTCCAGAAGACATCTGGAAACCCTCGTACTACCACCTAGTACCTACAAGTTAGGTAAGCAAAGAAGAAAAAAAAGAAGAGAGAGAGAGAGAGAAAGAAAGAAAGAAAGAAAGAAAGAAAAAGGGGCACTAGGGGGGAAAGTCCCCCATGCCCCGTTCAGCCGAATATTGACCTGCTTGCTGCCTTCTCTTCGTCGTGTTGGGACCTTAACGCTTGGAAAGCTGAAGGTTTGTGCCTTGCCAAATAGCCTAGGCACTTCGCCCTGCGCGGCCCTACAGGCGAAACATATGACATGTTCCCAACTGAAGGGTTAGCGCACTGCCCTAGCGGCAGGCGGACCCTTGGCATCGTGTCCCAGGCAGTGAACTATAGCCGGTAGGGCGGAAAGTGCGGGAGAATTGATCGTGGTCGTGGTCGTCTCGTGGTCGTTGACGCTTGCCAAAAGGTCGAAAGCTTTTCCTAAACAAGAGGGCGTCCCCGATGTTGACCTCGGCATGTCAGGGACGGACTGGGAAGAGCCGGGCAGAGAGAGTTAGGGGGCGTCCAAGGGCAACCAAGGGTGTGGGCAAAGGGGACTTTTTGCGATTTAGCGCAAGCACTCGAGAGGGGACCAAGTCGAGGACCCAGGCCAGGAGTCTATCCGTGCTCTGGTCGCCGACCACCCCCTTGCTCTTGGAGAGCATGCGAGCGATCAATCGCTTCAGGTCAGTGACATCGTCGCCTTGCCGAATTGGGCCATAGATTCGGGCAAGGAAATGAGTTGCTATCGCGGCCTGTTGTATACTCATTTTGCAGCCTTCATTATCGCCGTCCCATCGATGCTCCAGTTCCACATGGGGAATCTGGCGAAATTGAACTCGAAAAAATTAAGCACACAAACCCCCGCCGCAGCTGCAGGTAGCTTTCCTTGAACCGGGTAATTGTACAGAGAGTATCCGTATCCGTATATAGAGAAAGAGTATGCGTAAGAAAGAGAGGAAAAGAAGAGGTTCCCTACCAGACAGCGATACATCATATGAGGACCCTTGCAATGCTAGGTTAGAGGTACCCAAAGGGCTGGATATGACTCGTCGATGCCGTTCGCAACCTCCTGGACATTGCTTCTTGCACTGCCACACTCGCCCCAGTGATCCAATGTTGAATCCAGAATAGGGGGATCCACAAACAGGGCCAGCCGGTCGGGAGGAAAAGAGAGGGGGGCCAGGGCCTTGATGCCAATCTCCCTAAAACGGGGATGTCGCGGGATTTTTAGTGTCCAGCAGGAAGGGAACAACTTCACACGAGCCCAAGAGAGGTCCAAGGATGGGGGCTGCAAGGATAGAAGAGGGATGGGGAGGGGGATTTGATGTTTAGGGCTTCCGGCAGTCGAGACGCCGGGGACGGGACTCCAAGAGAGCAATTCCTCCGGCCGGGGCACCGCCGGCTATTGACTGTGGCCCGGCGAGGAGCACGCGTAACCTATGGGACCGCGAAGGCCTGCACAGAGGCCCAGGGGCGGACGGCTAGTGTACACTCGTCCGTTTGGCAGGCTATCGACGAGCCGTCTCCCACCTGGTGCGACGCCATTGCGAACCCAATGCCGTGAGTGCGGTGCAGCAGGTTTGCAAGGGGGACGTAAGGCTAAACTCTCGTTAGTCAGGCATTGTGCTTGTCGGATGGGATGACTACTGAAATCTTGCTGCTGACAGAAACTTGCTCCATCATGGGCTGCTTGTTTCCCTGCCTCCAAAAGTGGCATAGGGGGGCCACCTGCTAATGTTCCGTCCGTGTGTCTCCGCCGCCACGCTACCGTTTCCTCCGTCGACCGCGTAAGCACCGAAAGTCAACCGGGGAAGCGACGTCTGAACAACTGAAGGAGTAGGACAACTCCCCAGCTTTTCAAGTTGACGGTTCAACAAGGGGTCCGGACAGGAAACACGCGTGTCACAAGTTGACATGTCCTGGCTTACGTAGTTGCACTCGCGCCGATGTGAGGTTCCATCGCGGGTGTTACTGCTCCGGCATGACTGGTGGCTGGCTTGGCGCAACTCATTTGGATTGGAGACCTCAGGGGTGGGTTGGTGGTTGGGTTGTCATGGAACAAAGGCCGATGACCCGTGACGACTGGTTGCCTCTGCCACGCTGCCATGCCACGATCGCCGTTTGTGTGAACCACCTTGGCCAAAACAATGGCACTTTGCTGATCTCGGTCGACGGGAAACATCCAGAGTGTGGCCAACGCCGCACTAGGAGGCCATCTGGCTCATCTCCAGCATCCCCCCGCCCCCCAAGGCCGGCTGGGAAAAAAAAAAAAAAAAAGGGCCAGCCAGGCACAGTCAAGATGAAATCTGGGTTTTCAGTATCCGTACGGAGTACCATGTATGCCACTACGCCCACGGCCTGCTCGGCGCAATTACATACTCGTACTTTGGGACCCGAGGCATGGCCCTGTTCAAACTCGTGCTAGTCGTGCCCCTCACCCGGTGCTACCGCGGGTCCCTTTGGGGCCGCAAAGGGCCCTTTGGAGCCAGGGCGGCAGATCATCGCCGTCGATGCAACCAAAACTCACCTTCTGAGCGTCGCTGACGGTGCCGCGCCTCGTGTGCCCAATAAGGCTCCTCCTCGACGACGAGTCAAACTGCGTTACCCTGTCATGCAACGTCGTAGACCTCATATATGGCTAGTCATTCGGTCTCTGTATACCCGCAATGTGGTGCGCCATGGTGGCACGACCTCTCGCGCACCTTGCAAGCAATGTTGGTCAACTCGACGCAAGTCAAGCGTCGAGAGCTGATTAACGAAAAAAAAGAAAAAAGCAGGAAAAAAGGAAAAACCTGTAGCTACCGCTGGCTGAAAGGGATCACCGGCATGAGCTGATGATGACAGGCGGCCAGGCGGGTAGGCCACGCAAACTTCCGGAATTCTTCTAGACCGTTTCCATGCGCTTGCCGGATGGGGCACTTCCTCCGCGTCCCGATGATGCAGCAATGCCAATTTTCTCCTCATGGCGTTGACTGTCACGACCTGCGAATTCGCGCAACGCGATGCGGGTCACATGCAGTAGCCCAACTTCAACCGCGGATCTAGATGCAGCAGGGCACCGAAACTATTGAGTCGGCTTCCAATGATGCCCTTGAGCCTGCCATGTCAGCAGTCGCCGTGCCGTTGCCTGTTCAGAACACAAGAGTCTCCTTGGAAAGTCGTGGCCTTTTGTGACGAGGTGGAGCTCTAACCCAACCAAGCGCTGATTACCAGTAGGTATTAGTTCCTTCTCCATAGTAGCATCAATGCTACGGATGCCTTATCCCGTACTCGTGACAGGCTTTGTGACTGGCAAAGTGGGTTTGGTGTCGGACTTTGAGTGAAGATATGATACTGCACTCCCGTACGGATATCTATTGGTGAGCTACCCATAGATACTGCCATTCGTCTTCGGCCGCAAATGACTGAACCGGGTCACGGAGGTGGCGATGCTGATGAGATGGGTCTGGGAGACAGCAGATCAGCGTCGAGTAGAATGCTAAGCCGGAGAGGTTCAAGTCGACCCAAATTCCCAACCATCAGCCCTGTCGGAACTAAGTAGCATTCCCAAGCACACGAGTTTGACGTCCCACACGTCTGTCCGTCTGCCCGCCTGCACGCCAAAACCAACGCGTCGGTACGGGGCCCATTTTGGCCGGCGGCAGACCAACTGATTCGGAAGCCTGGCCGGCAACAAGATGAGCTTCACCCTTCTACAGGGACCTTGGCATTGTCTCGTGTTCCGGAGGCTCTGTTGTGGACCTGAGCAGCTTTACCGCATCGACTAGGTGTGGGAGGCACGGAGTGGCTCTGTGCAACGCAGCGCCAGAGATAGCTCCGGACCCAACGCACCGGTTACTCGGCGGCTGGCCTGAGCATAGTGTAATTGTACGTATTCGAAACCCCGTTCTGGCCCCCGTGTAAGCCCTCTCATGGCGATGACAGACCCTGCTGGCAAGATGGGTAGTAAGGCCTAGATGCATACAATGTATGCGCCAGGTAAGGCAGTGAGAGTGTCACGTGAGTGTCAATGGCTGGGTGCCTTTGGAACGAGCCATGCGAGGGGTTCTTGACTCTGCGAGCACACGCAAGGCTGACCTGACCCGTGGCAGATCTATCAACATGTGTGGCGTTGGTATGAGCAACGAGGCCGGCGGAATAACGACCCCCAATAATAAACTGCAGGTCCTTCTGCTATAAGGATCTTACTCTGATGCACATGAAGTGCAGAGTAGGAGTTCGCAGCTGGCTGGCCCGGAAATAGTAACTAATCTGATAAATGACAGATTCGGAAATCTTTTACGCCATGGGACTGGTCGCTGAGTCCCGGAGTTGCAGAGGTTCTTGTCAAGCCGCTTATTTGTATGCTACGGAAACTGGCCACTAATAACGCTTTCCCACACTGCTGGTCGGCGGAATTCACCGCGATCCTCATCGTTTCGTTGGTCCAGATACGCACCGAGTCGATCGAAGGATATTGTGTACACGTCCATTGTGTCCGTGATCGATGCTGCAAGTAAACGGCACAGCTCCTGCTGGGTGGCGGGTGAGAGGGGTACGGAGCGGGGAGACATGCCGTCAGGCCTTACATAGTAGTGGCCGCATCTCAAGGGAGGTGGGTAGGTAGATCCAAGTGTTAGTGATGCAAATATCTCCTCGCAATTCTCGTGCTGCTGTGTGAAGCCTGTGTGAGTGTCTGAGTTTCTGGCTTGGCATGGCGAAGTGAGCGAATGATGACTGAGATGATGACCTTGCGACTGGATCAAGTGTGAGTCAGGTGAGAGGGGGCTACGGGCGTTTGAATGCACCGTAAGAGATATTGGCGCATCGAGAAATGGAGTATGTCCTGCCGTGGCTCAGAGTTGCTAGACCTTGGGCCTCAAGTCATAACGACTCGCGTTAGTTTATCTCTAGGGGGCAACATGAACCTAGCAATTGCGAACGCATCAGCCTCGAGCTTACAGACCTCTTGGAGTGAATTGTGTTGTCGTGGCCCAGGCTGCAGTTCTTCACCGCCAGCTGGGTGTCCTAAGATATGCTGGCGACCGAAGGATGCTCAAAGATGACGGGTTCTGACCCTGGCAAGTACCAATCGACTATCTTTGAGTCATATGCCTGCGGCAGGCGACAGAAGAGGCCGTAGCGGAGAGGAGGGGGTTCTCAAAGCAAGTTGATGTTACCGACAATGCGGGCGCGGCCCCGCTCATTGCTGGCCCGGTTGTCTTACAGGCCGTGTAGGCCAACAAGATGATGACCTGACAAGCTGGCATAGGTGCATGCCTGCAGGGCTGCTGGGCAGCGGCGTCAAATCCATCAGGGGAAGGAAAATGCTTCATCCAGAGAGAGAGAGAGAGAGAGAGAGAGAGAGAGAGATGGAGAGATGGACCGTGGGCGTTGGGGCGCCTGAGACATGGATACAAGCAACGGTGCGCCTTGGTCCTTCTCAGCACGCCACTTTGATGATGCTTGCCGGCCGGCACAGTCCCCAATGTGAGGCCGTCGCAGTGTCTCGTGTCAGCGTGTGCATGTATGTCGCCTGAAAAGGCAGCGCCACATCCATACTCGGCGAGATTTGGTCATTGTTTGTTCAGCCCTGTAATCGCGGCTAAGGTGCTTGCAGGCTTTCCGTCCCAGGATGAGACCATAGCGCCCTGATGCCGCAGGGCGCGAATGTCTTGTACACATTGGGCTGACTGCCAACCAAACGCGGCTCCCGATTCCCAAGTTAATTTGGTTCGGGTTAGATTTTCCGCATTTCCCGCTGCAAAACCTCGACGTTGTATGAGTCTCAGACATCATTACATAACTCCGCGGTTGATGTCGGGCATAGACCAACACTGACCCTGACAAATATCGCTGGCTCAGGAGGCGAACCATACCTAGTCGGTGAGCTGAGAGTGCGGCGCTTGTATGTCGGTTCGGATGACCTTTGTCTCAGCTGCTGTCAACGGCAATTTCCTTCAACTCATAGAGCTCTCATTGGATGTGGCGGGGCTTGCCGCGACGGTCCAGGCTGGTATGCTGCTTTGCGACTCCAGAATAGTAGGGTGTGCCGACGACATTATCGACACACTATCCGTACGCAAGCAAGGTAGTTGGAAGAGCCTGGCAGGCTTATTCGGCTGGGTGATTAGCTAGTGAGCGAACCTCTCGCAGGATGGATAGGTACCGCAACCGCAACCCAGGGACCTAGGGATCCAGGGACCAAAGAGATCGAGATCGCAGGCCTGCCGCGTTCATCCAAGCTTGATGGTCACTGATGAACCTTCAACACCCCTTAGCAATGCTCTCCTCTTACCCTTTCTCACATACTTTACGGCAGAAACCATGGCCATCCTGACAGACAGGACATGGAGCTTCAGTACCGCTCCGCCGCGCTCCACGGAACCTTCGTTTCCTGGCATCGGCAACTCTGCTCACTGAAACCACACCCAGTCAAGGCAGCTTGCGTGGCTTAACGTGGACACTTCCCTAAGGGCGCGTGGCCAGGAGGAAGTCCACTATGAGCCTGAGCACAATTGTTGCCCAGCATCTGGGAACCTCACCGGCAAGATGGTGATGTCGCGAGAGCCGCCCCCTCCCCGCCCACCTCCCGAGATGGTGGCCGGGTTGCTCCTCAATCCAATGCGGACATGCCGGCTTTCGGCGGCCCCCAACCGCCATGCGGACGGACCAGGCCGGAGCTTATGGAGACATCCTTGCATCTATCTCCAGACCATCATTTATCATAGTATGGGCTGACCGGCATCGCAGGGAAACACTAGTCTCCATTCATTGCTTGTGCTTTGCCGTATCGCTGGACTCCCTCATCCAACTGCGGGTAGGGCGGGAACCAGGTTCATGGGAGGAAGCTGAAAGCAGTGCAACTCGGCAAAGGTATTGGGTCCTTGGCATGGCGGCTGAAACCATCAAAGAACTGGCTGTTGGATTCAGTCATCATGAACCAACAGCGTTGGAGCCCAGCTCTCATTTTGCAGCCTGCGCCACAGTCGTCATCTGCGCTTCAACGTAACCGCCGTTGAAGAAAACTTTGTTTTGAACATGCGGTTCTGTCTTTGATCGGGGCAAGGTGCCATGATCGGCAGAGGCCAGCCTGTGTAGATTCAACCGAATTCGAAGCGTAGGACTTACAAATATGATGGGAAAGGTTTCGTCTCTAGTATTGGGGGGAAGAGTGGCCACCCCTCCCCTCCGCATCGAATACTGTGCTAGCTGAAAAGGTGAATCGTGGTCTTGACTTGGCAGCTTGACTTGGCGAGGGTATGCCATCGATGACTGCGCCCATTGAAGGCTTGATGTGAAGAGTACGGCCGAGGGGGGTGTTTGCGTGGATAACCTGCGTGCCTGTGTCTATTCTTCCTCGCACTAGTGCAAACTTTTTGTTCGGGGCAGGCATTCTCCGTTACATGCCTTCCGAGATACTGATTGTTAATTGGCGCCTGTCACCGTCCGGGGCTAGGAGAAACACAATCCGGCACGTCTACTATCGTAGACTTAGAATCGTTCCTGAGCGATAGCGTCCTGCAGCCTGCTTACTATCGATGGCAGGGGGCGAGCATTGCGCTAGGGTCCGCCATGTCCCGCGAAGCTCGCGGGATTGCTGCGGATCAATTCCGTAACAGCACAATGCGATTCTCTCGCCCGCATTGTTGATGGCAAATCCACCGTGCCATTTGCACTACTCCAAATACCGGACTGCTGCTGATAACATCATTGGTGCCGCCCTTCTCATGCTTAGCAAAGTCCGTCTGAAGTCCTGCTTTCCTCCATTGGACCGCTTGAAGAAGAAGAGGGTGTAGAGACCGCACGTGTTATTAGACGATCTGAGCTTGGCCGCTAAAATGGAAGATCTCGTTCAGCGAAAAACCTAAGATCTGCGGAGGGCCTGGCGCCCTACGGACATTGCGATTGATGAGTACCGTCGCTCGCCCTGCTGCTGGAATTGCCGCTGGAACTCGGAACATGTGGGGGATATAGCCAAATAGCGTGCCGGCCAGAAGATGACTCTCATTCGCGTATCCGACGAGGACCTTTTAGAGTCCAGTACTCCGTACAGAACCCCATGGTGGCGGAATGTGGGCGCGAACGAAAGACGTCCGTTCACCATGGACAAAGTCATCGTGGTTCATTTTCACAATGGTGAGGCACGTTCGGTGTGCGTGCGTTGCATCCCAAATTCGATAGAAGCTTTGGGCACCAGAGGCGTCTGGTTGTTCTGACTCGGCTGATCGCACGCCAGTGACACGTCTAGAACACCTGCTAAGGTGTGGCGAGCACTCTACCGCTGCATTCACTCCCTGTGGCTGAGACGCTGTGGCGCAACAGCTTCGTCCTTCCTGAGGAGTCTTGGAGGCCCTGGTCTACTGCTGACTGCCTGGGGCGTGCTCAAGGTGTGCAACCACCAGGAGCGATCTCAGCATGCGTATTCGTTCGAAAGCAAGCGAGCGTATCCTAGCTCTTGTCCATTGTCCCTTCGTTGGGATGTCATGCGCCCAAACGCCCATTGAGAAGCTTCGGCAGCTGCAGCCTTAGAAGCGAGGGCAGACAGGTAGCCAAGGTCCATTGCCTTATCAATTGAATGAGTGGGAGTGGGAGTGTCTGCCCCCCCTTCTCGTGGGATTCCGGGTCCTGAATCAAGACAGATGTCAAGGGAAAATAGGGGATGGACTGTCGCTTGGGTGGTTGAATCGTCCGCTACGGGTGCAGTGCAGTACTATGTACACAGCAAACGAAAGCTTGGGCTGCGTGGGCTGGCAATGTTTCATACCCTTCTGGTCCCGGGCGGCCTATTGGATGGCGGAACTCGGGGGTCTCTCGAATACGGCCTTGTCGCCCATCGGAGCGACTCCATCGAGCTCCACTGTACTCCGCTGCACAGCCTCCTTCTGTTCTCCAGTCCTCCAGTTGTCAGAACTAAGGACGTCCGAACCCACACTCTCCTGGAATCTGGGTCTGGATGTGCCGAGGCATACATAGTAGTATCCCAGCTGTCCAAGCTCATTGAAGGGGTATAGGATGGGCAGGGAGAGCATGATGAGCTTTGAGACGTCGTATCAGCTGCAGCTGCAGCGATGAGCCTCATTCTTCGTTCTTTGTATCTGTAGGATTCTGAGTTCTGACCCTGGGGTAAGCATTGCTTCTTCAAAGTCTAATAGGAGGTTCGTTTCCATTTCGGTGCTCTCGGTGGAAATGTGGAGATGCTTAATATAAGTCGCGGGTCGTGGTGACGTGCAGTCCGTGAGGGGCGATGAAGCATTGGCGTCTGGCGGCGGCGGTTTGAGGTTCAGTGGCGATGCTCTGGGGTCCTCGAAACCACAGGTCCAGGGGGCAATGCAGGGTTGTTGTCCTGCTATTATCCGTATGTAGGCTTATCAATCGAGGCCCCGATTCAGTCCGTGCCGACCCGACCGCTGACTCTGGGTTCCGTTCATACATAGTAAACATAGTATTGAGCTTGCAGTGAAAGATGGATGGATCTCTTGGGGAGGGCTTCAAAACCCTGGATATGGAAAAGTTTGGTCGAGAACATGTTGGCGCCGCTTCTCCTTAGCCGGCGTCCTCTACAATGAGCGCCAAAGTACCATGCGTAAGATGACATGGCCTGGCTGAGCTAGCTCAACATCCAACCTTCAATTCGACGTCGTTCCTCGAGTGGCTTAGTATTCGAACATGCCCTGCTTGGTGTCAATTCTTGGCGACGTTGCCAAATCGACAAATGTATTGTAATACGTCCGTGGTACCTTCGAATGCGGCGAACGCTTTTGGCTTTTGGCTGCGCTACCATACCTAATCGCGACGGTGTACGGATATCTCCCTTCCGCCCGGCGAACGCCATTCGCAAGTTGACCTGAATATGAACTAGACTCTCGACTCTCTTGCCGGGGCGGGAAGCACAGAATTAACGGGACCTTCGACGTTATCACCGTCGAGGGTACTGAATTGAAGTGAACGATGCTTTGGCAATATTGGTTCAGGGCTCCAAGTCCTATCGGTGAATGAGTTTGCGTAAGACTGCCCTGCGCCTAACCCAGGTAGAAAATATCACATCAGATACGGCTTCCTAGCTTCTTGATTTTCTTGCATGGCTTCGTGCACCCAAGGGGCTCCATTGCTGCAGCATGTTTCTTCGTCGTTGGTGAACTCCGTGTCCACGGCCTCTGTTCGCGTCCGAAGAGCGTCTTGACCGCATGTACACCATCCGAAAAGGTGGAAAGTGGCTCGTGCGGTTAGGATCTGCGTCCTATCTCCGCTTGGTGCACGAGGGAGTATCCCTGCCGACAGGCAGTCAGACACACGCCAAGCTCGAGGTGCCGAGCTAGGCAGCGAGGCCTAAACGGTGTAGGGCTGAGGGGGTGGCTTATAGATGCAATTCCGCCATAGGACCGTCCGTCCTGGTCTCGGTGTACCAGCTGACACCATATTCTTTCGCCGTACTTGCGTTGACGAGTGCTGTTTGGTGGTGACTGGTGAATGTTCCAGCAATATCCATAGGTAATTTCCAAGTTTCATGTGATGAGAGTTGGGTTATCGCATGACTCGTGAGATGAACCATCATCCACGTGCGGTAGAGAGATGTCCTGTCTCCAACCTTGTTAACCGTAAGGTGTCGTTGGATCGTTCGGTCGTTGAGTCGTTGGCGAACATGATTAGCATATGGAGCTACACGTACGGATACAGCGTGGAGATTTGGGATTGGCATTGCAGGGAAACCCTTATCGGAGCCGATTGGCCCCGTTGTCCCCCACCTTGCCGACGCACGCTCGAATACTCAATCGCCTGCGGGGTGTACTCGATTCGTTCCGAAACGCTCAGCACGACTCTCGCCGAGTATCGAGAGACTGTTGACGGGCGCGGCGTAGTCAGTGATAATGGAAAGCCACCTACCACAGCAGTAGGGTATGAGGTTTTGTCATGCTTACCGTACATGGGTAGCTGCCACAAGTCTCGCGCCATGCTGAGGTAGTGAAAGCACACTATTCCAAAACTCAAATCCCCCCCCTGGCGCAATTGCGAGGGGATGTCAGGCGTAGTCGTCTTCGGAGAGGACTCCGTCGCGGGCAAGGCGGGGAGGGTTGGGCGCCTCCCTTCAAAGACGGGCGACGGGTGGCTGGCTTTGCATAGCGTAAAAGTAGACAGTGTTTGGTTAATTGCTACTAGCTCGCACGGCTGTAAGCGAGCTGAGTGGCACGGATGCTGGCTTCGATCAACGCCGTCTTGCAGTCATGGTTTGGAATCATTTTTCACGATTGGCGAACATGGCCTTCCAGTGCATGTCGCAGGCCACACTACACCAGATCACAACATCTTGGGAACTTCGAAATGCCGTATGCAGCCTATCCACGGTTCAGTTAAACACAGTCTTGTTGACGAGAGACTGTGTCGCCACGATCGCACAAGTAGGCACAGCCTTGTTGGTCGTCGAAGAGGGAGAAAGTTCATAGTCACCATTCGTGGCCATCACACGCTGAACTGCGTAGGTGACTGGTACGGAGTACTTGGGCTCGGACGGGTGGCCTAGATCGCTCGTGGCCGCCGATTCCATGAACCTGCCGACGGGCCAGAAAAGGAACGACGACGCGCGCTGTAATCCTCGCTGGAAAGCCCGGGCCACAGCCCTCCCTCCCGCCCTCTTGAAGATTGTGGGTGTACCAACAATCAAGGAGGAAATGCGCAGGGAGCCGACGTCTAGGCCTGGACCTCGTCAAGGGTCGGCGGGAGGGGAATGTCGCTTTTCTTAAACAAAAGCTGGTTTGAATCTCAGCGTCATTCTTTTACATCTTTCTTTCGTTCGTCCTTCCTTCTTGCGCATTCGGATAACATCTGTTGCGAAGTTAACACTTTCGGTGTCTACCTGAACTACCTTTGGTTTCAACCACTCCCTAGCTGTGTGGCGCGCTGGCTTACCTGACATCCTGGGTACCGTACAGTAGGTGTATATAGATACGTATTCGTAAGGTCGGTAGGCGTCAGCAAGGGGGATAATACCTAATTAGCCTCGCAGGGCGAGAGAAAACACGTCTTTCTGCCTGGGATGGCTCACGGCACTCTCGAGCCTCCAGCGAAACGTGGATATGCAGGGCTGCTGCCACAAAAGCCTTTGTGAGAAAGGCTGCTAGCTCCCCCCGGACCCTCGGCGGTCTTGCCTTTCACGGAGAGGAGGGCCATCCGCCTGACAATACCAGTCTGGTTCGGAAACGCATCGCTGTCAGCCCTAAATGACGGAATGGGGAATGAAACTCGCGACCGGTTGGTATTCACGGGCATGGCAAGAAGCTACGGCGACAGCAGGTACGAAGGCTTGAGCAATGTGCCGCTGGGGAGCTGCAGGCGCTTACTATTAGTCAAAAGATGGGATGTGGTCCGAAGAGACTGATGCTGTCGATGCTTCAACGTCGCCGACAAGGGGGAGCTGGCGGCTCATCAAACCTGGGGCCTGACGCCCTACTTCGCGGTAGCGGCAGTGAAATCCAATTCTTCGGATTCCGACAGGGGTCGCCCTTTCAAACCGTGGCTTGAGCCGTCAACGAAATCCGGGCTAGCTAGGCCTTAGCTCGCCCTAACGGACTTTCGAGTGTCGTAATAAGACGAGCAGTGATGTGATGTTTACCGCCTGATGGGAGAGAACGCATGTACTAGGGGCCCAAGTCGATGGGTTACTGGGCTTCTGCTTGGGGCACGGAAAATGCTTCGTGAGGTACTGCGAGGTAGTGAGACCACGCCTAGAAAAGGACGTCCCATAGGGGGGGCCGACGGTGAGACAGACTTGCTAGCCGAGGACTGATGAACAACGGCAGTGTGCTGGGTTGTTCTTGGTGGCAGACTTACGCTCCAGTGTTGTTACAAGAGTAGAGGGCTGGCGCAACTCTGAGCGTCAAGATTGGCCGAAGCTTTGCTCGTAAACATAGTCATCCACATTCAAGAAGTGTGCTTGTGGGTGTGCTCAGTCGGGCGACGAGCGGGCCCTGACTGACTGATTGACATGGCATGCAAACGGTAAGCTGCAGCGTAACGGCGGGATAAGAGTTTGGCGGCGAAATCCCCGGCGAATTTCTCCTCGATGATTGGCTGCTAGGACTAAGTGCCGATGTGCACAGCCCAGTGAAGAGATGTTCGGCCTGGCAGGCTGACTGCGCATCTGGACTCCGAGATTGACGGTGCCAAAAGCAACCATGGAGTGAGATCTTTCGGATAGAAATGGCGGGCTTACTTGGCAGTCTCGTCGGCTGCGGGAAGCTCGATATGATCAGTTCGATATTTGAAAAGTAGCCGCATCGGTGCCGCAACCTGAAGGTTGTTGATCTAACCAAATCAAGCCGGAGAATTCGAACCGTTCAGACTGTCCTTTGCCTCTGAATAAATATCTTGCGAAGCTTTGATAGATTGAAACCATGAGGCGCTGCCAATGCGGATCTATTAGCGCGGGGGTCGAAATGCACATCTGCAAGATGGCGTCGCGGCACATTGTGCCTCGTTTTGGGGAGTCCGCGGTTGCCGTTAATTTGCTGCGATGGTCTACCGATGTGTTTTGATGGATGTGGATCCCCGAAACAAGAAACCACAGGCTGGTGATGAGATGGCTCCAATATGCGGCAATGACGCAGGAAATCTGTGCTTGCTTTGCTACGGTGGGAGGGACTTTGGGAATTGAGCGTCAGCCAGCCATCCGTTTTCCAGGTGTCCTATGTTGAACAGCATCAAGCTTGGAGGCTGGTGACCAGAAACCTTGTGAGGATACGGATGGATTTCAAAGGTGGGCGAGTTGGAGCAAGAGATTCGACAGACGAGCAAGTCGAGACGGCATTTGCAACCGATAATGAAGACGGTGGCTACGGCGAGGAGGCGACGGCGACGACGACGGCTAGGATCGCTACTTGACAATGCCGGACGATGACCCACACGGGGCCGATTGCATAAGGCTCTAGAGGTCCAGCGTAGTGTATTCGTTTGAAGGTGGGATGGGTTTGGCGTGGAGTGCCCCGACGTCTGATGGGAACTGATTGGCGGTGGAGTGAGGGAGGGATGTGAATGGCTCGAGATCCATGCCTGTGTGGAGGCGGTTCGAGTCGAGGTCATTGATAGATGCGGTGAGGTTGAGGTCATGGCATGGCACCATGGGCACCCGTGCCGTGGGCAATACGTGATGGCTGATCGTCGCCAATGTCTGCCTCAATGAGTGGTGACTGACCACCATTGGCGGTGTTTGCCTCGTTCTGCTTGAGTGAAGGGGAATGTGGAAGCACTAGAAACACATCGTGATGATGGGGCGAGCCAGGCAGACGACGACTGACTGATTGCACGTGCCGGGGAGACGAGACCGCAGAAGCGTTGCTCCAGAATGAGCCGAGGGAGAGACTAAATCGGAGGGGATTGGAGTTGACGATGGAGGCGCAGCAAGGCGTAGGGCTGGCTGGAACTTGGCCTCGACAGAGGTACGAGTGGAAGGGTGCGGGCGGTGTATTCGTCAACCTGCGGTAAGTGCAAGCGCTGAGTCGTGCAACTACTCAATATGCCCAATGTATTCATAGGTCAGGTGCTTTCTCTCTCTCTCTCAGGTATCGTATTGCCCTTTGCACGCCTGCCTTTTACGTTGCTACGGTCGCAGAGGCAGGCGTGATACGTTTTTGACATAAGGTCAGGTACCTGACCTTGGGATGGAAGCTGTTTACTGAGTTCGGAAAGACTTGAGAGCGTGCTTCTCTTTCTAAATTCGGCGGATGCCAGTGCGATTGTCCCGACAAGTTGACACACGAGACCTCAGTCCAATGGAAGACATCTGGGTATTTCGCCATTAGGCCATGTTCAACCTGAGGTCCGAGGTTTCCAGTTTGTGAGGAACGTAGTGCTTGGATCCACTCACCTTGGCCCATTCCCCAGTGCCAATCCCACCCTCGCTCTTGCCTTCCCGTGTGTGGGAGGCAAGTGGAGGGCCAGCAGGGCTCAATCGTACACCCTCTTCCTGAAGCTTCCCCTTTCCTTCCTGAACATTGGGGTGTGGAGATAGTCTCCATCCGCATCCCCCACGCCCTCTGGCAGGGTACCTTAGGTGGTACCTTAGCACCTTACCTTAGGTAAGGTATGCTTGGGCAGCCCAGCGGGCAAGATGTGGGCGAGGACCTCGTCCTCTTGCCCTTCACACACCCCCATCCCCCAATCTCAAGTTTCTTCCCCACGCCCTTTTGGCCCTTCGACTCAATCTGCCCCTTCCTTCTTGCCTTACCGAGTAGCCCCTCTCTCCAGACTGAGACTTTCCATCCAGAGAACAAATCCGTATCCATACCATGGTAAGGTATCCGTACTCTCAGGCCTCTAGTTAGCCCCACCTATTCGTCCTTGACCAGTGGACGAGACACAGACAGCAAGCAATAGACGGAGAGGTAGAGGTGCGACTGTCTTGCTGCGCCGTGACTGTGTCACTGGGGCCAAACACATGATGGGTAATGAGGGGATGAGATGAGGCCGATATGGACACGCTGATTTTATGTGCTTATACTGAAAATGATGGGGCGTCGAAGTAGGAGTGAGACTGAGGATGAGGATGAGGATGAGAGTGAAGATGACAGTGGAAGTCAGAACGGAAACGAAAGCAAGAGCACACTTCCATTACCTAATCGTGCTTTTCTCTTCTCTGTACGGATACGGAGGTAAAGGAACCGCGTAAACACAAGCCCAGGATCGTATCTCGATTCTCGACGGGAGGAACTTCCTGACCTGGGCTATCGGTGGCCGTTGTCCTCCAGCTTTGGTCTGCACGTCTGGGACTGAGTCTTGGGCCTTGCCCTGCCGGATCCTTGCTCCTGCCTTGTCTGCTCTCTCCCACTCTCTCACCCCGTCGTCGTGGACCGGCGCTAGTCCCGATCGGATACCCATGGTCTTTGCAGCCACGAGACTGGACCGCGGGAGAGATGCGTCAGGAGCGCGCAGCAAATGGAATGGAATCTACGGAACCCGCTCTCTGCCCTGCTCTGCCCTGTGTCGCCTTGCTTGCATTTGAGCGGACGCACATTCCTCTTTTCAACGGAGGCGGCAGCGAAGTATCTGTACATGTCCTTGGGAAAATGCATTCGCGAGTAGCTGCAAACCTGGGTGAGTTATCCGTAGACGGGACCAGGACCACCGGTTACCTGCTGTCCAAGACTGGAAGCGCATCCATCACTCACCTCATGCATCCTCCATCCAGGTCAAGTACCTACTTTAGTATACCTTACTACCTTGGTGTAAGTCCTCAAGGCCGGCCATCTCCAGATTCTTCACCCCGATGCCTTGGGGGGCCGACATAGACTTGCAGTTTGTCACTTTTTCTCTTCTCAATATTCGATGCCTACGATGCAGCAGGGTCATCCATCTCCCCCTCTCGGTGCGGCATCAGCATCAGCATCAGCATCAGCATCATCATCAGCATCAGCATGAGCTCAGCATCAAAACACCCCCCTACCTTAGCTCAGGCAGGCAACTCAGGCAAGTCAAGCCTAAAGCCTGCAAGATGCAAACCCACCAAAGTCCCCGTTTCGCATCATTTCCCCTCTTGCTTTTCTTGACTCCTCCGCCTTGGTCTTGTGCATGCTCTGAGGTACACGTACGCTCAAGGTATCGTATCGCGTCGCTCCTGCCTTACGGACATTTCTTACCTGGCACGCCAACCCACTTGCGGTGCATGTGGCTTCGTCAATAGGGAAGGAGAAGGGGAAGGTGGACTGGGAAGGATTGAGGGAAAGAGGCAGCAGCACTTCTGCCTGCCCTTTTCCCTCGAAGCGTGCCTTTCTCCCGTCGTCTGCCCGTCGTCTGCCCCAGGTAACAAGCCCCCGGCAACTTGCTTGGTCATCGTCTCCATGACCACATTCATCACATCCATCACATCCATCTCATCTGTGTCGACTTCAAATTCACTGCATTCCCGCCTCGGTCTTCACACGCCATTCCATCTCGTGCACAGAACAAGCGTGCAAGCAAGGCTGGCCATCTTCAGCTGAACTCAAGGAGCGGATGCCTACTTTCCTAACGACTCGTATCTTTCTGCACTGATCCTTACTAAGGGACGGTGCCTTGGGTCGACGTCCGCCCGCGACACCTGACAAATCGCCCGGGCACAATCCCATTCTTGACTTATTTTGTTCTTCGTTCCATTGTTGTTGTGCTACCGGTACCCCGATCCTCGTCCGACCCAGGCCTGCGATTCACGGCTCATACTTGCCCAGGGCAAACCTCCGTCGGGAGATTGGTACCGGGCAAAACAGACGACCAGGGCGCCGTCCACCGCACGCCATCACCGCCGCCATAGCACCCACCTCTTCGAATGTCATCAAGAAAGACAAATTAAACACATTCCTCACCCGCGGTCCTCGATTCCCTCCAACGACTCAACCCGACTCGGATGCTTCCTTGAGCCTTCTAGATTCATCGCCTCACCTTGCCCGGGTACGGATAGCCCACGCGGCTAACAGCACGGCATACACACCTTGACTGACCTATGCTTATATCGCCTGGGTGGCCTTGGTCGCATCGACATCAACGCACCCCGTCCCACCCCATGACTCTCTGTCCCCAGCCATCCTTCTCTCTTCCCCTCGAACGCTCGATCCGAGCAACAACGCCCTCCCCTACCTTACTGCTGCAGCCAGCTATCCACACCCCGACGCAGGAAGAGGGAAGCGGAACAAGAAATTGACAGACAGGGCTGCATTGCAGCTTATGTGCTTGCATGGCACTAAGACGACGGACTACAAGAAACAGCCACACGCCAACCGTCGCGCTCCCTGGTGTACGGCTAGTCAGTCCCCATCCGCATTCTATTCCTCTTAGGGCTGCTCGCCGAACAAGCGTCCCGCTATCCTACCCGTCCACAGACAGAGATTCACCCCCCCCCCCCCCCCCCCCCCCCCCCCCCCCCCCCACTCTCTCCCCCCCCTCCCCCCCCCCCCCCCCCCCCCCCCCTTTCCTCTCCCCCCCCCTCCCCCCTCCCCCCCCCCCCCCCCCCCCCGCCCCCCACCCCCCCCCCCCCCCCCCCCCCCTCCTCCCTCCCATCAATCATTCCCGTCACCTTCCCCCACCCCTCCCTCCCTTCCATTTTGCCTTCCTCGTCTCCACCTTCCCTTCTGCCCTGCCCTGTAAGGCCCTGTGCTACGGATACCACTCTCTCAGTCCAGTCTCTCTGTCTCCCCTACTGGGGGGGTAAAAAGGAACCAGCCGGGGGCTTCTTCTCCAATCCACGTTACGCCGAAGTTGGAGGTTTGGATGTGCCTCCATCTGGGTCCCTGGGCCGCTACCGCTACCTCTGAGCTTCGCTTGCTGCTGCCGACAGCTTCCCTCCCCTCGCCCCTTCTCTTCTCCTCTCCTTGCCAGTCGTCTCCTCCACTCGACTCGCTCACCCGCCTTTTTTTTTCATAAAGGTAGGTACCTTGTCGCCTCTTCGCCTTGCCATGCTGGGGTGCCGATTTTATTTTATTTTTATTTACACAGCAGCTGGCGTCGTCACACAATCGCCTCTTATTTCAGCTGTCGTCTCCCCTCTCCCCCCCAACGACCCGACTGACGGATCTGAACTCTACCCACCCCAGCTCCGGCCACTCTGCTTGCTCCGACAACATTTGCTCCTCGCATTCCTCGACGCCGTCCGGACCTGATCTGTTTCTCCTTGTCCCGCGATTAGACCGTCGGACTCAACAATTATACATCTAGTCCAACCACATCGACTTTGCTCCATCTCTCCCTCCTGTCCTTCGACTCGCACCGGCTTGCTCGATTCCGTCTAGTCTTGTCTTTCCTTTTTCGGTCTCCTCCCGGCCCCGACCGCTGCGTGACGCAAGAGAGAGACCGACAGAGACAGCCATTCTCGACTTGCATTGGCCCCCGTTCTCAACCAACGGCGAACCCGACTGCCATCGCCACCCACGGCCTCCAAGACGACCGCCTTGGCCTCGGACGCTTCTCGTATCCCACCGCGATCAGAACCCTAGATATTTTCCGGCCTATCACTCATGACGCCCGTGCTTGCATCAGTATAAACCTTAGTGGCGCCGCTTCAGCTTGGAGTTGTCAATTCTTAGCCGGGACTGCACACGTACAAGCCGGCATCATGGAGACATCCTCAAGATACGAGCCTGCGGGTCTCCCGAGCATCTATATAGACTCGAACCCAAGAGGCTCGGACCGATCCAACTCCTTTAACAGATATTCTTCTTCTGTCGATATTCCCGGCTCCAACGACAGAATTAACGCACCGCCGCCCTTGCCGCCGCCGCGACTCCCCTTCGACGATCCGCACATGCATCACCAGGAGCCCAGACAACACTACCGCGATCCCTCATCATACAGCCCTAGAGAACATGGTTATCACGACAGCTTAGGAAGCTTGGATGACAGGCCACATTACATGAGATCCGGTCACAGGCACGATGAGGGCTATGCTAGCATGGGTTCGTCTTCGGCTTCGGCTTCTACGAGGTAGGACACCCCCAATCCCATCTGTGGCGCCGTATTTTTGTGAAAAGGCACAATCGGCCGTGGTCTGGGTTTTGCGCATCTAACATGATCACCTTGATAGGTCCGAATGCTCCCTGCCGAGCATTTCCGCCGGGTTTGGTCTGCATCACAACCAGTTCCAATTCCAGTCCGGCGCCGACGCCTTCAGCGACATGAAGAAAAAGCTGGCACCTCTGAAAACCTTCGACAATAAACCAATAGGCTCGCTCCTCAGTGCGTCGAGCACATCGTCAACTAGCGACTCGTTCTCAAGGAGATTGTCCGGCGACCTGCGCGTGCCTCCGCTTTCCGTGCCCACCACCACTCTTCCACTTCACCTAAAAACTTCAAACCTATTGGATTCTCCCGACAGGTACACGCAGACTCCTCACTCTGCTCTTTCGCCCTCCCCTAGAAGCCAGCCGTTCCATCTCAGTCAGGATTACAGGTCACCTCGGTCTGTCTCCGATCTGGACAGGTCGCCTCCAACCAGGACGAGGAGGAACAACAGCGACGATGCATCATCCCACAGCTATGAAGTGGATGAGATGGAAATGGAAGAGACTAATTCAATGAAAAGATTGCGGATAGAGGATCCCATGAGAGCTCACTACGACGGCGCTGGAGCGAAGCGACGTGCATCCGCTGACCCCGACGATAGCGTACCCCTTGGTTTTACAAGCCAAGGTGACTTGCTGCGTCGCCGCGATGGAAATCAGAGGGGATCTCCCACGCCTCGGCTAACCGTCATTCCTCAAGGATCTGTTCCGTCGCCATCATCCGGTCGCGCCGGTTCTTATGGCTCCAACCTATCCCTGCTTGGCTCATCGTTCGGCCGAGTGTCTCCAGGCGGCCTTTCCCCAGGGGGTATTTCACCCGGCGGAACTGACCCCAGCTGCAGCTCTCCTTACAGTGCGTCGATGTCGCTGAACCCCTCACCCCGCGGCTCCCTTTCCAGGGCATCCCACCAGCGGACCATCAGCGAAAGCCGGCCTCTCGCTTCTCCCCGCAAGCTTACGGAAGTAAGCAAGCCTGGTGGGACTAAGATTTCGGGATTCTTCATGTGTGACTGTTGCCCGAAGAAACCCAAGAAATTCGAGTCGGCGGAGGAGTTGGCGTAAGTCCAAATCTCATGAACTACTATAATTGATTAGCTAATCGAGTATAGGTCCCACGAAGCAGAGAAGCAATATGAGTGTTCGTTCTGCGGAAATCGATTCAAGAACAAGAATGAGGCAGAGCGGCACCAAAATAGTCTTCATGTCCGTAGACACAGTTGGAGTTGCTCGGCCTTGAACGGTTATGATCGAGCCTTCCACGACAGCACCAATCGCCCCGGTGAAGCAGACTCCTGTGGTTATTGTGGCGAGGAGTTCCCTAGAAACGGTAGGGGTCCCGGTGCCTCAGCACCTCGCCACGCCACTGATCAGGATTGGGAAGAGCGCATCCGCCATCTTCAAGAGGTTCACAAGTTCCGGGAGTGCAACAGCAGCAAAAAATTCTTCCGTGCAGACCATTTCCGGCAGCACCTCAAACACAGCCACGCAGGCACTAGCGGCAAATGGACGAACATGCTGGAGAATGCATGCATGTTGGATGAGGATCCGACTCCGAGATGAGCGTGTCTCCTAGGCGCGGCTTACCGATGAGGACTGGTTGGCGTCCACGACTTGGCTAACTGGGTTATCCATTGGATTCGAAATCTCTGGACAACGAACCAAGGTCCTGACACGCAGCGTCCAACTAGTACGTTCGATTGCGAGTTGACGATTCGACAATGAGAACTCGGTCAAGTTGGAGAGGGCCGCTGATCTACGGCGCCTGAAAACTCGTTTCTTCCTAGTCTGAGACGGAATGAAAGGATCACCTCTACCGCTTGACCAGAAATTCTGTCGCCGGCGCTGTGGGTAATAAAAAACGTAAAAGCACTTTGTTGAAGCATAAGGGCATGGGCAGCGTTCACACAGGGTTGATGGGCTGGCCAATTGGAAGCATCCACGTTTTGGGGCTTTTGGAGTATAGGTGGTCGCTATTGGGAGCTTTCAGGCACCAGAAATACAGCCCAAGGCTGTTGTTTGCGCGCATTTCATTTGGAGGAAATACCAGGCCAACGAGCCAGTGTTGGGGAAGTGGAACGATGAAATGATATTGGTACTAGAAGAGACATATCACGTCGGGCAGCGAGACTGCCGGCGTTGTATTTTGTCGGTTTCGGGAACACAAGCTGGACAAGTGTGAGAAAAGAGTAAAAAGTTCAAACAAATGATAAACAATACTATGACCCAAGCGATCTGACTGGTCTCGCAGGTTTGTATCCTGGCTGTGTGCTACGTCATGTCGGAATCAGGTGGTCGATGAGGACTTAAAAAAACAGAGCACCATGCAAGTACGGATAGATGAAGAAACAAACAAATGCTACCTAACGAGTTACTCTGTATGAACGCCAAGTCGCCTTGAGGCTTCATCAACGGCAATTCGGCATTCCGCAGTGAGGCCGCCGGTTAACAGAACGTCACATGATCTCAGCCCTACAAGCCACATGGATGTGGCGAAGGCGCGTGATCTCCTCCAATCCCCCTGGAATCAGGCGGGGGAAGGGTTCGCCGGACATTTCTTTCCACCACGGCCGAGTGAGGGTACGTATTCGTACCTATAGCCAGGTACCTTAACCAGCCGACGAGATCTAATGTGGGCACTAGACTCTTTTCGGCAACGGCAGTATTTTGGGAAACAAAGCTAGAGTAACTTCAGGCCGAGCCACCAGCACGTCTGCGTCATTCTCGTCACGAACTACCACCACCAGTGTTCGTCGCATCCTGAGATTGGCAAGCAAGAGGGGTCTCCTGGGGCCTCTTGCGACGCAGCCACTTTCTGTTCCTCTCTATTACCCATACATCCGTAGACAGCAGGGAACTCACGCTTGCATACCTACGCTCAGGTCCCTCGCGCCAAGTTGCCCTCTGCACCTTCATCGATAAAGCTGTTCGCATGGTTCGTGGTCAAGTCTCAACTGAGGACGTGACGAAGCGATTGAAGGAGATCGAGTCAAGCTTGACGACAACAACAACGACGACGGCAGGATTGCAAGACGCGGCACATGTGGTAACTCACGCGGCAAGACAAGCACCGACCAACACTCTAGAGGTCTACACGGGCGAGCCTGAAGGGAGCGAGGAAACTGAAGCTTTACATCGACTTTTGAAGCAAAGCTGCGTCGAGATGGCGATGAATCGCATCGATGGCGACGAGGAGCTGTTTGTCGGCGGGTGAGACATATACTCCCATTCGTCTTCTTCACTGCGAGGCTCGCTGACATCGTATCTCAGCATTTGGGCACTGCGCCGCCCGTCGGCACTGAAGGGGCGCAACATCACGCACATCCTCTCCGTGCTGCGCTTCGACCCTGCCGGTCTCAAGAGCGAGACCGACACCTGGGAGAACTACGGAAAAAGCTACAAGCATATGGTCATCGACGTCGACGACGTCGAGGACGAGGACCTGCTCGTTCACCTGCCCAAGGCCGTGCGTTTCATCGAGGATGCGCTGTACCCTGGCAGCAGCAAGACGAGTGTCGTGGACTGGCCCGAGGAGGAGGCCCAGAAGGACAAGAGCTTCCAGGAGAAGGCCAAACGCTTGAAGGCGGCCGTGGTCAATGACCTGGAAACTGAGTCCGATTCCGAGAAAGAGACTGCTTCAGCGGCGGCGGCGACGAAGCCCACGGATCCGGACGCCATCACCCCTGTCCCCCTTTTCCAGGACCTGAACCTTGGCTCTAATGGAGAGAGGCCGGACAGCGACACCCCGGGCGCCGTCTACGTCCACTGCGCCATGGGCAAGTCCCGCTCCGTCTCCGTCGTCGTCGCCTACCTCCTCTGGAAACATCCATCCCGTTTCGGCCGGTCCGCGACTTCGACCGCCGCCGCGCAAAAGGGAACATCAGTAGGGGGTGCATCCAAGCCCGCCGACGAAGCAGCAGCAGCGCAAGAGAGGGCGTCGGCCGCCGTGGCCGCCGCGGTGAAGTGGGTCCGCAACACGCGGGAGATTGCGGAGCCGAACCTGGGCTTCATCCGGCAGCTCGAGATGTGGTGGGCCATGGGGTGCCCCGAGGACGTGGCGTCCCATCCGATCTACAAGCGGTGGGAGTTCCGGAGGGAGATTGACGAGAGTCTTGCCGCGGGCCAGGCGCCGAGCCGGCTGCGGTTCGAGGACGAGGAGACGAGCAAGGAGGAGGCGGAGAGCGTTAGGGGAATGGAGGTGCGGTGCAAGAAGTGTCGCAAGACGCTGGCTACGCCGCGCTTCGTTCTCGATCATGAGCCTGATACCTCCAGGGGGCGGCCGCAGCAGCAGCAGCCGTGCGGACATGTGTTTGTGGAGCCGCTGGGGTGGATGAGGGAGGAACTGGAGAAGGGGACGCTGGAGGGGCGGCTGTCGTGCCCGAATCAGAAGTGCGGTGCCGCCGTGGGGAGGTATAGCTGGCGGGGGTTCCGGTGCAGCTGCGGCGGGTGGGTTACGCCGGGGTTCAGTCTGCAGAAGGGGCGCGTGGACGAGGTTGCTGCGAGGGTTCCTGGGGCTGGGGGCGCGGCGGGCATGGCGTCTATGGGGATCCGGATGCCGCCTGGCTCGGGGAGGCTGTAGAAGGGGGAACATTGAATCTGGGGCTGGAGTCTGGGTTTAATCGAGCTTGGGCTAGGTTGGTACGCCATTCGTGCATGGAGAGGTGTGTTTGGTAAGGCGTTGCAAGAGGGGGGAGGGGAGGATTGCATGACATATACGGTTGCATCAGCCTAGGACATGGAAAGAAGGGAGGGTATTCCTAGATGGCATAGAGACTTGTCTCTACAATTCCTCAATGAGTATTGAAGTATGCGTATACTTGACCTTGTCGTTGGATTGTGACGTGTAAACTGAACATTTGGAAGGTTTTCTTGATGTAACCCGCCTACCATTTTCCCGACTTCTACTTTCTTGGAAGTGCCGATTGATGGATCTGGGTTCACATTGCACCCTGGGATATGGCTGAATGTACTGGTTCTAGTATTATGCTCTGCGGCTATCCGTAGAGCTTATGGTGGACTTGGTTTGAGGCCGAAGGAATTTTGAAATCGCAAGGATTTGGTCTCACATGGCAATTTAGGTCATGAATGAATGTGTTGGTCCTAGTGTTGGAATTCTGAGCTACTCGAAGAGTGCGTGTACGTAGCTCGAGGCGAAAGGGATACTGGGATGGCAAGGATACGATCGCATGAACCTGACGAGGCTGGAAGGGTAAAGGCTCAGGGGCGGTTTGTTCTTTTTGTATTTACAGAAAGAATGAGAAGGCCTGGAAACGTTGTGGGAATCGCGGGTTCTTCGGTTACGAAAGTCTCTACTAATGCGGTGTTGTCTGTACACTTTGACTTGATCAGACTTGAACTCATCCGTTATAGACTTGGAGAGACTACAACCAGGTTTTCAAACACTCCAAAACCTGGGCATAAATGCATCAAGGAAAAAGTTTTGAGAGGAACGAAATCTAGGACTGCATTCGCGAAACGCCCCTGTACAGCCTTCCAGAACCGGCAATGGTGACCACCGCCGCGTCGAGTGAACAAAAATTATAGGAGAGCCCTTGGGAACATTTGGGTTTTTCGCCTCTCACGCGGCTCTGTCGTATGAAAAAAAAAATTCATTTTGATTGTATTTCTTCAACTCAATGTCATCTTTACTACAGTCGGCTTGAATACTGTCAGAAAGGCCCGATGAGTTGATTACCTAGAAGACGACAGGAGGCGTGAAGGATGGATAACTGACACGCACAATCAGGTTCAGTTTGGATGATCAATCAAGTACCTACCGCCTTGTGAACCTCTCTAGTTACAGTGGGCGACAGACTCCAGTCTGACTCTACGTGTTCGAAATCGGGTTTTGATCTCGAAGAGACACTTCCACATCCGGGAGCAGACCAAGCGCGGCAAAAGAGATAATTTTCCGTCTTCCCTGCATATTCATGTTTGTGTGTATGCTCACAACCATCCCAGAAAGCCAAGCTCGCCCCGCGAAAACTAGCAGCCTAAATTTGTGCCATGCCATCGTTGATATCCAGCTGAGAAGCCAGCCCACACTTCTTAGCGAGTCACTCCCGTCCTGTTCCCCTAAATCATTGCCGGTTCTCCAATATTGGGGGCAGAATGGCACATCAAACCCCTGGAGCTCAGTGATGTTGACATCGATTGGGGATCCTCTGTGCTACACCCAGCGGATGGATGTGTTGCTCTTAGTGTTAGTGTTGGTCGGGGAGGCGCAGCAGCGGCCAGCATGTTGATACTCCTACGCCAGCTAACCAGCGGAACCTCCGCTCCAGTGAGTGCATGCTCGCTACCTAATTTGCCCATGCCATGTTCGACCGACGATGAGCTGGCACTGGCGCAATCCTACGCTTGTAGGGGAGTGGGAATGGGAAAAGAACGCACGTCGTAAGACGAGTCTGGCCTGTCACGATGCCGCTGTAAGCGAAGGGGGGAGGGGAGGGGGTATGATGTTATGCTTGCTAAGATAGGTGCTGGTGCTTCTGGCGTACGGGGTTTCTTACCTGCCGGCTTGGGCTTCTGTGCCTACAAGGTATTTCTCCATGTCCCTGATGTATTCCTTCCGCTAGGGGGTTGTGTTGGGTATCCCAAACCTCCAAGGGCCTCTTATTGTAGTCGTTTGGCTTGGTGGCCGTGGGAATACCCAGCTCTAAGGCTGCATGCAGTGAGGGTGTGCGAGTATCGTTCTCCTTCTCTTAGCATAGCGCCTTTTTGCCAATAGAACCACGGGTATCCGTGCTCTCGAGCGTCCGTGTGCGTGGGGGCTCCGTTGTTGGATGGATTCGCGGGCATTGATGAAGGTCCTACCAGACGGTACGGTTGCCGTCATGGTCATCTTCAAGCCTGTGAACCACGAACACAAGAGGATCGCGCTGTTGATCCTTTGAAAACTGCCCGTCATATTTACGATGGAAAGGATTTCTGCTGATGAAGGCAGACGTGCTACACCTCGAAAGGTTATGTTTACGCTCGCCATGCTCGAATCCACTTCCTCTTTCCCCCGAACCCCTATTCTGCCATTTCAGCAGCTCGAAGGATCGCCATCCCGGCACGGACTCGGGTTCCGAGCAACGGAAACGCCATCTGGAATTTCTTGGAAAGCCCAGCGCACACGCCCCGCCCTCCATTCCAAGCTAGAACGAGTCCGGACCGGGCTATTTACTATCTCTGTCTTTCTCTCTCTTGACCTTTCCCCATTATTTTGCTTCTGGAACTGCGTCGGCTAACGGCACTTCCGAGAAGGTGCAAGGGAATGGATTTTGGAGCCTGTAGGGCTGGAAGGGCTCTCTTCTTTTGCAAAAGAGGGTCAAGGCGGCTGTGGTGTGAGGATAGAGGCCTGATGGCTAGAGCGATGGAAACTTTGGAAGGGTCAATTTGTGAGAGAAAATCGGAAGCCTGGAAGTTTCGCAGGCCACCCAAGATGCCAATTTTACGGGTATGAAAGCCTTTGTAAGCCAAGTGTTCTCTCTATGGCGATTGGGTAAGTTACGAACATGGCCTCCAAAGAGATATCCCATCGTGTCCAATCAGCGTTTTCTTTAGGGAGAGTGCTAGAGTCTTGAGGTGTGTCCTGTTCGGCATTGCTTTAAAAGTCTAAGATCCCGAAAAACGTTCAGTCGTTCATTACGGAGACTTGTTTCTGCTAGGGATGGAATGTGTACCTTCCCTTGTATCTAATATACTTTAATTTGGTATCCGCTTCAATACTCAGCCCCAGGCAACAGCGTTTTCCAAAGAGTGACGAGAGCTAAGAGAAGTAAGTTAATTTAGTTGAATATGACTAAACGAGGTTGACAAAGCTTGTCGTCAACCCCAAAGTCCATGTTGTTCTGTTGCTGCGCTTTCGTCACAGGGCTCGACTCTCCTCACGACTTCGCATTTTACTTTCAATTACCCAGGCAGTGTGGAACTTGGACGGTATCATATTGGACACTTGTGGCAAGAAGCACAACCATTCCAGTCATTCATCTGGTCAAGAAACCCTTGAGAAGGAAAAAAGAATCGAGCTCTCGATACTCCCTATTATAAAGCTTCATAATATTCAATCCAGAAGATTGTTAAAATAAAACAAAGTGCCTTAGAACCCCCCTGAACACATGCAAGAAGCGCAACGAGAGACAGGGCAAGTTCGTTCCGGTAAAATGGTTGGCAGACTTTGAAAGTCAACTTGATGTGGTAGCTAACAAACCAATTTATTTAAGGCCCGAATGACACTTTGCTTGATAAAGTAGAGGGGTAGGTACATGTATTACTTCCGGGATATTACGAACTCCATCAAATGAAAAATGAGACTTGAATCCTATTTCTCTTGGATCTCATAGTTGACAGGTCCCAGAAGAATCTATAATATCTCATAGACGGCCTGTCAAGTCTGTCAACGCCGCAAAAAGTCATCAACATCTATGAAGACAGAGCATTGAAATCTTTACGAATGCCTATATTGCGATAAAAGTGAGTCTGGTTCTTTACATAAGTCTAGTATCACGCTTTTATAAGTTTTGGGGAACGCACAACGCAGGAAGGTGCTTATGATACCATTCGTCCAAGAACGAACATCCCCCAATAGAGGAGCTAAGGACTGTCGTGTTTATTCCCAAGAATTCATCACGTCACCAAGAGATTGATAAGATGCAATTGCTATCGATATGCCTTGCTACAGCGCCAACCACGTCGCATTGGCAGCGACGCCTACAGTGGCTTTCTTAGCATTCCGCATCATTCTTCTGTACTCCTCAATCTTGGAAAGACCGACTATCACAAGCTCCTCGACAGTCTCCGGGTCGAGATCTTTCTTCCAGACACTGATGATTCCATTCACTTGGTGATCGTCAATCGTGACCGACAAGACCAGTTCCGAAGCATCCCTCAGCTCCCACGACGCCCGGCCATAGGCCTCCATACCCGTCGCCTTCCAGTGCAAGCGACCAAATTCGCTGGTCTCGTAGTGTCCCTCATTCGTTTTGATGTTGATCTTGCGTCCATTTCGTAAAATTTGAATCTCGGTGTGAGGAGGTACCGCATGGAAATCGATGATGGCTATTTCCTGGCCTCCATCCGCTGGTGATGCAACATGGCACTTATCTCCCCAGGCCCCGAGGACGGCTTGCCGTTTTACTTCGTAGCGTGGTGCCTTGTCGCTCTTGACGCCGAGGACGCGGCGGTGGTTTTCAAGCGCGGCGTAGTGTATCTCCAGACCAGGCGTCTCTTCGCTGCGGCGTTTGTCCGGGGTTGCGTCCACGCGGACGATGAACTTTTCGAGCCAGGCGGGGGCCATTTTGCCGGCGGAGCGAGATTGTGTAAAAAAGTACGAGTGTATCTAGATCAGTAAAGGCTTTGAGTGTTTCATAGATCGATCATCGCTCAACGCAACCCGCGGGGGTGCCGGGAAAGAAGGCTGTAAGATATTGGCTTCATCGCTGCTGCCTAAAAATCACCATTGGACGAATCGTACGAGGAGTTGTGGAAAAAATCTCGCATAGTGGGATTTCTGGGCAAAGCGAGACTGGGCATTGTTGAGGTCTCCGTCAGTGTCATGGGTACACTAGTCCGATGGCGGAGGAGGCTCCCGGGATGATCTCCAGTGACAATGCTCCAGAAGCCTCGTCGTTTAATCTAGGTAAAGTAGACGAGAGTCACAAGGCGTTCCGAAGTGGGGGCCCTCCGGCTCAGCTCCGAGACCTCGGGCTCCATTGGCATCGTCGGGGTCCATTTTTGGTCCTTCCGGGCTCCATTCATGGTGGAATTGAGAAGAGCCTTACTTAGGGTTCCAGAAAGTCGGGACGAGTAACCTAGCAGCAGGTTATCAGAAATAACGGATTTACGATTCTACTTCCCCATATCATACTTTCTTTTCCCCCCTTCAGTCTTTCAGAAACCTGATGTTCAGAAAAAGATGGTTGTCACGTCCTGTGGGAAACTCGAAAGAAGATGACTGGCCTACTACAGTGCAGACCTTTACTGCAACTCTCCGATTTTCCCGTAAGTGATGTCGTCTTCATCCCGGGTTTTCTTCAAAGAAATTGCTCTTGACAGTTCGGGAGTTTGAGCGAAGTGAAGGGGATAATGACGCAAGGAAAATGAATCGGAGGGAAGAATCCCAAGTGCATATAGTAGGGCCACTAATGAAGTAGTATCCTTTGACTGCTGACACAATTTCCATCCATCAACAAGGAAGCTTGAGAAATTACTCATGATGACCATGCGCAATCCAACAGTGAGTATAAAAAGATTTATGAATTTAGGCACCAGAAATATCCGAATGGGCCAACCTCGCCCCGGCGTCATAACGTGCGGCTCTCCAACGTCACGATAGTCAATCAGCTCTTCAGAGTTCAGATGAAGCCTACCTCTGACATGAGCATTGCCAATTATCCGTCGAAATAACCTTCGCAAATTCCGCGTCGTTTGAATCGGTTATTTAGGCTCATCAGGTACCGAATGCAACGCTGATCTCCACTCTCTCAATTGGTGGAAACTATGCGCTCTTGGCAACCAAACCGCAAAGACTTCGTGAATGTCGACTTAAAGTATGGGAACCCAGATCCCGAGCACGACGTGACTAGGGATCTCATAGCCGACACAGGTTTCCAACCTACAATTCCACTTCCGGGGGTTCTGACTGGGTCAAAGTTGCGTGATACAGGGCTGAAGAAGCGACATGAAATGAGCAATTTGGATATCCCCTGGAAACAGCGCAGGGCTCAACGGCCCAAATTTCTGTTCAACGTGAACGCCTGGGATTCATATTCAGCACACCTTTCGACTTACAGATGGCAACATTGCGCGACTTTCAACGCGGACAGGGACTTGCCCCTCTCAGTTTAGCTCGGCGTACCTGTCAACCTCCCCCGTTCTCCACTCCCGGGGGAAGTCCCCGGACTCGGGAATCTCGGTGCAGCATCACTCCGCTCCAAGATGGAAACTTACTGACGCGCTGAGGACGATGTGACTGACCTCCCGCAGCTAGAAAACGTCTCGTCTATCCACTCAAGCTCCAGCAAGATGTAACCTCTGCTAACACCATAGTCTCCTCCATTGAGAGCACTCCCTTCAAGTCTCCGCCGAGGTCACCACCACACCACATTCTCAACCCCCCCAACCCAAAATCCCCTCCGCCTCACCCTCATCACCCACCATGCGGAGCCTCACCGCACTCCTCGCCCTCGCAACATCGATAATGGCAGAGACCCTCCTATACAGCAATCCCCTCAATTCGACCGCCGACGTTGCAACGTGGGTCGCAGAGGGGCCCCTCAACGTAGCAGCCGTCAACGACACAATTGAGCTCTCGGGCGGCGGCAACCCGGACGACTACTTCGTCTACTGGGTTCCCGAGGTCTTCCCTGACGGCATCCGCATCACCTGGGAGTTCTCCCCGCGCAACGAGCCCGGCCTGGCCATGTTCTTCTTCGGCGCCGCCACCGTCGCCGACGATGGCAAGGGGTCCATCTTCGACCCTGCCTTGAAACCCAGAAACGGGAGTTATCCGCAGTACCACTCCTCTGATATCCGCACCCTGCACGCGTCCTACTTCCGCAGGCGGTGGCCTGAGGAGAGGGCGTTCCACCTGGCGAACCTGCGCAAGTCGCCCGGCTTCCACCTCGTCTCCCAAGGCGCGGACCCTCTGCCCCCCGTCCCCGACGCCGCTGGTGCGTTTTACAAGATTGAAGTGGTAAAGGACAAGCGGGAGGTCAAGTTCCGTATCAATGACTTGTCCATCTTTGAGTTTTATGACGACAAGTCTACGGGTCCCATCATCCGCGACGGAAGGATCGGGTTCAGACAGATGCAGCCGCTCGTCGCGAGATATCGTAACCTCCGGGTGTGGAAGCTTTGAGACGACGATGATGGACTTGGACATGTAGTACTATACCTTGATCTAATAGATAATTACCCTCCGCCACCGCGGCTGCATTTCTTCCACCTGCATTTCTCTTCAGTCATCATGCTCCTGAACCCCGTTCCGTAACCTTGATCTCCATCGAATAGGCCGACCCAGATCAACCGACAACTTTGGCAGAACCTCGCTCGTCACTGACCCCTCCTCACCAAGCTTGTCCAGCTCCTCGATCAAATCAGCCACGTCCGGCGGCGGCGCCGTATCAAACACGGCCTGGATGTCACCATGCGGCGAAAACCCCGAAAGCTGCCACCCCAAGAAACTCCGGCGGCCGCCACTACCACCCATCATCGTCTTCCTCATCCGCCGCGAGAACTGCCGCCTCTCATACAGGCTGATGAGCAGCAACGTCGGCAAATTCAGCGCGCGGATCAGCGCGACATTGACCCTGTGAAACGTCTCGGCCGACACGACGAACCTCAACGGCAGCAGCGTCGCGAGCGCAAAGATGTTAAAGGGCGGCGGGTACGCGAAAATGGCATCGCTCTTGACGCCCTCAAACGTCAGCACGGCGCGGCGGAAGCGCACCTCGGCCGCCTCGTCGGCAATGATGTTGGAAAAGGTGTTTGTCAGCACGGCGACAAGGATGGTCAGGAACAGCGTGTTGCCGAGGAAGGCGAAGCCCACCATGAGAGCCGGGCCGAGGACGATGTGGAACTGCGTCGACTCCTCGATCCCGGTACCGTCGAGGCCGAACCAGATCCAGAGCATCCACTTGCCGATAGCGAACCACGAGGGCGTCGCGTTGGGGTTGTCGTTGGAGTCGATGAGCCACTGCAGCGCGAGGAGGAAGCCCATGAAGCACCAGCACGCGAGGAAGGAGAGCAACAAAAAGTCCTTCATCATGGCGTGCAGGGAAATGAGGACAATATTGTCGGGGGCGATGTTGAAGGCGACGCGAGTGAGGAGGATCGGCGCGGCGAGCGGGAGGATGTGCAGGCCGTGACCGTCGGGGAAGTGGCCCGCCCCGACGTCGTAGACGCGCGCGAGGACGTAGGCGGCGTAGATTACGGAAAAGGTGACGTCGAGCCAGGACCAGAGGTTCTGCGCGTGGACCTCCCAGCCGTGCTCCGCCACGGCGGCGAACTCGTCGAGGACCCAGCCGGCGGCGTAGATGCAGAAGAGGAACTCAAAGACCTCGTTGCTGCTACGGCGGTAGAGCATGGCGAGGAAGTAGAGGGCCATGAGGATGAGGAACTGGACGAACTCGATGGAGTTGCGGGAGCGCGGGACGATGAGACGGTAGTGATTCAGGAGGGGCGCTTTCCGCGGGTCATAGAGGGAGATGGGGCGGTACTCGAAGTGGTCCGGGAGTATGTCGACAAAGGAGAGGGGCGTGTAGACGACGCGGCCCTCGTAGACGGCGTTGACGACGCGCTGGCAACCCGGAGAGGAGATGAAGGTCTTGCTCTCGGAGAGGATGGCCAGCTCGAGGGCGGTGAGCTTGCGCTCGAGGCCGCCGCGCTCTTGCGGGGCCCACTGCCGGCGGCCCTCGAACTCGACGGCTTCGGGGGCGCCCTCGAAGGGGTCGAAGCCGCCGACGAGGAGGCGCGAGAGGAACAGGAGACCCGCGGAGCCCGGGCTTGCCTCGTGGAAGCGGCGGAGGACCCGGGTTGCTACCAGCTCGCAGAGCGTCGCGCGGGCTATGTTGACGGGTTGGTGGACCGAGGTTGCTCGTTGGCGAAGGAAGTAGAGGCGGTTGGCCAGGAGGCAGTAGACTGGCTCGGGTGTCAGCGATGATATCATATTGGTGAGATGGGGATTGATGTACCGATAGTGATATCTTGGGGATGATACAGGCGCTCGACCAGAGGTCGGACAATAAGAACGTTCATCCTTGGTTCACACAACTGACCGAGTGTGTAGGGATCATCTAGATCAAAGTATCAGTCTATAGGTCTTCTTACCATCTGAGATGATTCTCTCACCTATACTTGCGTTGATGAGCCGGCGCACGCTACTCTCACAATCAGTACTTTGATACCCAGTTACATCTTGAGATATCTAGAGGTATGATGGACATACCGATGCATCGACACATAGATGGGCAGCTCAGAGACCGAAGACGGCACCCCGGGCTTCTCAACATTATCATCATCATCATCACCAAGGCAGGCCTCAGTCTCTGAGCCCCCAGCGGCACCCGGGCCTTCGTCGTCCTCCTCCTCTTCACCGCGGCACCGCTGCCGGCCCGTCCAGAGCTTTGCCTCCTCCGCCATCTCCTCCGTCGGCGACCGTCTCATTCCCGGCTTTTCACAGATCGTCTTTGTCCGCCTGCGTCGCAAATACATTCACTTTTGCTATGGAACACATGAAGAGATTGGTCAAGAGGCAGATGAAGGCGGCACGAATTCAAAGGAAGAAGGGTCGTCGAAACGGGTACCTGGCCTGTATGTCCACTGACAAATCGTCCCCCTTAAAAAGGAACACGGAACAACTGGGGGTTAACAGGGCCCTGTTTTTAGTCATGGGATCTTGGCTATTCATTACAAGACACCGCCACGATGCCCGGGATTCGGGAGGGGAGGAAATCATTATGTAACTGCGACTAGCTGCGCACGCGCTCAATCAGTAACCCCTGGCAGGGCAGCCAAACACTAAGCATTTGTTGTATATAACTGTTGTGACGACGGTACTTTTCTAGACTGAGAAGCAATAGGTGAAGTTTGAGAGCCTCGAGCTGGGTACTTATTCAACAGGGAGGATTGCGTCCGAGTCATCAAGGCTTACTACTAAGCTGAAGGTAAGGGGAGAGGCACAGTAGCATCCAGGTTCAATCACTCGCGAATAATAAACATAGCTCTGGAGCGCGACTCTGATAATTGTTCAAAGTCACGAGCTGGCCAAAGGATAACTTGGCATCTCGAGAGATAACGAAGAGTAGATGTCTGGGCTTGACCTGTGCCTCCGCCAAGTCGGAAATGACAAAAGGGGGCATTTCGGGATCGCAAATTCGGGATCCACTCCGGTGCGAAAAAAGGGGAGCTCGGCTTTTTCGGCTTTCGGCTGTACATTATTCCGCAAATTCAGTCCTGGTCCAGCTCACCTGTGAGGCTATGACCACTATCCCGACCGCGGGGGGTTCCTATCGATAACCTCCGCCGCCGCAGCAGCTCCATCACCACGCAACGTCATCCAGGCAACACCCACAATAAGGCACGATCCCAAAACACCAACAACACAACCCTCCTCACCACCAACCACCGGTCTCTTCTCCCAAGAACCATTTTCGCAACTATTGAGAACGTCCGAACGCCCAGAAAATGAACCGCCTCTTTGGCACAGCCCCAAAGGGCCCAAAACCAACCCTCAACAGCGCAATCACAAACATTGACGACCGCATCTCCTCCATCGACGTCAAACTCTCCGCCCTCACGGCAGAGCTCAACACGTACCAACAAAAACTCGCCAAAATGCGCGACGGCCCCGGCAAATCCGCCATCAAGCAAAAAGCCCTCAAGGTCCTCCAGCGCCGCAAAATGTACGAGTCCCAGCGCGACCAGCTCCAGTCCCAGGTCTGGAACATGGAGCAGGCGCAGACCATGCAGGATAACCTCAAGAATACCATGGCCACCGTCGACGCGCTCAAGACGACCAACAAGGAACTCAAGAAACAGTACGGCAAGGTGGATATCGACAAGATTGAGAGGCTGCAGGATGAGATGGCGGATTTGATGGACATTGGGAATGATATCCAGGAGAGCCTTGCGCGATCGTACGATGTCCCCGAGGACGTGGACGAGGCCGAGCTGGATGCTGAGCTCGAGGCGCTGGGGATGGAGGCGGAGTTGGAGCCGGACATGGGGGCTGGCCTGCCGAGTTTTCTGCAGGATGAGTTGCCCGAGTTTGTGGATGAGGAGCCGGCCAAGGAGGGTGCCAAGCTCAAGGAGGCTGCTGGCTAAGAAGCTTGCCGTCAAGTGAGTCTCATGTGGGAAAGGAGACGAAGACGAGAGAAAAGGAGTGGTGGCGGGTTTCTGGGGAATTTGTTTCGCGGCGTAATGGCATACATCATATCCACTTGATTATAGGCGCCAGGTACAGACGGGTGGTTATGCGTGTTCACAACTCGAATTCACTTCTTGCTGTCCGAAACTCCTATTCTCCCCAATGAGAAAAATCCAATGAGCCCCTCCCCCTCCCGATTCAATACGCTATGCCAGTGATGCTGCTTCTACTATTATTGCTACTCCTTGGCCAACACTCATCCGCCTCTACTCCACTGTCCCAAAGAATCGCGCAACCTCCTCCAGTTCCGGGTCGTTGTTGCAAAAGTCCCAGCCCACAATGACACTCGTCTGACTACAACAAATGATCCTGCGGGCATCGTATTGCAATTTGAACACCCTCGCCGGGCCGTTGTCTCCGGTGGCAATGTGCGGGTGGTGCGCCGCGTCGGGCACAGGATTCTGCGCGCCTTGTACCGGCACCGGCGTCGCCTGGGTCTGGACGGGCGCTCCCGGCTGCGTTGGCTGCGCTTGTTCTTGATCCTGGTCCTGCCCATGTCCTTGTCCTTGTCCTTGAATATGCAAATGTCCCTGCACCTGAGGCGTTGCAGGGCCGGCGGCGGGTGTAGCGGCGGCGGCGGCGGCAGCTTGTCGTTGTAGAAGCTGTTGCTGCCGGGTAGCTTGCATCTGGGCTGTGACCAGAGAGGCCGCGTGAATCTGTCGGGGGCGGGCTTCCACCGGGGCAAATCCATTCATTGGTGGCAGTTCTGGTGGGTCGATAGTTTGCGCTTCGCGATTTGCCACAAGCCGGCGAGATTGGTTAAGCTGCGTTTCCAGCAGGGCAGCATTGAGGACGTTGCGGAGGTCGGCTCTGATCCGCGGGTTTGGTTCTCTGCCGATTGCGGCCTGGATGTGTGCGTTGTATACCAACATCGTCGGGTAGCTGTGCAAAACCTGACGCAGCTGGGTCGGTCCCTGAGGCACAACCGTGTCGATTAGGTTCATAAAGGCCAGGGCCGACTCGGGCGTGATCGTGGCAATAATGGGAGCATCGACCGTCGTCCTAGGGGATCCGGTAGATGAGGAAGATTCACGAGCGCCGCGGGCCGTCGACGGCGAGCCTTGCCCCATGTTTGCCAGCATCGCTTGTGCGGTAGCCTGCGAGGCCGCCCTCGCCGCAGCTTGAGCTTGACTCTGGGCCGCTGCCGCTCCATCCTCTTGCCGCAGATGTTGCGTGTCCTTCCACACGCCCTCCTTGTCACGGCGCCAGATGATGATACTCTGATCGTATGAGCCAGACACGATACGAGCGTACTTGCCACCGCCGCCGCCGGGGGGCAGGATGGCTCCGTAGGCTGTAATGTCCTCCGGTCGTTGACTGCCCGCGTTACGGGCCTGGGCTCGACCCCGGCGGCTGCCATGGTCGCTAAAGGGGCTGACGACTCCATCAGCCACCGCCTTAAAGTAGATCTCGTCGATCCTCTTGGCCTCGGCCTTATCCTCTTCAGCGCTATAAGGAAGGTCGCCGAAGCCAGCCTGAACCGTTCGCACAAGGTTAGTGTGCGCGCGCAAGCTGGCGACCTCGAGACCCGTGAACCTATCAAACACCTTGACCTCATTGTCACTGCTGCCACTAACAATCCTCCGACCGTCGTACTGCACACAGGCAATGCCCTTGCTATGGCCAACGACTGTCCGGATACACACCTGTTTGGTCCAGTCCCAGACCTTGATGTTTCTGTCGCCGCTGGCTGAGACCACCTCGTTGTCGCAAATCTGAACGGCATTGACGGCGGCGCCATGGCCGTCCAGGGAACCTATCAAGGTATACGCCGGCTTGATTGGCAGGTCATCCATGGGGTTACCGTAACCGTAGTCTCTTAGACGTTTCGGGGCGTTAAAGACAATATCGCTGTCGCCATAACCCGGATCACCGTACTTGAGCGGCCGGCGGTTGAAAATCTTGATCGTCTTGTCCTTTGAGCAGGTAACCAAAATCCTCTTGTCAAACTTGATGTTGAGCACGGACTCAGAGTGCGCGTTTTTGAGTCTCTGAATCATCTGTCCCGTTGAAAATTTCCACAGAATGACGTTGGAGTCACTGCTTCCAGAGACAATCAAGTCTTCGTCCTTGTCCGCGTCGAACTGCAAACAAAGAACGGATCCGGTATGTCCTTCCAGGGGTGGCCTCAGCAATCGCTGGGTGTGCAAGCTCCAGATACGAAGCGTCTTATCACGACTACCACTGACTAGGTATTCGCTGTCGAACTGCAGACTGTAGATGCACTCTTGGTGGCCTTCGTGGGGATGATCCGGGTGGGGCAGCTGAAAGTTGGAGAACTTTCCGAGCTCCCAGTGCTGCTCCAGGCGGCGCCGCATCGTGTACAGATACTTCCAGTCGAGCCTATACCGTTGGCTGGGTGCGTCCCAAGACCAGAGCGTCGACTGCGCAATTCCCGGCGCGTCGGCGGGGATCATGGGCGGCAACGAGTCTTCCTTGACGAGAGCCGCCCGCAGCATGGGCGACGCTTTACCCTTACCTTTGAGGTCGTGGCCAAAGTTTCTCTCCACGCTCCGACTCTTGGACCCCGAAGCCGACCGGTCTAGATCCATCTCTCCATGTTGCGGCGTAGCTGAACTCCGAGAGAACCCGAATGATGAGGCAGGGCTGCCAAAGATGCTGTTACCCATGATCGAGTTCATAGAGTCTTCCCTAACGATCGAGGCTCCGGCGTCAGTCATCTCGAGGTCATTGTCTTCCGATATCGCGCGCTTCTTGTGCGTGTGTCCGTCTTCGGATGATCGAACCCTGTGGAGGGAGCTGGCGGATTGGTTCTGGGGTTTGTTCGCATCCTCTTCCCATTTCTGAACTTCAGAGTAAACAGCCTTCCAGCCCTCCATATGGTAGAGCTTCTCCCATAGCTTGCGGTCGAGGGCCAGCTCGTGCCAGGCGTGGCAGGCCTTGGCGACGTTGATGAGGGAGATGGGATCGAGATATCCGAGAACCTTTAAGCAGACTTCCGTGGGCAAGTAATGGACAAAGTTGATGTACATGCGAGGGTGTAGACGTTGGACGATTTCGACAACGGCGGAGGTCGGTAGCTGGTCGAGAAGGGCTATGGCAAGCTCTGTTCATTCGACAAAGGGACATGTCAGTTGGTTGCAGAGGGGGGGGGTGGTTGAGCAGCGCAGATGGCTGCTTCTGCTGCCGTATCGGAGTGGAGGGGCAAGGTAAACATACCGGTCTTGGCGGAGGCAGACAGGCCGGGGAGGTGTTGGGCGAGCCAGGTGGGCAGGTCTGCGGGTGGGCGAGAGGCCGAGACATCCTGGGCGCCGCTGAAGCTAGGGTTCAGAGGGTCTTCCGAGTAGCCCTCGTCGGGTTGTTGTGAGTTAAAGGCAGCCATGTCAGGCGAGAGTATGTCATGCGGATATGGAGATGTCGCGCGCGAGATTCGGTGTGTACAGCTCGTCTCTACTAGTAAGCGCAGTCGCGGGCCATGCGGGCGAGGGGCAGGAGAGGCTCGTACTCGATCGCGAGGCGGACTACGGTCGATTGGTTTCTATGGATGCTTCGTGATGCGGCCGTCGTGGCTGACGTTGTCGTCGAGAGGATGCAGCGGGAGGAGCAGGTGAATGAGACCGAGGGCGGACTGATATCCAGTAGGGCCTCCAGGCGACGTGATGCAAGGTGGCTACGGTTTCTTTGATGGGGGTCAAGTTTTGGTGGCGATGCAATGGTAATGTAGAATGATGTCTTGGTGTTGTCGCATCCGAGAATAAAGCAAGGAATGGTCGTGGCGTGGATGCTGAAAGTGTGGAGGCAACAACGAAGCAAGGCAAAGAGATGAGATGGGACTGAGTCGGGGACAAGGGAAATTGTTTGTTGCGATTGAGAGTTGGATTGGGGAGGGTTGTGGGATGATGTTGAATGTTTGGACGTCTGGATGTTGGCCGGGGGCGGGTGGTGCGCTTGGCGGTTGTTGGTTGTAGAGATTCCGTGAGAGGGGACCGTAAGCGTAAGGTACGGCACAGGTGAGCAAGGTGAGGTGAGGTAAGGCGAGGCGAGGCAAGGCAAGGCAAGGCAGCGGAAGGCGAGATGCGGCGGCGGCGGCACGCGGCGGGCGGGCGGTAAGGAGAAGCTTAGGGACACCAAGTGGGCGGGGATGGACGGGAGTCAGTTACGGTTGCAGCCTGGAAAGCCTGTTTTTTTCCCATTGGCGTCAACCAACAACCGTCAAACGTCAACCTGGGCAAGTGGGCGAGAGGAGGCACGCCGGGGAAACGACGGAACAGCAAGCTGCAAGCTGACTGTGAGCTGGTTGCACTGGGAGAACGAGCAGGCCCAATGGCTAACAAATGCCAGAAAAAAACACAATTCTCCGTACGGATACCGACGGTTGCAAAGGAGTTTGGGGATTTGGGAGACAGCGGGCGGAGGTGGCGGGATGAGATGGGGACAATGGAGACGATGGACGGGTCCGGCGATTATCACCTTTCCCTGTTCTCTTCTATTCTATTAGTATTACGGATACACAGGACGAGGGTGTTGCTTCCCGGTTTTACTGGCTTAAGGGGATCAACCTCAATGGGATCCAGCTCTCACGGCTGGCTTTCATTGCCATGTCAACCTCCCTCCTCTGTCGGAACTATAGCCATCGATTGACCTGATAGCAATTGATCAGTACTCACTCATCGCACCTTATGCCCTCATCCCCTCGCCCTCCCCCCATCCTCAGTCCAAGACCATGATTCCCACGCTTCCCACCTCCAACGTTTTCAAAGTTCTCCCATGCGCCAATGCAGGCGTGGCAGGATCCTCTCTTTTCCTCCAAGTATCCCAGCTGCCCACTATGATAGAAGGAGGATGTGGACCCGCGAATGACACGCAAAGGACCGAGTAGGCAAGGAGCAGCAGGCAAAGCAAGTCGCAAGTCGCAAATCGCAAAACAAGGGACCCAACAAACAATGCGGAGCGACCACCGGCCGCGGGAGTGTGCCGCCATGCCCCCCGTCCACCGCCCGCATTCCACTTCCTATCCTCCATTCCTCCCCCGAGGGTATATGTGTTTCCGTACGTACTTTAGTCAGCATCACGGCATTTGATGTTGCGGTCAGGGCATGCTCCGAGGCCGCTGCCGCACACTTCATCCGTTGACCGCTCCGGTAGAGAAAAGAACTTGCGGGACTATACCGAGGCAAGTGGTCCATTGCAACAACCGTCCCCTCAAACTGGAGACTCTCACGCCACATCGTCTCCAAGTCTCACCTTTCGCTCCTCCAACGGTCCCTCCCGCTTTGCCTTTTGTCTTTTACCTCTTACCTCTTGCCTCTTGCCTTTTGCCTGCCACCCTGCCCAATGCACAAAATACGGTACACGACCAGCAAACTGGTGTCATGAGTGGCAAAATGGGGGGGCGGGGGGGTTGCTTGCATCCCAGGGTGGAGTGCCACAATGTGTCCCGCAGAGAAGCAGGAAACTCGAGCCAAAAAGTCCACATGTCTCGCAAAAGTCATGGGGAAATCCTGGATTGGGCAAAAAGTGTGGCGTGTCTTCTGTCTGTGTTTGTCCAGAGTTAGCACTCCCGCTGCCGACCAACGGTTTGTCCTGCATTTGTGCATCCCACACGAGCCAAGCTCAAACGTAGAGATCTTACTACCTAGCATCTGAGATGGAGTTGTGATGCTCAGGGAGCCCATATCTAGATCTCGCAGATGCACACTGTATCAAGATCAAAGTTGAACCTGGACTCATCTCATCTCATCTTACCTCACATAGGTGTCTCAACCAACTTGAAATGAAGCAACCATCATCATTGCCATCACCATCCACCGGGCTACCTAGGCTGGTTTGGTCCGTCGCAAGATGTATGGCTGATCATGTGCCGAGACTCGGCGCTAGCTCTTCGCTTTCTTCTTTGCTCATGTTGGTTCTGTGCATCTTGGCTCCCATCACCGCCGGTGCCCCCCCCCCCCCCCCGGGCTCGCTGGGTTGGTTTGTGCCCTTGAAGAAGTTGGGGGTAACCAGGGTCCCGGCCCTGGGCGATCTCTTTCCGTTTTTCGTTTTGCTATTTTGGGTTTGTCCTCCTTGGGCCCCCCCCCCCCGGGGGCCCCCCCCCCCCCCCCACAAATGCCAATGCCGATTCACTCGCTCATAATCAGCCACTCAACCGATTCAAAAGAGTAAACAACACAAGTCATATCGCCATTCCTCGCCATTCACCTCCAAGGGCCCCCTTACGCTCAAGAGCAGCTGTCTAAAGAGGCAAAAAAGGGACGCACGTGAGAGGGTAAGTCGCGCACACCTGTCACTGACACGTGTAAGGCGCAGATCAGCGGCAGCGAACCTTTTCGCCCTCATCAATAGTTTTCCCTTTTCCCCTTCTCCATCGGCAAGAGCCAATTCTCGGGGCTACTGTGCGAATACATATTGAAAGCCGGCGGGGAGAGGAGCACACTTCCGCCTCTCCCCTTGAGCCTCCGGGCACCACCATTCTACTTTGCACTGCTCACCAAACACGAGGGATCCCCATCCGTCCTGTATGGAGGGCTCTCCTGACAGGTGCATGGCGAGGTAGAGCCGGCGGGAACGGCATAGTACATGGCAAGGGACCCCAATCAGGAAGCAAGAGTTGCCTTCAAGAACCTTCCCCATCGCTTCACTCTGCCAGCGGGCGATCATGTCGCACAAAAATCTATTGGCGCGCGCTGTCCGGAGCCGAACTTCTCTGAAGAGGAAAAAATAACATAATAACAACTCCGGTTAGGTTTCTTGGGCGCTCGCATCTTCTGTAGGTTAGCCCGGGACTCCCCTCTCGGATTACTTCTCTGTGAACAAGATATGACGTTGTTCTCTCCTCCCTATGCGCCGCCTTGCTCGCGACATTGCTCGTGTGAGTGCAGGCGTGTGTCATTGCCGGCGCATCGAGTCGCGCATAAGATCACTGGGGCGTGTGGTCAATCAGGTTGTTTCTCTGAGCCCGACGAGTCAAGGCATTATACCTGATGAGAGGAGAAGTCGTGGTCGATGGGCGCGGGTTCCATCGCTCAGAATGATATGCCTGTCAGCGACGATGGACAATCAGAATACCTTAGACTGAAAAACCCCCGACCACCGCCAGCCCGCCCAATGATTCAACCACCCGCCTAAATTGATTTTCCGGGGTACTTCGGCTTTTGCCTGTATCCACCACCATTCCTACGGTCCTCCCATTTGAGGAATGGGCCGCGAAGGTGCATGCACGAGTGATTTGTCCCGATGGACTATGCCCAGTTGGTCCGTCCTTTGTGAGCCTCAGCCCAATGTTGACATCTTGGCATCCACCGCAAAGGTCATTGGGGAAATCTTCGGCTGTCACAGATTCCCAGATGTCTTTATAACGCCTCGTCCTCAAACAGAAGACAGACAATGGGAAAAGAAAAGACCAGATGCTACGGCTGTTCGCCATTCTCTTCGTCGGGCGTCTGCTAAACAGCGAAAGGGACCAACTGTGCAGCTCAGGCGCATCGCATCGGTCTTGAGCTCCCCAGCGGCCGCCGAGTCTCGACCATGCCGTCTTGAGACGGATCCGGTGTTCATCGTTGAGCCACCGAAAACGCCTCTCGCTCCCAACAGCTCGCACAACCGCCGCAGCCTGGGCCGCCTAGATCGAGAGTGAGACGCACCGTTGAAGCCGCCAAGCCTGGGGGGGCTGAGGTGGCCGACCGTGATACCAGGCTTGCATAGGCATCCCTTTTTTGCAGGACATACGAATGGGAAACAACAGGAACGAGCGCCACGCCTGGTGTCGACAGCCCATACAACAAAGCTAGAGAGACAACCTGAAGCACACGGCAGCGCATCGCGAAGGGTGGAGGAGACACTTGCCTGGGACGCCCTTTGTACGGAGTGGATTCCGCTCGCCTTCCTGTCCGTCATGGCCCCTGTCGGTAAATCGTTGCAAGGCGTTGGTCGAGTCGTCGAATAGATCCCACCCAAAAATGGTCATGTGAGGCTCCCGTTGTTTCCTGGGCCTTATGGGCCAGCCTACTAGATGCATGAAGAGGGTGTTTCAACATCGTTGACGTGTTTTGGTCAGCCCATGAAGGGTGGCTTACCGGGACTGATCCGCGGTTCTGGATTGACTGCCCAGCCAGGACTTGGTTCGTGGGGAATTAGGTTTGGCAATTGAGCTAGACATGACGGTATGCCCTTCAACGGGCGGTCGGTAGCCGTATGCCCAGACAGACTGACGTCGTCCTCAGTGGCAGCGCGCAGATCAATGAGACCCTGAAGAGGCACACTGGCAGAGTCAGAAGAGACTAGGATGGCATGGTGAGGCTGCACGGCGCATGTCCTGTCTGCGGCGCGACAGCAGGGTAGTTTCCTGCAATGGAGCATCGAAACAACAGATGGATGGAAGATGCTCATGCGCTTGTCTGAGAACCCCTCCACCGATATCGTCTGTGTGTGTGTGTATGTGTGTGTGTGTGTGTTTGTGTGTCTGTCTGTCTGTCGGTCGGTCGGTCGGGCGGGCGGCTTAGAGTGCTGACGGGCAGCTCAGCATATGGATGTTGGCGAGCAAAGGGATCAAGGGTTTGTATAGTTCCTAGCAGCCGGCAGCGCAAGACAAGGCCAATGTCTGCTAAGAGAAGACGCCCTGGGTTACGTGCAGCATGACAGACAGCGGGAAAAAGGGTGCAAGGCCCGAAGACTGCAGACACGACCGGATGGCTGTGCTTGGAGGCGCCTGGCGCATCGTTAGTTTCAATGTTGGAGAAAGGCCAACCCCGATGGACTGTGACTGCGACTATGATCGCGACTTCGACTGCGACGGCTGTTGTCAATGCAGGTTGGTCGGGGTTTGCCAGGGTCGTGACTGATATAGCAATGACTGCTGTGGTATTGTAGATGTCGAATGCGAACCTCGGAGTAGGCATTGTGCAGCATCACCGAGGACTGGGACGCCTTTGGATGGAGGGGTTAAGGAGGATGTGGCCCGGCCATGAGGTGCAAGATGGAACCCTTTTTCCACGCCTCTTCCCTGGGTGTCTTATCGGAAGAGAGGTCGGTGCTTTACCTAAGCCGTGGTCGCTTATCAGGCGGGGAGGAAGGACCGGGCTTCATGTTTTGGTAGGCATTTGGGGTACCTTAAGGTACCTATCTGAGGTGCTCAGCTACCCTTAATCACCTCTCGAGCAACCCGACTCACTCAACGCACTTCATCATCCACTGAGCCGCAGAGAGGGTCGCAGAGCGGAACATGAACCCAACAGGCCAAAGGAAACCGTCATCTCTTGTTGCATCCCTGAGTCTCTGACTGATTCTGACTGAGCAACACAAATCATGTCGGATGCCAGTGGTCTGAGGGATTTGGAGCAAGTGGGCAGTCGGCTCATTGTCCAGCGCAACCATGGATCTATTGATTTGTACGGATACAGCGGGGGTGAACCAAGGGCCCGGCAGGCATGTCGTGCAACGAGTACCTTGCAGACGCATGTTAGTGTCAGAGTCTCTACCTGTCGTCGTGATGTTGGCTCAAGGTTACAGGTTCTCTGTTATCATCACCAACAAGAGGCTCAAGTGGGTGCTAGGCACTGGCAATGCAATCAGTTCAAACCTAGCATGGTATCCGTAGCGCACCTAGGTAAGGTATGTACAGGAGCAGCGATGCCAGAAAAGGCCCGTTTCCTCTATGCTCGCCATTCAGAGCATAAACGATGACAGCCGTCAGAGAAAGGACGCGGGATGCGGGACACGGGACGGGCAGAAGGGAGCATCTGCCAAGTATCCGTAATCAAATGTAGTTGTTATATCCGTCCCTCCTCTTCAAAGCAAAGACCCCATCTCGCTGCCGCTCTGCATGTGCTTCTCTCGAGTGTAGGAGCAGCCAAGTCGGCGTCCCCTACTTCACCTCTGCCCACCCCTGGCCTGCCCCTCCCTTCCCCTATCTTTGTTCCATGGACCTTCTCGAACAATGCAGTGCCGGCGAGGTAGAATCAAGTCTTGTGTTCTTCTGCCTCGTGCCCTCCCTCCCTCCCCTTTGCCAGTCCGAGTGCCCTCCCTCCTCTGTCCTCGAGACTCGCGCACTCCTTGTCGTCTTGACCGGCGACCCAAGGATCTAAAGTGTCCAAGGTCGCTGTGCCCGTGACGATATACAGATGCAAGTATCGCCAAACTGATGATGGAGCTTTCCCTTGCCAGTGACGCCCTTCTCAAAATGCCCCCAAAATGCCCCCATAATCCATTCCATCTGTCGCGGCTTGACTTGCGCCTGATGGGATCGCGGTACGTACCTCGCGTGCACCACGAGGGCACCTTCAATCAATGGGAGACGTGAATCCGGCCACTGCGACGGGAGGCCAAGCCCGATCGGGCCTAGCGCAATCACCCGCTCATTTGAAACGCCCAAACCCTCCATCAGATCAATGCGGATAACCTGAGGCCGCCGCTTTCTCTCCTTCCCTCTCTGCTTGTCACTACCATAGTAAGTCTCTATTCAGCCTTCACTGAGGTGGGCTTCAGCAGCCCCCCCAAATGGACATGGACCCGAATCTGTCATCCTCAGACCTCAGCCCAACCCATCCCACTCACACACACATGTCTATCCATCCATCCACCCACCATCACCCCCCTGCTCGTGCTGCCTCTACCTAACTCTAGGGCCCCAGGCAATAAGCAGAGCACGGGCGGCGAGACACTGGACCACATTGGATTGCGACTGGAGCTGGGAACTGGGAACTGGAAACCCGACCTGGCTGGCCTGACCCTTCCAAGCCCCGTCCATCTCAGGCGCTTCCGTACGGAGTACCTATCCGTACTCTGTCCCTCTGTATCACTCTCTCCTGTCCTCTCCCTCTCTGCTTTTGCCTTTGCCTGTGCCTCGCCTTACCCTTTACTTTTGCTTTACTTCCTCTCCCCTGCCGTACCTAACCCAGCCCCCCTCCCCCCTCCAGGTCGAATCAAGACACACCCTCATGCACGCCAACTGCATCAGCCTGCGTCCTGCAACAGCATTCCCAAATTCAGCGACAACTCCAACCTGGAATAGCAATTGTCTGCTGGCCACACTCCTCACTCGACACATCTGAACGACGTCTATTTCGCAAGACGTCTTGGCCCACGAAGGCTGTTCGAGATACACGCTACCGCCCACCACTAGCGACACCAAAGAAGGATCAAGGACCGAACAGGGGTCAGAAAGGCAACTCGTTTCGCCCCGATAGCCCGCATCGCTCCGCACCGCTCCGCAACTTCGACTCGTCGACTCGAAAACAGACCCGCCCGACCAGCCCAACCTCCCTCCTCCACCGACTGTCGGCGCCGGCACTTCTGTCACGCACACACTCTCTCTCTTCTCTCGCACACGCACACACGAGAGATACCTATTCCTCCTTTCCATCCGCTGCTCCAAGCCTAGCAAATACACTGAGGGGGCCACCCGATCACCACAGGGGGGGAAAGTACTAGAGTTCGAACGCCCATTGCTCAAATCCCTTGTTCTCAATTTCGCCCTCGCAGAACAAACACACCCTTCTCCGACGACGTCCATCTCCTACGAGAACCTTCCCGGCGCCCACTGTGACCGCTAGATTGTCGCTTCTCCGCCCTACCACCGATACTCCTGATCCGGAGCCCACCCGGCCAGACCGACTCTCGAGAACCCCGGTGCCGAATGAAGTGACCCTGTCTTCGACTTAGAACAAGAAAGTCGCCTCATAGGCCCTCCACCGCCTCGCCCCTCGGCCCTCGCACGATTCCCGACTGTCCTCGTCGTCGTCTATCGCATCCTTACTTCCTCTCCCCTCCATTCACCGGATGGGTTAGGACGTCATGGCTCATGCTCCTCTCCTCAGAACAAACACGGCTCCTGTATTCCAGCAATCCAACGGAATTGGCGGCCTACCCAATACCATGAGTAATGCGCCCCGCGCCAGCCAGCTTTCCGGCTCGACAACATACACATCCTCCTCCGGCTCCCTCGCATCCTTCCAGAGCGCATCCACGGTGACGCCCCCGCAAAATGGCGGTCCCGTTCAGGCCACAGCCAACATCATCAACCAAAAGGCCGATGCCTCACGATCCCTCTATCAGATCTGCATGTCGTTGAAGCAGCGATTATCACTGGTGCCTGGCTTCGACCCCTATCTGCAAGAGCTCGACCCCAACGACCCCGTCGAATCGCTGTGGGCCCTGTTCCGCACGGGTCACCCGCTCCTCGACATCTACAATGCCCTGCAACCCGAAAAGCCCCTCGAGATAGAAGGCGCAAATGCCAGTGCAAGCGACAGCAAAAAGGCAAAAATTGCCCTCTTCAAATTCATCCAGGCGTGTCTCAAGGACTTGGGTATATCGTCGGCGGAATGCTTCGTCATTAGCGACGTCCTAGGAAATGACACGACCGGTTTTGTAAAGGTATGCGAAACAGCTGCTACCCCTCCGCCATGGCGACCTCGGCCTCCAATCCCCATCAACCCTCCACACTAAAAAAACTTAATCTGACCTCTTCGTAGACTACCCAAGTCGTCAACTACGTCCTCGACATCGCTGAGCAACGAGGGCTCCTGTTACAGCTCCAGCCTTACCCCGAAGACGACCTCCCTATGGAACCAGGCTCCAAGCTGAGCTACCGGGATCATATCGTGAAGGAACTGGTTGATACGGAGCGCAAATACGTTCAAGATTTGGAGAACCTCTACGACCTCAAGAGTAGTTTGGAGACCAAGGGAATTATTACGGGCGACACCATTCATCAAATATTCCTCAATATCAACGCTATCCTGGATTTTCAGCGCCGGTTCCTGATCCGCGTAGAGACGACAAATTCCATGCCCAAGAGCGTACAGCATTGGGGTGCTCCATTCGTCACATATGAGGATGCATTCGACATTTACCGGCCCTTCATTGCTAACCAGCGAAAGGCGGCCCAAGTGGCCAACCAAGTCTTTGACCAGATCAAGGCTAGTGGGCATCCCGTGGCCGCAGACTTCAACACCTTGGACGGCTTCCTCCTTAAGCCCATGCAGCGACTCGTCAAATACCCTCTTCTACTGAAGGATCTGATGAAAAAGAGTGAAGACGAGGAAATCAAGGCCGATCTGGCAGCCGGTATCGAGGCCGCGGAACAAGTTCTCTCCAAGGCCAACGAAGAAGTCAATCGCGATCTCTTGGACGAGGCTTTGGACGACCTGCGAAACCGTGTGGATGACTGGAAGAACCATCGTGTGGAGCAATTCGGCAGGTTGCTCATGCACGGCGTTTACACTGTCGTCACAGGGAAGAGCGAACAAGAAAAGGACGTAAGTTTTCCAAAAAAATTTGAACAGGCAAACCCACCGGGATCAAACACTGATTTTTGTAGTACGAAATTTATCTCTTTGAATGCATCCTGCTTTGCTGCAAGGAAATATCGGCGAACAAGAGCAGGGATAAGAAGGACAAGACTAGGTCGACCGGGCCCAAGATTAGGAATAAGAATGCGAGACTCCAGTTGAAGGGCAGGATTTTCATGACGAATGTCACCGACATCGTCTCCCTCGCGAAGCCTGGTAAGCAGTAGAGTATCCCTTTCCTTGTCGACTCGCGGTGCTAACCAACCTACAGGATCCTACATCGTCCAAATCTGGTGGAAAGGTGACCCGGGCGTGGAGAATTTCATGATCAAGTACACAAACGAGGAGCAGATGAAGAAATGGGCAGTAGCCCTCGAGGCGCAACGTAAGGAGAACACGCCCAACAAATCTGCCACGAGTCCCGACCAGGCAGCGCCCGACTTCGCCTGGACCCGCGAAAACGCTGGCAAGCTCGAGAATCCATATCTTAACCAGCAAGACGATGATGACGACGAGGAACTCTGGCCACCCGCTTCTGCCCCTGCCCAGTTTCCAATGCCGACGCAGTCTACAGGAGGCAGCATGTTGCCTCGCAATGCATCGAGCACAAGCCTGCGACAACGCGCCGCAACTGGCGAGAGCCTCACCGGTATAGTGAGGGCTCCACCACCTCGATTCCCCCTCCCACAAGCACCTGCGCCTCTCAGCCTTACGACTCAGGTCCCTGCTCCGGGCGCTTCATCGCCTGGGGCTCGAGGCGGCGACTCTTACTTCTCGCCCGTAGCCGAGTCCCCGGCTTCCTCACGTACGAGCACTGCGAGCAACATATTCCCTAATCCGGGATACCAATTCCCCAAGTCTCTAACCCCTCAGCCGGGATGGGAGGACCCTAACCAGAGATACACGGCCCCCGCGATGCCTCGAGCTCCCTCACGGGATGGGTCATCCCAGCACAGAAATCCCCGCGGACCATCTCTGCCGGCAATGGCTTCCAACAGCCAGAGTGCGGCACAGCAGCAGCGCAGCAGATCGTACAGCACTCCTGACATCAACGCCCCAGGAAACATCCGTCGCACTCAAGGCGGCACTCCCGTTCCGGCGGTGCCTGGCATCCCGGCGCACCTGCACCCAGCTCACGACCAGAACATCCCGCGGTCACAAACCGGCTCGCCCAGGGTAAATGACGTTCCTATTAGATCAAACACGCAGAGCCCTGGCGCTCAGCGAGAACGCCAGTATGGGCACCAGCAGTCTGGAAGTTATGGCGGCACCATGTCACAGTTTCCAGCTCAGCCAATTTACCCGCGCCAGGGAACGCCAAACTCTGTACACGACCGGCAGCTCAGCATCGACGCGGCTGCATCTATGAACGCGATGTTATCTCCCCCACTTGGCACTGGCGGGATTAGCGGGTCTCAGTCGAACCCGCTCGCCAGCCCGGACCTGCCGATTCCTACGCAATTAAAGGTCAAGGTAAACTTTGTCGACAGCGGCAATTACGTTACCCTGGTTGTTGCGTTCAACATCACGTATCAGTCTCTGATTGACCGAATCGACGCCAAGCTTGCACGATTCACCAACAGTAGCATCAGCAAAGGCATGCTCAAGCTGCGATACCAGGACGAAGATGGCGACTTTGTCACGATTGCTAGTGATGACGACATTCAAATCGCCTTTATCGAGTGGCGTGAGGGAGCTCGCGCTACTGCGCCGGGAGGAGTCGGCGAAATCGAGCTGTTCTGCGTTGGGGATACGGCCTGAGCGCCTCATTTCTATATCGAAGTAGGTCTTTTGGGAAAACTTTGGGACTTTCCCAGGCGCATCATACCCATATACCCACCGGGGGGCATTTATTTGCATACAAGGCGTCCGGAGCAGATTGTTTTACCTCATTTCTATACCTCTCAGCATCGCATCAACAAGCACGTGGCTGCTAGACTACCATACATCACGGGGTTCGCAGCGGCAGCCATTTGCGATTAGGAAGCATCCGGACTCGCGCATGAGAATTTAGACGGTTCCATCATCATGACCACATTTCCTGCTCACAAGACACGATCCCCTACGACGGGTTCGTGTCCAAAGGCACTCATTCACCGACACGCTCCTTCCTCTTTTTGGAAATACTTTACACCAAACTACCATTGGCGACCCTGGACGTGACTTGCATATGCCACTCTTGAGCTCGTTAAGACTGGACTCGGGGAAAGGGGCAGATTGATACAACGAGACATCCAGGGCCCAGTCATTCCCTTTTCACTTCTTCTGTTGGTTGTTTACTCTTTTTGGGATGACTAAACTTCTTTCGATCGTTACGACTTTGATGATGGGGGATGAATTTGATATCTGGCTTTACCTAAGTGTGGTTGGTGGGTTTTGGATGGGGGCAAGTGAGCCTCCACCAGCCGGGGGGGATGAGAATGCCTACCGCATCGCTCGCTACAGTTTGGGAATCGGGTTCTTGACTGGCGCTAGTTAGGGGTTATTCGAGCAATGAACAGTCGTTGCTGTTCATTCATCATGATATGAGACGTGCTCTTGCTAAGGTGGACTAATGTATGTGAGTCTTGTGTCTTGATGTACTGTGGGATGCGCAAGTTCTCGAATGTTGGATGATGCGTGACGCCCCGGCTTTGATGATGGGCGAGGTACCGGCAATTCTCGGTCCCGGATCCTCATTGGCGGTCGAAAATCCAGCAAAGTCCAGAAACTTGACTCTCCTGCCCAGTCGAAATACGTTCGGTCAGCCCAGCAGCGGATCATTTTGTCTGCCATACCATAACTCGTCTGATTCATGACGAGATTGAGATTGGAAGAGGGGATAGATGGGATAGTGAGAATTATGGGCTGATTTTGTAGAACAAAGATTGGGAAGGAGAGCTGGTGCTAGCTGTTTTTCATTTACTTTTTTTTTTGGTCGGCTGGTGAGAGTAAGGCGGGGCAGTCAAACTTGGGAAGCTTTCCATGAGCACATAGTACCTTTACATACATGTAAACTTATGTTGATAGTAACAGAGTATGGCCAAGTTGATTACGTCTTTATAGCATGAGGAAGAGATTTTTGCTTAGTTTTGTGGTGCTGTTGATGAACATATTCGTCAGCGTTCTTCTCTGGCACATTACGGCATATACATCCCCAGGAAAAAATGTGATGTTGTAGGTGTATGTTGGAATTTGAAGAGTCGGGAAGTGATTTGAGGCATTCCATGTCTTTGCACTCTTGAATGTGAGTGCTTGATCTAGAAATCATCCAGCATGCAGTGAGATTGATCTCATGTCTGGCTTAGTTGTGTACTGAATCATCGAATTGAATCCAATGTTTTGTGAGTCTTTGGAGGCTTCTTGGGGTTTGGTGGAGTGGCATGAGGAACTGGAGGACTGGGAAGGAATAAATCAATGGTAGCTTCGACAACGGTGAGAGAAAATCAGAGTCTTTTTTTCCATCGTCAATGATTCTGGCGAGATTCTAGAACTTCGCCTCCTATGGTGTTCTATTACTTGTGGTGTTGAAATCAAAGCCATTCAAGCTGACGTATGCGTATTTATTGTTCAGGTCATTGAGGCAGGTCAAATGAGAGGAACTTGCGTGATTGTCGTGCTCACCGAGGCTGCACTGGTACTGCCGCTGACGATTGGGCAAACGCATGCCTGAATCATTCTAGATGGCTTTGACACGTTATTTTCATGAGTTTGTGATTGTGTAGTTGACTTCTTGCACTATATGGGATGAACCTGGGATGGTATATGCTATGCCGAAAGCCAGGTAGGTCTGATTCTCTGTCCGCCAACTCCTAGTTACACTGACTGCCTTAGGTACACAAGGTTGTCAGAAGTACGCTGGTATGTTGAGAAGGCTGCTTCCCTCTTTGCGCCGTGGGTCACTCGCATTCGAGCTGCTGGACAAGCGGTAGCAGTAAGATATTAGGGGAGGTCAACTCGCCAACGGCGTCAGGATCTTGCCAGCAATGCTGGTCCCATGGAGCCTCGGCGAATAAACCACTCAAATCATTCCCGACATCACTCGCTGGACTTCGGAATGGTATAGCGTTATGATCGAGGGCTCTACGAGTCAGATTATAGCGAATCAGGTGATCTTCTCATGGAAGTAGAAAAATTGGTATCGACGTGGAAGGTGGAGGCAGTGATATCATGATTATGCCTCTGACGCGAGTCTATTTCAGATATCTATTCCAAGTCCATCTAGCCAAGAACTTGTAAAATGGCCAGAGACTGGATGACAAAGATAGAAGCTAGGTTACTAATGAGATGGCTATCCAGACGCAGTTCGCCCCGCCACTTGGCCATACTGAGGATAAGCCTCTAAGCTGTCATGATCACAGTAGTTGCTCCAAGAATTCAATGCGAACAAGCGGACAAGAAGGGGATAGAGACTAAGACATGCGGAGACGGTGCCATGACAGACTTGGTGGGATTCTGCGCATCGCGTCTGTCGCCCTGCCTTGAGGTCTTTGAAGTTTCGCAGCCGCACTCCGAACAGCTTCTTAACACTCCATGGGCTTGGATGATAACATCTATCGAGAGCCTGCAGTTCTTGGCGACACTGTCCCGGACGGAAGTAATTGAATTGCTAGATATTCACCAGGTGGGGAGATTAGGACGGGAGAGATGGAAAGGGATGCTGTTCTTGACTACGCTTGAGAGCCTGAAAGATATATGCACACACAAGCCGTCGCTCCAAGTGAGGGTTCCGGACGACTTTCACTTAAGTTATCATATCAGATCAAATCAAATTAGATCGAAGAGTCCCTCATTCTTGAAACGTGATGGTAGCGAGTCTTTTTTTCCGCCCGCCGTATATGGTACATAGTATACAACATCGATCCTCTTGAACGCCTAATTCCTTGTATAATAGTATGGTTGTACATCTCGTATGCCTCCAGCGGTGCTTGGTGTGCCACTCTCCACGGAGCGTGTACACGCCACCGGCCCTACACGCCTCTGCCGTTCCAATAGTCTGATTCGGTTGTCGTAGACGTTGTGCCTTCTGGCGTCCTTTCCCCCTCGCGATTGTCCCAGGGCGCTCTAATTTTTGGGATACATCAATTCGCAGAGGTATTCATCTCCGAGTAGTCGCCCTCACTTTCACAACCAGTCGTATGTGGACTCCGTCCCGTCTCTTTTTTTACTTGCCCTTGGAGTTGGGTATCATCTTGTCGTACATGCGGCCGAGGTGGTAGTTGACGGTGGACGAGGGCTGCTTCGGCTTCTTGGGCTGGTCCATGCAGGTGCGCAGAGCGTTCTCGAGGGCGGCGCAGCCGGAGGTGTTGTAGCCTGCGGAGGCCCAGCATGCTGTAGGAAGGCGAGATGTCAGTTCATGGAGCCTGGGGATATCTATGCTAATGCGTCTTTGTCGAAGGAAAGGGGGTGGAGGGGGGTTTGGGTTGCTCGTTCTGGTGATCAGAGGCAATCAAGTCCGTTGAGGCAAATTCGAGAGCCAGATGTGGTTGATGGATCATAAAAGACTCACCGAGAACTGAGGTCATGACTTGTATGCACGGCTGCTCCGTCTTCCCGTTGGGATTACGAACTCGAAGAACCTTGACAGGCGGCAGGCGCATAGGTTTTTGCGGCATGATGGGCGACGTCTCTTTCAAATCGCTCAATTCTGTCTTTGATTCGCCTCCGGAGCTGTGCGCCTATCGTTGGATCGTCCGGTCGGGTCGGTCGTCAATTCGGCTTTGGTGGATCTTTCGTCGTCGTCTTCCTGCACCTCCGGAAGCTCCCAAGTACCAGTGCTCGAAAAGATGCCATCGCGAAAGCTTTGATGCGGAGCCCGAAGGACATTTTACGCCAATCACGTGGCGTCAGCCTCGCTCATCCCTTTTAAATTCTCTGATTGGATAGAATCGCGTGGAGGCGCCTAGATGGTGGGGTAAGACACGGTAGTGGACAGCCTCACCGCGCCTGGGATCAGAGCTGTTCCCTTCGAGGCAGGCGCGCTCCATTGCACTGGAACACTGCAAGCAGCGCTTGGGTGCGAGACTCGGGAGCTCCCGATTGGCTGCCTCGCCTCGCATGTAAACAAAGGACGACCACCGGGACCGTCTTCTCGTTGCCCGTTGCGCCCAGCACCGTAGCCAGCCCACCACACCGATTTTCTCTTAATGGTCCCCTTCCTGCGCATTACTTGCCCTTTCCCGGCTCTCGATTTAGCAACTTGGAAGTACCTTGAACCTTTTTTTTTCTAATCTCCTTCCCCAACCCATCCTCCAATCTCCGCGTCGCGACCACCAACGAATCGCAACACACGCCGAAACGTTCGTCTCTATCGGTACCTCGCCAATTCAAGGTACATTGCTATAACAATTCACGACTCTACAATCTTCAATCGGAACCCGTTGAGCCGTTTCTTGACCTTCAATCCGGTGGCTCAACATCTTGCTTCGGTTGTCGCGCTTTGTTTACCTCATTTTTGGCCCCCAATCGCATCGCGCCTTTTTAAGCCCACGATCACGTCCGAGAGCCTCCTCCGCGCCGTGTCGCATTGGAGATCATAGCTCCCGCGCTAGATCGCACCAACCGTTTAACCTCGTCATCCTGTCATCTGGTCAATGTCTCGTTGCCACTATACACGATGAATATTCCAAAGTTGACCTTTAACCCGCCCTCGGGCAACCTGACGCCCTCGCCGACGTCGCGCTCCTCCCGCGACCGCACCACCAGCCCTAAGAAGGCGTTGGCCGGTTTCGCAAAGCTCGAACTCAACCCACAGCCTAACGGCGGTATGGCGCCCACTCTGTCATCCCTCTCGATGGACCTTGACTTCACCACGCCAACCAAGGCAGGTGCCTCGCCAATTTCCATGTCGACAACAAAAAAGCAGGCTCCCAAATCCGCCTCAGTGTCTCTCGCTTCGCCAACTAAGAAGTATAGCACTGCAGAGACACCGAGACTGAAGGGCAGCGCTACAAATCTCTCGATGATGAAGATGTCGTCGGATCCAACCCCGTCAAAGACCCCGTCGCCTAAGAAGGTGTCCTTTGCAGACGCCAGTTTCCAGTCCCTGACCGCATCGACACCAAAGCTCGCTCGCGGTCTCTCTCCCAAGTCGAGTCCTTCCAAGCCTGCCATCTCCGACTTTTCAGTCATGTCGATTACTTCGCCGACGGCATCACTCGTCTCCAACGACTTGTCTCCCTGCCGAAATTCTGAGTCGAACCAACAGCAAGTCGAAAGCCGTGTCGTTGTCGAATCCCCAGCGAAAGACGAAGATGCAGAGACAGAATACGATGCAAGCACTTTCGAGTCCCCTTCAAAGCTCGATATCACCATGCACGACATCACAATGATTTCTGACTTCGCACCGTCCCCGAAGAAGCCCCAGTCTTACACGCTCGCCACCGCCGAACTTTCGAAGGCGGCGAAGGAACTCTGGTATATTTATCCCTTGGCCAAGAATATGCAGCCTGACTGACTTGTTCCTTCATAGTGGCCCCTTCAAGCCCGAGATCTATGCTGACTTAGACGTCACTTCAACGCTTGCGCCAGTGCCCAGCTTCGCCCGTCAGCGCGCCCGTATTCCGCGGACAAAGCAACGGAGGAGGGGCCTAGTGTTTGAGAAGGCCATCGCAAGAGAGGTCGCCGAGTCCCTCGCCGTGGAAGAGCTCGAGGCCGCCGCCAACTTCCGGCACATTGCCGTGAAGGGCAGTCTGGCGTACGCCCTCTGTCCTCGCAAGAGGCAGAGGGTGGCCGAGCCCACGGAGGAGGACGACTCGGAGCCGTACTGGCTGGAGGACGTGGACGAAAGCGGAGTGATTAACATGATCGAAGCTCGCCGCGTCCTCCGCAACGACCTCTTTGCGCTCCCTGCTGGCCCCTCCGTTCACGATCAGCGCCGCCAATACCATGAGGAGGTGCAGAAGTACGGCGACCCTATCGTGCCGACCTGCGGGAAGAGAAACTATGATGGTGAGAAGAAGCGGGCCTATAACAATGGCCTGCTGACTCACACCATCATGGGGCCTCTTCTCGCATTCCCGATGCCCGAGCTGAGCTTTGACTGGGTGCTTGAGACTGCGATTCGCGAGTCGAATAAGGTTCACGGTCGCGAGCAGCCCAAACATCGCAACGTCAGGCAACCCATTGCCATCTTTGGAGAATCCGACTTCTCGATCATTGAGGAGGAGGAGGAGCCCCAGAGCCCTACCGCCAAGCTCCCTCACTTCCCTTCTTCGGCGACGCACCACTCGAGCACGAGCCGAAAGACCAGGCTCGCTCAAGGTGCTGCCAATCTGCAAGCCAAGCTTGCCACGCTCAAATCTGTTGTTGAAGAGCAGGCTCCATCACCATTGTCGTCCCCCATTGGACCCGGCTTTACCTTCAAGGTTCCTTCATTCATATCGACTCCCGATGCCACCGAGACGAACAACGAAGAATCCGTGGCCGACCAGGAGGACGACACCGCTGCCGAGGAAGTCGCGAGTCCAATGGTATACTTCAAAGACCGCAACCAGACCTCTCCTTTCAAGAAGCGCAAGTCCTTGCCTGCCGTTCGACGTCTCTCTTTTCCCGGTCCTCTCCGCCGAGCATCTCTTCCTGCTGCCGGCTCCGCCCAGCTTCCTGTGGTGCAAGATCTTCAAGATCTAGCATCCGGGCCGCTGGTGGGTGCTCCCGATTCATCGGTCGAGCTCCACGAGGTGCAGAATCCCCTCGAGGTTGATTCAGCATCTGCGGCGGCTGCCCAAGCCACCCCTGAGAGATCGCCGTCGCCGTCGCCTTCGCCTGTTGTCGTCGACGCAAGAGAGAACCCAGATATCTTTGGCTCCTGCCAGGATCGCCCCGGATCCCCGATTCAGGCCCTTGCCTCGCTAGCTCGCGTGTTTGAGGAGGCCAAGAAGACGGATATGGACGGCAAGGTCGTTGTCAGTAGAGAGGGAGTTCGCCTCATTGTCCGATTTAAGGTTTCGGATGAGCATGCTGCTCTCTTCGCCCAAGAGCAAGAGCCCGTTGTTGCCGTTGGCTCTCCCACCAAGCTGACCACTTCTGCCCCGGTGTCGCCTGTCCGCCCGGCCGCTCTGGTGAAGGACAACAAAGAAGGAGAAGAACAAGCCAGGATCGAAGAAGAGAATGAGGAGGTTGCGCAGGTCCCTTCTCAAGCGCCCGTCCAGGCCGTGGAAGACGACGATTCGGACCTGATCATGCTTAGAGAGTTTATGACCAGGCACGCCGCTAGAAAGGCCGCCAAGGCTGCTGACCCCGAACCCGTCGAGCCAGCCGCTCTCTCTCCCACTCTGGCCGTTGCTCCTTCACCTGCTCCCCTTGCATCCGCTCCAATTCTCATGGCTACAACCCCAGAGCGCAATCAGAGTATCTGGGCCGACACGCCAGCATTTTCAATCACTTCGTCGGCAGATCGTTCTCGGTCTGCGCGAAGGGCATCTCCAGCCGTCTCGAGCGGACGCCAGCCTCTAGGATCGCTCGATGTTAACAGCCCGAGCCCCAAGAAAGCCAAGCGAAAGGCTGAAGAAGTTGACGAAAGAGAGACGCTGCCAGAGAAGCCGCAGCGGCCGAAACGCCAGCGCAGAGCGAAAGCAGATGTGCCTGAAACAGACAAGACCAGTGACAAAGCCAGCGATAAGGTCATCGACAAGGACGAAGTTGCACCCGTGACAAACGTACGCACCAGACGTCAGCTCGCCGTCGCACGAGGAGAGGCTCCAGCAGTTACCAAGATCCCGGTTAGAAACAAGGGAATGGGCAACATTAGAGCCGGAGAGAAGGACCTTGCGGCTTTGACTCGCCAGAACACCCGCGTCAATAAGGGAGACGCGATATCTGCAGAGGAAGTTCTCGAGACTCTGAAGAACGCACCGCCAAGGGTTGAGACGCGAGCCGCCGCCGCCGCTGTTGCCAAGAAGAACGGTAAGAGCGTTCAGTGGGCAGCCCAGCTGGCTAGAAGCCAGTCGGAAGACCCGTCCGCCAGTCCGGTCGACTCTGACGAAGCAAGCTCTGCCGAGCTCAGTCCCGATGAGGAGAAGCAGATTGGAAAGGCAAGAGCGAAGGCCAGGGGCTCTACGAGCAAGAGCGCTGCTACGAAGGCTTCAGCTGCCAAGGTTGCTGCGACGACGAAGACGGCGCCTGCCAAAGGGACTGCGGCCAAGGTGACCAAGGCAAACCAGCCCAAGTTGACTCCTGGTTCGAAGACGGAGGGTGCAAAGGTCACCAAGACGAAGAAGCCCACTGCCGCGGCGAAGAAGGAGATGGGCCTGAGTGCCAACGGTACGCCTGCCAAGCGCAGCGCTCGCACAGCGAAGAAGTGAAGACATCACAAGCGAGGTTTGTGGACTCAGTGATGGAAGGAACTGATGGAAGAGCTGATGGAAGGAATTGCATCGAAAAGGGGAGGTACGGACGGCATTCGCATCGCATGGCGGAAATCCAAAAAGCATAGCTATGGGCGTTTGGGACGGTTTTGATATTCTTGTTGGTCTTGTTTTTTTTTGGGCCTATTTCAATCAGGTTTGCATCATGGCCGCCCGGCGAGGCGTGTGTTTCGATTCTTGTTCTACTCCTGTTCTATACCCCAATTGCTTCGTTGCTGACAGAGGCGGATGGGATTTTTTTTTTTCAATCATGACTGATGATGATGAGATTGAAACTATTTGGGACTCTTGATGTGCTTCTGGATGCATGAAGCCGGTAATGATCGTGACAGCTATTTATCCCGTGGTGTGCTGTGCCTTGTTTCTCGACACAGCTTACTCTGCAATTGTTTACCGGCGAATATGTACCACGCGATTGCAAACGGCCGTCGTCAAGCCAATGATCGTACCCTTGTCACATAAGTACATGCCTTGATTTGCGATACCATCAACCGGGGACTCGGATAAAAGCCCAAACGGGCCATGGTAAGGTAGTGTGCAGGAAAATAAGAGGGGTAACGCGGCAGACGATCCATGCCATCTACCTATCTCGGTGGGCGGTGATTGTTCTTCTGCATCCGGGGTCTGTCAGCATACCGGCCCTGTGCCCTCGGCATGCTCTTTTGTTTGGCTTGAACGCGGACTAAGTCCCTTGCCCGTGAACCCCTCCTCCCCGCCAGCAAGCCACATACCAAAGACATGTCGAGGGACGGGGGTTGGTGTGGGATGGGAACCGATACAAAAACTGGAGCTCCCCTTACCTTTGAGACCGAGAAAGCCATTTTCTCTCGCTGCCATTTCTCTCGCTGACATTGGCTTGACCTGTTGACGATTTGGTACATGGCAGACGACCTCGAATCGGACAGCGGACCGCGAGACTCTTTAGTGCTGCCCCCCCACCTTGGAGCAACATCCATCCATTCACCTATTTCCTTGTGAGACAGGAAAGCGCAAATAAGCCATGGCCGAAACACCGGGTACACCGCCCATCACGGCCGCCGCCAACCTGACCTTGACGACGAGTCCACCGCAAGTCGTCCCGGCGGTCGCGATAGACCCCGCTCAGCAGGATGATCTTGTTGAAGCCGATGAGGGATTTGCCGTGCGTCGGGACTCAATTCCTCTTCTAGCAGATTGAGCCATTTTTTTCACTAACATTCTCCATCCAGAGCGATAGCGATTCATCGATTGATGATAGAATGTAACTGCATCTTTCTAGGATTCTTCCATTTCTCGTTGACCAATTTCATCTTCTTTTTCTAACACATTCGGAATGAGACAGCTCAAGCTACACCGCGTCCCTGTCGTCGAGCGTCATCGACTACCCGGAAGAGTATGGTCGGCGCTACCACGCATTCAGGCCGGGTTGTGAGTCTTATGCTTCAGTTCCACATCTCACAAGAAAGAGAGATATCCCAGCCTGACAATCGGTCCGCTTAGCGTACTCGTTTCCAAACGACGAGGTCGAGATGGAGCGTCTCGACATGGCCCACGCCATGATGGTGAGGGCGATTGGGAGCAAGCTTTGGCTGGCGCCGCTGGTCAAGGACAAGGTCCATCGCATTCTGGACATTGGCACGGGCACTGGAATCTGTATGTCTGCGCACTATTTTATTTCGGGTCTTTAAAAATTGTGCGCTAAAGCTTGCGGTTGATAGGGGCTGTTGAGATTGGTGACATTTTTGAGAACGCCGAGGTCGGTCCATGGTGATTTAGGCTGGCGAAGGTATGAGTTCTGAGTGATGAGAACATAGGTTATCGGAAACGACTTGAGCGCCATTCAACCAGAGTGGTACGTGAAGAACATTCTCCCCAATCCCCTCTACAGCGATTGCAGAGCTTATTCTTCTTGGACTACAGGGTGCCCCCGAACGTCAAGTTTGAGATTGACGATGTCGAAAGCGAATGGGTCGGCGTCAAAAAGTACGACTTCATCATGTGCCGATACATGGCCGCATCCATTCAAGACTGGCCGAAGCTGATTGCCAATATTTACGAGTGCGTCTCTTTCCGTTCCATACAAAGTGAATGACGTGTCAATCTGAACACCACCTCCTACAGCAACCTCAACCCGGGTGGCTGGGCCGAGTTCCAGGACATGAGCACCGAATACTACTCGGACGACGGCAGCTACACCCCAGAGCACGCAACCTACGAGTGGAACCAGACGTTTGTGTCAACGCTCGACAAAATCGGCCGGGACCCCCGCCCCGGTCCCAAACTCGAGGGCTGGGTGCGCGGGCACGGCGGGTTCGAGCACGTGTCGCACCGCAAGTTCAAGACGCCCATCGGGCCCTGGGCGCGGCACCGGCACTTCAAGGACCAGGGGTTGCTCAACCTCGCGCAGATTCTCGAGGGGCTCGAGGGGTTCTCGTTGAAGTTGTTGTGTGGCGTGTTGGGGAGGAGCCGGGAGGAGGTGTTGGTGCAGCTTGCTGAGGTGAGGAGGGAGTTGAAGACGGGGGCGTTTCATGCGTTGTTGGATTTGTGAGTGACTCTTTTCCTTTTTTTTTTTTCCCCCTCCTTCTTCAATTTACCGTCCCTCCTGTTTTATTTGCTAGACGATGATTGGGGATTGTTCATGGCTGATTTGGTATATGCGTACCCTTAGGCATGTGGTTTATGGGCAGAAGCCCGCTCTACCGGCTTCTACGGAGGCGACCGGGTGAAGATGGAGTCTTTTACAATGTTTTGAATTATACAATTTCTTGGTGTTATCTACGTCAGCGCTTTGAAATGGCATCTTTTCTCCATGGCTCATAGCATAGCGACGCAGCATCTTAATACAAAGACTTGAAGGCCGGAGACAACGTTGTTTTTTTTTGGCTGATCTCCAACACATGTACCATATGCAGTACTCAGAACAGCCCTATCAACGAGGGGGTTGATGAAATGATATCTTTCCTCTTGGGGTTTTCTCACTTCGTGTCCTCTTACCGTGGATATTCCCGGATGATCATCAGCATATGGAGTGAGCGCACAGTCTTCAGCCCTACGAGATGAACGGGTGGTCCCGAATGTCAAGTTCGGATGTCAAGTTCGGATGTCAAGTTCGGACGATGCAAAGCGAACATGGGGACAAACAACAGCAAATACCTGAGAACCTAAATTGGAAGCGACAAGGAAAAGCCCGGAAAATACCCGCCGTCTGCTTTCCGAGGTGCTGAAAGAAGTAGGCAGGAAGCCAATCTGACGTGCAGTTGCACCTGCTGCCCAAGAAATCCCACTACGAATCACCCGGCATACGGCGCACCACCTTTAGGCTCGATCTCGTCGGGTGGCCCTACCCGACTTTTCTTACCTCAGCCATTCTCTTTTTTTTTTTCCTCTTTTCGCCCCCCAGCGTCCACCGTCTAACGTCCCACGTCCAAACCAACCAACCAACTCACCTTGGTCCGTCACTTGACCCCGCGACGACACGTCAAATCCCCCGCCAACCACGTGCAATTCTCTGCCAACCTCCCAACTCCCAGCTGTCACTACCGAGAAAGAGAAAAGGCAAACAAGAGAGACTGGAAAAATGTCGCTCTTTGGCAACTTTGACGTTGCGAAGCTGGCGTCGCAGCTGGGCAACTTCAAGATCCCTGATGACCCAGAGATTATCAACCAAGGTAAGTGAATGAGTGAAATGATCTGCGAAAACTCTCACCTCAATCCTGCACCTCATTACCCGCAACACCCCACCAACCTCCAAAGCATCACATCACCAAATCCTGACGACACGTCTCAGGCCACCAGGACTATGGATACAGCAACCACGGCTCCCACGGCGGCGGCTACGACGGCAGACCCCCCGCGGGCTACGCCGGCGGTCCGCAGCAGGGCGCCGACCAGTACAAGCGCGAGCATCCCGCCGCCTTTGGCTCCAGCGACCCCACCCGCTCCGCCTACTCTGACCCCGTCTCCGAGGGGAGTGCCATGTCGTCCGTCGCCGCTGGCGTAGCTGCTAGCGCCGCCACAGGTGCTTACGGCTCGGCACCGCAGTATCCCTCTCCCCATCCCGGTAGGTATGGTGACTCGGGAACTTCGAGCCCGTATCCTCCACAGCAGCAGCAGGGATATGGACGCCCTCCCTCACCGGGTTATGGCAGACCTCCTTCATCGGGCTACGGAAGACCTCCATCTCCGCGACTGCCAGAGGGATGGGTCAAGCGGTTTGACGATAACAACAGACGATGGTACTTTGTGAATCAAGCGACTGGTACTTCTCAGTGGGAGGCCCCAGCGCCGTCACCGGTGGTGTCTCCTCCGCCAATGTCACCGTCGGGTTATGGAGGGTATGGGGATGCCCCTCGATATGGTGGACATTCACCGCAGCCGGGGTACTCGCCTCAGCCTGGGTACGGAGGCCCGTCACCTCAACCAGGATACGGCGGACCGTCACTACAGCCGGGATACGGAGGTCACTCTCCGCAGCCCGGGTATGGAGCCTACGCCGGTGGTGCGGCAGCTGCGGCAGCTGCGGCAGGAGCCGGGTACTATGCAAGTCAGCAATACGGACAGAGCCAATCCCATGGATATGAGCAGCCTCAACAGTACGGCCAGCCACAGCAACCCCAGTCCTACGGCCAGCCCTATGGACAACAGCCTCAACAGCAGCATGGGCAGCAGTACGAACAGGGGTATGGCGGTGAAGAGAAGAAGAAGAAAAAGAAGAGCGGTAATGGAAACATGTTCCTCGGCGTGGCCGGTGGCCTCGCGGTGGGCGCGCTGGGAGGCGCGCTTATCGCCAATGTTCTGGGTAATGATGCCTCATTTTCTCCGGATCCCGCTCTGGATGATTTTCGAACATGCAAACTGACGATTTCCGCAGATTCTGATTCGGACCACGAACAGCACTACGAGCGTCATTCGTCTTCGGGGTCCGAGGACCACTACCGCGGTCGCGATGACAGCGATCGGGAGTCAGAGAGGGAGGAGTACGAGGAGCGGGAGGAGTATGGCGGCGACTACTACGACGATTAGGTTGGTCGAGTACCGTTGTCTGGACCCCAAGGCTACTGTCGCGGGTTTGATGGAAGCGATTGGGTGTCCGAGAGTGAGGAGTGCGAGCAGGGGCGTCATGGAGAGTGTCAGGGGCAACCTCTGGAGCAGTATCTGGAGCAGCTTCTGGATCAGCCTTGGGAGCAATACCAGGAGGAGCGGCAGGAGGAGTGGCAGGACCATGGCGACGAGGACCATTCTGTCGTGCACACCGAATATATCGAAGTGATCTATGGTGATGAGCAGTGTGCGGACGATGTCCGTGCTGACAACTGTGCCGACGACGGCTATGGCGATGACGGCTATAGCGACGATGGCTATGGCGACGATGGCTGTGGTGATGATAGCTATGGCGACGACGGCTATGGCGATGATGGCTATTGCGGCGATGAGGTTAGCGACGAGTATTATGATGATTAAATTGGTCGAATGTGGACTTTCTCGGACGGTCCTCTCCCTTCTGTAGGCATGATGAGGCGTTTTACTGCTGAATGTACGTTTTACGAAGTCTAGAATTTAGCATGAGAGTAAATCTTACCACCTTACGGATATTGGGAACGCGTGTGTATGTGCATGCAAAGAAGGTGATTTGGGTTCGACTGACTACCTAAGAGCTGGGTGAGGCGAGGCGGGTGGTAGATTCTGTCCACTCTCCGGGTTCGCAAGAGTTCCTGGCAGGGGCCGCGGATCACTATCGTGCCACCATGTTGTCGGGAACCGGTCCCCACCGGAGGAGAGAGGCCTGCAGAGTAGAGCAGATCCACTGGAGCAGACATCGGAGTCATCGGGATATAATGAGATAATGCTCGTAGACATCTCATTGAGAAATGATTGACAAGGGCAGAACTTCGGAAGAGGCGAGGGGCTTTAACCCGTCAGTCCCGCGGGATCAGACGTCAATTTTGCCTCTTCTGGAGTAAAGAGGGCTGAGTTGCCCATGTCTATTGGCTCCCTAGACTCTTAATAAGTTGAATTAAGATGAACTTGTCAAATAGAGTTTACTCTTAGCGTTTGGGCGCGCTCCAAGCCTTGATGCGCGCGACTCAGTACATATCCTCTTGGAAATTGGTTATGGTTACGCGGCTTCTTCGTCGTTTGAAGATCAAACATAGATCGTTCTTGATACTTAAAGCTGGTCTTGCGTCTTGTATCTTTTATCCATCTTCCTTCCTTTTTCTTGCCTTCATTTTTTCGTTTGTGTCGTGTCTTGAAACTCCCTTGTCACTTCCAGACTACTGTTTTTCTTGCACCACATCTTCAGCCGGCGATTGATTTGCAAAACACATCAACAACCATGAAGTTCCACGCCGCTCTCTTCATCACCTTCCTTCCTTCAGCATTGGGCTCGTGGGTATGTTGAAACCCGGTCGGACTTTGACTACACACCTTAGCTAATGTAGGTGACAGAAATGCAAACCTAAATTGAATGAACAGGCGGGCAACTTCGGTACCTGCCTCTGGGATGGCGACGAGACAAACATTCAGGCTTGTACCTCGGTAAGGATTCATTTTTTTGCTTCTTGAGAAGACTATGGATTGCTGACTGGTGTGTAATACAAACAGATGACCCCATGCACCAAGGATGGCAATGAATGTAGTCTCCTCGGGTCGAGGCTCGCCATTTGCACGTAGACGCGAGGCTAGTTATTGTCAAGTCACGGTTACAGAACGAGGTTTGGAGAGATGTACGGAGGAGGCCCCTGAACGTTTGTGGAAGTGTTATACGCGCCATTCATTAAGGTAAAGAAAGCAACGACTACACTTCGTGACATGAGAGCTGGTTGCCCCGAAAGACCAAGCAACTCTCAGCTCACAGGCTGTTGACTGCAGCTGAATGAGATTTAACGGAAAACTCAAATACAAATATTGTTGGAAACCAACCATGCGGACCGGCATCTGGAAGTCTGAGGATTGACCACAAATGGAACCAATGTCTTTCCATACGTATGGGTGCTTCAACTTACAGCTGAGGTGTCACTAAAAACGCCAGTGTAAGCACAGTAAGAAACAACGCAAAAGGTAAAGCTAAAGAGCCCAGGAAGAAGTTGAAGGCGAAAATAACGTTTACGGAAACACCCGCTGGGGTTTCAGTACATACCAAGCCGCGAGAATCAATAACAATTACTCAATCAGCTCATTTAAGCTAGTAATGGTATCCGTATTACAGGGATACGTGTACGAGACGTACAATATTAATATAATAAGAATTAAATAATCTTACATTAATTTCTATATAAAGAGGAAGAGGTTCCGCCGGCGGGCGGCCTACCCGCCGATCTATTAATACAATCCGCGGAGGTGGCCCTTGCGGCCCACCTGACTCGTGGGTCCAATTGGACTTCTAATCCGACAGCTAGACTTAATCAGCATTTATTTAGAAAATAATTAGCACCAACCATAACTTTACTTTCAGCCCAACTAGTCAAGTCTATAGACAGTCCGACAGGTCTCAGCGTGGAGAAAAAGTTCACATTGATCGTATCAGCAAATATTACTACTTATTCCAGACATCGCTCTCAAATCAACGTCAAACTTCACAACGCAGCCATGTCCTCCCACATTAGCGCCATCATCATATCCAAATCCATGCGCAGATCGAACTGACGCAACAGTCTGAAACAGATACTACTCAAAATCGTCTCTAACTCTGACGCTGCCCCCTGGCGCAATGAGTCCACCCGCTTCGATCCTACCGAAGACGCCCAAACGGATGGCAGCCACGTTATCAAGGGACTATTAAGAGCTGTTCCAGATCTTAAGGTGTCTATTCGCTTCTCCCCTCGCTATGAATACCTTCATACGGGCTACGATAAGTTGGCAGGACCTCCTAGGCTTCCTAGTGAGGCTATGGCCCTCTCACCGACTATGTATATCTTACATCGAGCGCCACGTTGCACTCGACCGGGACATCTCCGCGAGATCGGGGGGAGCAAGTTGCGCAACTGGGTAGCACCAGCGCCAATCATCCGATCAACATCGAGACCCGATAAACCGCTCAGTCTCGATCGCATTCAGCTCCCTCATCTCGGGCCCGAAGGGCTCAAGAGCCCCGTTCAACAGCCATGAGAGCGATCCCGCGCGGACGCAAAGCGGTTTGTTGGACCAAGAAGTGATTGTGTTAGTCGTATGATCTTTACCAGCCGCCGCTTACGGCACTTTTCTATGTTTGCTAGCCGGTTTTGGCCAGCTTATTCCCGTTCTGTTGTCACTTTATCCGTATTGCGGCACGTATGCAGAGCATACAGCCCATGCGTCTTGCCTGCGGCTGAGAATCGACTCTCATCCGTGCTGCTCTTTACTAGTTGCTGGGAGTGTTAACAATTGTCAGCTGTCTCTACGCCGCCTCGGCGACCACGACATCTTGTGGCTCCTCACTGGGCTGGCAATCTCGCATGGGCCAAAAAATGGGCCTCCATCGGGAGAGCTCGTTTGAAGACCTTTCCCCTTTCGAGGCGGAGTTGAGACGGCGAGTCTGGTGGAAAATTGCCATTCTGGAAGGGCGCACAGCGCAATCAACTGGAACCTCTATGAATTCCGGCATCCAGCTATACGGAGACACAAAGCAACCTCTGGGCGTCACCGGCGATAACCTCGTTCCGTCCATGAGCGTTTTGTCCCGCCCATCTCTCGTCACAACTGAGATGGTGTTCTGCTCAGTCCGCATCGAGATAGGGGTGTGGATAATTAAGCAGAAATGCCTTCTTGACTTTGCAACATCGGCGGAAAGAAAGTACAAGTTCCTCAAGTCGATTGACGACCTTGAGAGTCACATTGAGGAACAATATCTCCGGGCTATCAATATTGACATTCCATTGAACCTATTGGCGACGTATCTCGCTCGATCCGCTGTCTGCTAGCTGAGGTTGCCTGTATATCACCCCAATCATCGGACTGAGTGGGCATTCGACGTCGACGGAGAACACATGAACATGCTTCTGGAGAACAATTTCGAGGTGATTCACTACGACATCATCTCCCACTCTTCCGTTTCTCTTCAGCGCTACCCGTGGTATATTGCTAATATCTTCCCTTTCGAGACCTTTATTCTTCTCATCAGTGCACTGGCAGGCCGCGACGGTGGCCAGACCGTCGACATAGCCTGGCATGTCATCAACCAAGTCTATGAGCACCACCCTTGCTTCACCACGGATTCGAATGACCCATTGTACTGGGCACTAGGAAACTTGATGTTGCGGGTCTGGCAGCAGAGAATCGCAGCCTCAAGGAACAGTGGAATAGAACTTCCTTTGGAGCCATCATGCATTGGTCAATTCGCGCGCCGCCGAACTGCCATGGCACGGAATGCCCAGCCGCAAGTCACAAGCGCCAGCGGTGAATACGGACAGCAATTTTCAGGCAACGCCAGAGCAGATATCACAAGTTCAGGTCTGGCTGCAAGAGGCTGGTGATGTCTCTGGCCTGATACAGAAGGCGGCATCGGATGGTCAGGACGTAGTGATGGAGGTGCTCAGAGTGACGAAAGGAATGGACATGGGTTAGAACTTTTGGCAGGAACTTTTGGATGTAAACACAACAGAAAACCAGGAATGCTTCCCTTTCTCTTCTTTCATGAAGATAGCATGAACTAAGGATATTCTAATCCTAATTTCCTATTCATAGAGACTTTCATGTGGGGTTAAGCACGGGGAGCTGGGCACATGGTTCGCGAATGTTGTCTCAGTAGCAGCAACTATTGAAGCTTCGCTAGTCTCATATCGTCGTAAATGATGACAGAATCGAGGAGAGTCTGCGCCCCCAAGGCACTGCATAAAGAAATGATTAATATCGTACCTCCTGCCTGTCAAATCAAGCATGACTTACCAATCCTCTGGGCTACAATACTCTTCAGGATGATGGCTAACGCCATCTTTGCAGGGCACAAAGATCATCGTCGTTGGGCAATGTTTGTTAGTATTGACGCTATCGTGCGTCGCACCGCTCGTCATGTGGAGCCAGCCATCATGGCCCACGATGCCATTCGCTGCCGTTTCGACGGCCCACACACAATCCTCATCAAAAGTGGTCGCAGGCGAGTCTACATCGATTGTCCAGCTCAACTCTACGTCATTCTTGCGCGAGACCTCTTGGAAGAAAGCAAGACATTGGTCCTGAACCTCAGAGATGACCTTGTCTTCTGGATGGCGAATGTCCAGTGTGAACGTCACCTGCGATGCAACTGCGTTGGTCGATGACCCCGGAGGAACTTTGATGACACCTGTGGTCACAAAGGCCCCGGAGTTCTGGGCTAGCTCATTCGAAGTCGCAATCATCTTCGCCGCAGCCAGAAGCGGATCTTTCCTTGCGGAATACGGCGTCGTACCCGAATGAGCACTTCGGCCGACCACGGTGAAAGTGAGCCATCTGCAGGCCTGTACACCTCGAACGACCCCGATCTTCCTCCTTCTGGATTCCAAGAAGGGGCCTTGCTCGATATGGAGTTCAAAGTGCGCACCTATTGGGTAACCTTGCGTTGCCGAACACGCGATTTCCCCTAGGTATCCGTGCCTCTCTAGTTCCGACTTCATTGTGATGGAAGAATTCGCAACATCTCTCAAATCCCAAGCCTTTTGAATTGGTATTTCGCCCGCCCAAACTTTGGAGGAGACCGTCGTGCCTGGGAACCTTGCGCCTTCCTCGCTGCAGGGTAGGTCAGCGAATCTCAAAAACTGTGAAAGGCTCGACTTCATCTGAATTCGCGTACTTACTTTGTCCAGTTTATGACTCCAATATCAAAGTTGGAATAGTATCCATTCTCCTTCATTGTTCGAAGTGCTTCGATACCAGCAACAACGCCCAAGATACCGTCGTATCTGCCGCCCTGGGGTTGAGTATCCAAGTGGCTGCCCATGGCAGTCATGGGCAGCGTCGAGCCCAGCGATCCTCTTTGCCTGGCAAAAATGTTGCCCATCTGATCAATCTTGACATCGCATCCCAGACTCTGAGTCTCTTCTACAAACCATCGTCTCGCGGTGGCATCTTCATTTGAGAGAGTCAGCCTGGCCATGCCAGTTTCATTTAGGCCTCTAGTGGGTTCAAGTTGTCAGCAACGCGAGAAGCTCTTTCCGAAATTGGTGAGACGAACCTGCCATATCGATGCGCTGCTCCCCATTGGCAAGTGTGATGAATGGTTTCTTGAAGACGATCAGAGTTTATCTTGAGACCTGACAAGCCTTGAGAAAAGGTCGACGACTGCCGCACGAAACGGATTGCTTGAGGGACCAGCGGCCTTTTGGGGAACATTCTGTAGAGGACTATTGATATGCGACTTTATGAAATGCCCGATTCTTCAGAAAAAGCATGCTTTTCGAAGTTTTGATTGACTATGATTGTGCTGCCAGTCGGGTAAGAGCCGTTATCTCGGAAGCGCTGCCGAGGCTCTAGATGAGGGGTATGTATTATGACCCCCCGGTAATGGAATTCGGAGACAGCGTGACGCACATCAACAAACATGGAGAGAGAGAGAACCGGCTTGCTGAGAAGAGCTGGTTTAATTTTGCTTTCTGCGACACTTCTTCTAAGTAACTTATCGTGCTTTAACGATGCCATGGCCCAAGAACAAGTTACTATCAGTCAGCTGTTCTTACTTCTGACTGGCACGTTAAAACACGTCTTGGTGAAAAAAAAACAAAGCTTCCGATGGGGAAAAGCTTCTACAGACTTGCTAGTAGACGGGATTAGAGTTGCAGAAGTTGTATAGATGTTGATATTTTACATATACAAGCACTGATTGATCATGTGGCCTTGTCTGCAGACCTGGCCTTTCGGGTTGACAAACTCGCGCCAAATGATCACGCCATGTCTGAGTCGCCTTGGGGTTGATAGGAAGACACTATCCTACTGGGAGTCAAGTTGGCCAGTACCCTCCTGATTTCGAGATATACAGACCGCCCCAGCCGATCTGCCTTATTGCACCAAACCTGCTAGGGCAGGGCCTCTTCGGACTTGGAAGTGACGTCTCAGACTCTGGATGAACATGTTCCGTGTCGGCTTGGAAGAGCCACTCCAATAATAGATCGTTCGTCTCGGACCTGTATTTTGATTTATGAATAACGACGACGACGCTGTTGTTGATGAAGAATCGGCCCAACTAACCACGGGTTATGCTCTTGACTTTCCTATATCTTTTTTCAGGAAACGGAACGCAGTTTGACGGCCTGTCATTTCATTCCCGATCCGCCTCTTCTCGTCTTATAATTTCGATTTCCCCTATTACTGTCGTCGTCGAGCATGATGTCGGGGTCTGACTCGGATTCGAATGCTTCGTGGTTTAGCACTGACTCTAGCTGCAGTCCATGAGGTTCGGGCGCTTTAACGTCGTTGACAACCTTGCTAACTTTCTCGAATTACAAGCGACATTACTTGTTGCCGCGCAGACGCACAGATTGAGGTCGAACCGCTGGTCGTTCCGTTTATCTTGTTCAGCCTCTTTCCCTCTTTGCACCGGGTGAGATAGGAGGTACACACCGCCGCTTCTCCAAGCACCCCAACACCTTTTCCAAAACCTCGATACCATGCTCGCGTGGTTTTGACTGGCCTTCAACTTCCTCGCCGTAAGTGCATGATGAATTTTCTAGGAGGGAACCCTCACACTCAGCGCGACAGTTTGGTGGCGGACTAGATGAGGCTCTAAATAGACATCTTCGGGCTTGCTATTGGTGACAACAGCTTCCGCCAGACCTTCTAGCTCGCTCCAACGGGCCTAATCCAATTTCGGCTCGCTCCGTTAGGTTTCCATGGATATCTTTGAGAATTCATCGCTGGGAGCAGGTGAAGTTCAGCCAGATCCGCTTCGGCTCAAGTATGTGGGTACATAAAACCAAAAAAGAGACGGCCATCCGCGTGATGCATCCGCCGGTAATCGAAACCGGGTCCCTTGCTATTCCGCAGTGGAATGGAAGGCAAGGATGATAACCACTACACTACAGATGCGGATGTTGTGTGAAAATTCCTCAATTCCCACGAGCTATCAGCCTCAGGTTGAATGAGCGTTGCATTGCATCTGACGAGCGGCTGTATGCAAACACTGTAAAAAAGTTAAGTTGTTTCAATGTTTAAAGTTGTTAATGTTTACAAGGATGTCAACTGTCGCACTACGTTACGTCAACGCGACGCGGTTTGAACGAGTTAATTCCGACTGTAGTTCTCAAGTGCGCTCTCCGACTAGAAATCAAACTGAACATTTTGGCGACTCACCTGGAGTCATCTTCAAGCCATCTTAGCATGACGCGGATGACGCCAATTGATTGTTAGTCAAAGAGGTCGACTACGGTTCATGATGCGCGGCCAGTCTGCTCATGGAGGATCCTTGGCGCTGAGGCAAGCATAACCATTACGTCGTGCTGTTGATCGCTGACCATGGTATGATTTCTCTCCGAATCTAAACTTCATCAGGACTGACAACACGACCCTCACTCTAAAGGCACTCAACCCGGCTTCTCAGAACAAACCAGCTCCTCCAACATGGACCTGACAATTACGCCTTCCCCTCATGTCCCCTCATGGATCGTACCGGCGGCATCCGGCGCCCTTCTCATCTCAGGCGCCGTCTTCTGCGACATGTGCTATGCCCTCATGTTCATCCGCTCCCACGCCACAAAGTCCTGAGGCATGCCCCTCCTCGCTCTCGCCCTGAACCTCTCCTGAAACCTCTTCTACGCGACCCGCGTCGCCGAGCAACCCGCTGGAAAGTTTCCGTTGCCTCGTCTGGCTCCTCCTGGATGTATCGCTGATCTGCACGATCCTCGGGAACACAAGACACGAGTGGCGCCACGCGTCGCTTGTCGCGGAGAACGTTGGCGTTATCTTGGCGCCCATGGTCGTCCTGGGCTGCGCGGCAAACCATGCCGTCGCGGGCTGGTGGCTGTCGGCGCCGGGCACCGGGCACGGTGACAAGAATGGCAAGTGATGGGCCGGACGGGAGGGGTGTGACTGTACGGAGCTCGCGTTCTGAACAGTTGGTCTGGCGCAGTTCGCTGTTGGGACGGGGTGTCTTGCCATGTTGCTCGGCAGGGGCCACTCTGGGGGCACGAGTTATGCGATCTGGTGAGTGTCTTTCCGATTATCCTCCGTCGCTTTGTTGGCCGTATCCGATCAGTGCGTGCGTTGAATCGTGTCACCGTATGTGAGAATATCCATTCGTAAGGAGGATGACCGGCGTGTTGGATCGCATTCTCTCACTGTGTGTGGTGTTTGCGTCTTCTTCCTTGTTGTCGATGCGTATGATATCCTCACGCCCACCTTCTCTCATCGTTGTCAGACTTCCCAGCATGCCATCTTGACGCGTATTCATGGATTCAACTCCACTTCAAGCGAGCTTATCCGAAGGGCATGGGTTCGAATGCTGTGCCGCTGGACCTGCTCCGATGTGTGGGGTCTCTTCCCTGGTTCTCGTTGTCATCGTCCTTCTCATTTTGTTGTATTTGGGCATCCATGTTTGCTAAGCTTGGACAAGCACCCGCTGCATTCGGTGAGGCCGGGTTTGGGTCATATGAGCAGGAATACTATGCTGATCCTTTGTTCGACAGGTCATGTAGGGCACTTGGCACCCTCACCGGGTGGATGGGCTCGACGGGTCTGCTTTGGTGGTACTGGCCAGAGGCCCATTGATTCTTCTTCAACCCCATGGCAATCTTTCTCATGACAACATGCTCGGCTTGTGATATGGCGTATCCATTTCTTCTCGCCGTAGTGCGGAGAAGTGAGCGAATCCTCTCGGACGGCAGACTTGTTTCTGGAATATCGGTCAGGCAGTCAGTCGCACCACCAACGAGAAAATGGACTATGATTCCGGGAATAACGTGGATGAACGCGATGCTCGTCAATGAAGAGTTCTTGGCCCGGGTTCCCGGCAAGCAGCATCCTTCATTCATCGTCTGCTAGACTAGGGCCCCTGTGAACGAGGTCACGAGAGAGCTTTGGTAGAAGGCTGAAGACGGTCGGCGGATGTCCCAACTTCCAGACCCCTCCCGATCGAGATATCGTGGGCCGCCGAGACTCCAGACGCCCGTTATTTGTTTCCTGTGCGGATCTACTGGCCGGCTTGCAACCCTTAATGAGCACCAACGACATCTTGTTTGCCACGCAACGCGAGATCCAGGGTCCGGGAAACTGGTCCAACCACGATTGGAGGAAACCAAGATATGACGGCTTGGCTGTGAGGAGAAATATAAGGAGGCTCCAACAGAGTGCGGAAGCTGTGGATTCGCAGCAGGGATCTTTGCTTGCGCGAGGCCGTGTAATGAGAAATCTCATTGTTGGTTATTCGATGGTTGCCCCGTTGGTTGTTGGTTGGCGGCATTAACTTGAGATGAGCGGGACGATCGCCTTATTAGGACGATGACCGCCCCGGAACGAGGTCACATCGGGGAGTCGGCCAAAGGGCCGAACCTTCTCATCATCAGATGGGATTACGATCATGTCGCCAATTTCTTGTTTCTCCCGGTCATCTACGGATACGATGCTCGTCATCCCTGGTTCGTGCCAGCATCGTGGTCTCGTTTGGGGCATACGAGTTGGAAAATGTACTATTTGCGGATACCTCAACGAACGACCTTATGGAAGTATGCAGGCACGTCTCCACTGTTTGTACGAGAAATCCTCGCAGAGATGTCACGCCTGCAGGAGGACCGGAGCACAACAGACAGAGAAGTGCAGAGAGCCGTCTGCAAAGCACGCCTCCTATCACGTCACACAAGCCAGCTATCACAAAACGCATCGAATCAGATGATTTTCGTGGCACAGTTCTGCAAGGATCTTGCAGGCTGCTGTATATCTGCTTGCCTAGACAGTCAACGGGAGAGGGGCAACTGAGCATCACGCCGGCGGGAGAAGGGACAGTTTCCCGCACCAGTTGACCTAGAAGCAAGCGCCCAGCCAACCAATCTCACGACACTTATTCCGCCACTGTGCTGTCGACATATGGACATGATGGGTCGGATTGTGTTGTATTGACTATGTACATTGTATTAGCTTCCCACAAAGCTACATTCTCATGACAATCTTATTGAACTGAGGGCAGGACTAAGCACATTTAGCAAGGGCATTAGATTAGCAACTGTCTGTCAGCTTGTCCAGCCGGATTTTGCGGCTCGGACTGTGGACGTCACCTCGCGATAACCCCAGTTAATAGATCTAGAGAAAAATCCGTATCACCGATCTCATCAACTCTCAACACATGACTTGTCATTACGCCCTGGCTCTGGCCCTGGCCCTGACATTTTTGGTCAGGAAGTGGAGCCAGCTCGAGATCGCGTTGGTCGACCGATGTAAAGTCTTTCGAATCCGCGTCGGTTCAACCACATTGCTAGCCAGATAGGTAGCAAGCAGCCTTGTTTCAATGTTCAAATTGTTTTTTCTCGGGAGTTGTGTCTCATACTGTATATCTGCTTCAGCCTCCAGGCGCAGTGCACATTGTTGATGCCGTTGGCGGGATGGGATATTGTTCCATTCCGGACCCTGGTTGCATGGGTTGCGTAGGTTGCGCCGGTCGGTTCGGCACGTCGTCCGAGCAAATTTGACTTTCCGGCTGCGAGGCAGGATGCTCCTGTCAGGTTGAACGGCAGCTGCAGATACTGACTCACTGAGGCCACTGGGCACTGACTCTGACATCAATAGTATGCTAGGCAGGGGTAGCGACACTATGACAAAGTTTTCTTCTACTATGTACCCGTAGCAGCTCGATCAATGCAGCAGACCCCGACCGCCGTGCCTGCAGTAGTGGCAGGTGAAATATCGCAAGCTTCATGGGGAGTCAACGTTGGCAATAGTGTAGGAGAAGCTGGCACGTCGGGTAACCAGCTGACCCTTGTCCATTCCTCTTGAGCACTGCGCAAGATGAACACGTTTTGTCGTATCCGTATTTTGCAAGTACACGTACAAGTATTCGTCTGGCAGGGCTGCGAGACCCAGTAGGGCCCTGTTTCTCCCTTCAATCTGGGAAGTGGAGGACGGGGCATGCCACGGTAGACAAGTGGCGGGATTGACGCCCAAACACCCGCCCAAGAGGTGCAAACTCTATACGTAGCCACCCTGGCCGGAGCTCGTCACATGAGCAATGATATCTGCGAGTCGCTCTGCAGAGACCCTTTCAATGAAACCGAACAGAGAGAATTTGTTTGTCCCCGTTGCATTCGGTGCGGCCTGGTACCACAGTACGGCCTCGACGTGCCCCCTTGCATAGCAGGCAGGATCAGCATATTGGACAGGGTGCTCTGGGCGGGTCCAACGGGGGATTTGGGTCGCATCAGCAATATTCAGGACCCTCCTGACAGCTGCAAGACATCGCCCCCTAAAGCGTCTTTGATGACAAGGGGTGCGGGAGGTCATGGCGGTTTGGCGACGGAGGGCAGGCGACGAGGTGTCGAGGATGAGGGTTCTATGAACCATGAGAACTCGTTACGCTTGGGCGTGGGAGATGAAATGAGGTTGAAGTTGAGCGGGGGCCCCCGGCTGTCGAGCGGTCGAGCCGCGGTGTGTTGCGGTCGAGTCCACTCATATCAACTGCCCCGGCGTGCTTTGGATGAGATTCATGTGAGGATGCAAAAGTCCCGGCTATGCTGTATGCAACAGGAGAGTATGAGGAGATTGGCTTGCCCGGCAGGGACAGGGAAAGGTTTTCCTATCAGGACAATTATTTGGTGCTTGGTGGAGGGGTTGGACTGAGCCGATGGAGCCAGAGCAGGCGGTGTCAGGCTGCTGGCAAATGTAATTGATGGCTGAACGGTTGATGCTTGTGCATTATGGCCAGGATGCAGGTTATGGATACTGTACCCAAGACATGGGGTTTGCTCTGGACATTATACCGCGGTATAACTGTTTCTGACGGATGGTCGATATCCTCTTCCCAGCGTGGAGAAGAAACTGTTCGGCCTCACCGCCAGCCAGCGAGCCTGCCAGCAAACCAGACCCTCCTACTTACCGCCTGAGCTTCGGCTTCAAAGGCACGCGCCGGTCGAACTGCTCATCTTCCAGGAACGACACGTCATCTCCCTCACCGACTACCATGGACTACGTTGCTCGGCGGCGGATTGCCGATCTCAATGCTCCAGATGTTGCTGCGCCATTCCAGGACTCCAGGATCGAGCGTCCAGTCATCAAGTGACCACGGGCCAACGTATGAGCGAGCATACATGGTACACGACCGTTTACGGATTTTCGGAATTAATAACCTTCAGCTGTCGTTATGGAGCACAGAGACAAAGAATGTAATTGCCCCTGCCAGTTCGTCGTTTGTCAATTACGATAGACCGTATCTCGCCGCCGTACGAGCCACCGTGCGCTTGTCAGAATTCTAAATCCTCCCGGAGACTAATCCTTGGTCGGAGGCCACGATTGACATTGGCTCTGGACTGGGCGGACCCTGATTCAGCCGTAAAGCATACAAGGTACAGATACATAGTATTACTTGTGTGTGCATTTGCATAACAAAATCAATGTGCTGGCCGAACCTTGGCGACGGGTGCGTTGAAGGCTGGGCTGCATCAGACAATCATCTGCAGAACGGTCTTCGTATACAGCGGTGCGGCGCAGTGCGGGTTATCGGCCATTGCTGTCGTCTATTCGAGGGCCTCGACCTCGCAGAGCCGCCATCAGGCTACTAGAGGGGACCGACAACGAAACTATTGGAGTGTATGATGAGCTGGCTTTGCTATTCCCGGGATTGGCGTACCACAGATTCAGCGGGCGTGGGAATGAGCCTGGTCGGCAGCTCCCCAAATGAACATTCAACCGGATCAGCACATCTTGTCTTTGCCTTGATTGGCACACCCAATATCTGGATGGTTGGGAGCACTCGAAACTTGGAAGCATTGCTCGGTGAACGAGCTCAACCTGCGGAGCCCTCCATGGCCCCCTTCTTACCCCTCGCCAAAAATCCTCCAACGAGTCCTCTAGGCTCTAAATCCCGGCCTGACGCCTCATTGCTGTTGATCCAGGTTGTTCGGTCGTGAAGTCCCTCCAAAGAAGGTCGGAGATAGCTCCACATCAGCCCCCAAGGAGCCGGTGTTCTGGGAGAAGACGAAGGAGATCGAATTTTCTCTTCCGTCACTTACACCATCTGAAGGTAACAAATCCTGGCGCATCCGTCGGCAACTAAAGTATCCACACCGTCGCCCCTAATAGAGATGGGGTTCCCGGGACGTTTTGGTTGTCATTTTCTGCGATTAGACATTTTATTTTGCAACGCTGCGGGACGGGAGGTCTCGGGATGTGGCTGCCAGCGGATGCATGAAGCCTGCTATTAACAACTACCTCCAAGTTTGAAGTGGCAGGTCGGATAGTTGACATCGCGTCGCCCGCTGACATTCGGCAACGGTGGGGCCCTGGATTTCGGAGACAACAGACTGTTGAGGAAGCTCGGCACGACGACAATATGACGAAGGGCCGATCAGCCATCTCGGGGCCATACATCTCCAGTCAGAATAAAATGCGGGGAGGGGGGGGGGGGGGGGCGGCGCGCCGGGCCGGCTGGAGCGGCGGTCTGCGGAGAACGATGTGTGCAGGAA